TCATGGTGTGTCCATAGCTAAGACACAGATGGTGTGATAGGCCAGGACTATGAGAAATAAACCATGTTTGAACCCTCAGTTAATGTGCATGAAAGAATATATGTGTAGAAGTATGATGTTTAGAAGCAAGAGGTATAACCACATGAAAAAAGCTCTTTAGGGTTCATAGTAATTTTTCAGAGTATAATGATCTAGGTCAACCCTGAGTCCCTTCCAGATCTGAAATTATTTATAACATTTCTATGAGTGCCCACAAGCAATGGAAAAATACCAAAATTACTTTTAAAAAACTAAAGATCATTTGCTTAAAATAGTGTAAATTTGTATAGTGGCCATGAAGACATTTTTTTGTGTGAATGTATAGCTAATCTTACTGTTTTATTTTTTCCTTTTCAGCGTGGAGGTCCAGAATAATCACTGACAGTGGCTGTTGTTCGTCATCACACAAAAGGATAGTTTTTACGATAAAGGACTTCCAACGTGACAAATGAGAAATTGTACATTAAACAACCTTAATAAATATTCTGTAAACAAAAAACTATATAGAAAATTCAGATGGACACTTATAACATCTCATAATTTATGTATCTTGGTCAGTTCCTCCATAAGCTTACATAATTGTTTATATACTTTATACTTATTTAAGGTACACATTTAAAATGTTAGCTTATTATTTTACTCTTGATTATTAAGTATTACTAGTGTTAAACTATTAAAAGCACACGATGTCTAGTAAATTATCATAGATTTCCCATAATTTCACTTTTCTTTCAATTTCTGTTTAGATATGAATTTATCAGGCAGAATTGCTGCTTTTTGGAAGTGATTTTCCTGAAATTGGATGAGCATCAGTGAAATAATGGCTCCATTATTTATTGTTAATTCTCTTTAAAATTTTTTTCATTCACAAAGTTACTGGAGTATAACTGGCTTAATAAGCACATCCTACTCTGAAAGATAAAAATATAGCCAAAGTAAAACCAGTGATTTTGTGCTAGTAACACAGGGGAGTTAACACAAAAAAGACTATTTGTCACCTATTTTTAGAAAAAAAGTCAGTATAAAATCAGAGCTCAACATGAATACAGTATAGGTATAAATGTTTGACCAAAAATGGCAATTTCTTATGTTTTTAGGGGGTATTAAGAAAGTGTTGTTCTTTGGTTTATTTTGCTTTTGATTGTAATAATGTATGCAAATCCTGGTAACCATTAATTTTCTCAAACTTAATGTCTGAAAGCTTCATAAAATCAGCCTAAATAGTTACCTTAAGGTAATTTACGAAACTTTAAAAAGGTCTTCCTGTGCCAAGAGTATATATTATTGTGAAAGTAAAGTCTCATAAAGTGAAATAAATTTTCTCCCATACCTTTACAGATTTCTAGAATATGCTTTAAAGAAGTCATCCCTAGCCCTGGCCAGGTTGCTTAGTTGGTTAGAGCATTGTCTCGATACACCAAGGTTGCAGGTTCAATCCCCACTTAGGACACACATAAGAAGCAACCAATGAATGCATAACTAAGTGGAATAACAAATCGATATTTCTCTCTCTTTCCCCCTCCCTCCCCATCTTCCTCCCTCTCTCCCTAAAATCTCTCCCTAAAATCAATAAACATACCTTTGGATGAGGATTTTTAAAAGTAAAAAACTAGTACTATTATTCTCTCCTTAGCTTTTGCATTTCAGTGAAAATCCCAGGTGATTTTTGTTTTGTTTTTTACTTTAAGAAACTGGGTTCAGTTAATAGAGTGGGCAGCAGTTTGAAACCCTAACTCTAATACTAGAACTGCCTGAGGCCACCTTTACTAATGCTGCTACTGTGATAGTCACAATGAAAAAATAAAATTTTACAGAATATGTGAATACAGATGGCAAAAAGGCATGTCAGTGGAAACTGCTTTCATAAGGATAAACTCCAAAGGAAGATGGTGTCATAAAAAAAATTCTGGGTTGCCCTGCCCAAGTAGCTCAGAGGGTTGTCATGTCCACCAAAAGGTTGCAGGTTCAATTCCTGGGCACATACCGAGGTTGAGGGTTTGATCTGTCTGGGTATGTGGGAGGACAACTGATTAACATTTCTTACATCAATGTTTTTCCCTTCCTCCCTTTGTTTCTAAAATAATAAATATATCCTCAAATGAGGATTAAAACAAAAAGAATTCTCGGTTGACTTAGAGTAAATAGCCTGTATTTTCATTTACAAGTTAAGCATTTAAATACATGTAAGATCAGCCAAATTACTTCATCCAGTTTTAGGTTTTCCTCTCCAGTACTAGACTGTATGATAGGATCAAGTTAGTATTTTGACTTTGTAACAAGCTACCCCAAAACTTAGGGGCTAAAAACAACAATAATCACTTCACATCTTATGTTTTCTCTGGGTCAGGAATTTCTGCGCTGGTTGGCTAAACGGTACTGCCCAGTCAGTGTCTCTCACAGAGTTGCAATCAGATGCTACCCAGGGCTGCACTTATCTGAAGGCTTGACTAACATGGCTAGCAAGTTACTGGCTGTTAGCAGGAGGCCTCAGCTCCTCTCCACAAGGCTACCTGAGTGAATTCATGACATGATGGCTGACTTCCCCCAGAATAAATTATCCAAGCATACAAGGCAGAAATAGTAATGCCTTTTATGACCTAGACTCGGAAATTACTCTTCTGCCATATTTTACTGGTCACACATAACAGCCTGTTTGCGAGGGAAAACTACACAGGTCGTTAACACCAGAAGGTGAGAATCACTGGGACCGTCTTGGAAGCAGGCCACTACAGTGCGTGAAAGTGCTTTGTAAATTATAAAAGGCTGTACAGATGCTGAGTGATATTTTATACATACAATGACGTAATGAACCCAGAATATCACCTAAACACCTTTGTTAACCCTATTTAAAATAAATTCTCCATATAGGAATTTACTTGTCAGCAGCATGGCATAATGCTGCTGGTCATGTCCTATGCTTATAGCACACTTGGGAACCTCAAGCCTCACAGATGTACTGTTAAATTTAGCTCACTACTTAGCATATTTTTACTACAAGTGAAGTTATATTGTTACAGTGATGTCTTTCAGAAGGAACTTTGGCCTAAGTCATGTGACACCATGGATCATTAGGTATGACTTGTCACACTTAAGAGATTTAAGAATTAAATGGTAAACATGGTGTGTTTTCTGCAATGTATGAGAATTTTGCCTATGAATGTATCAGAGCTCAGTAAAGACCCAAGTAGTAAAAAGAGCTAGGAGGTGACTAATAGTTATGTAATGGCTAACATAAATTGAGTACTGTCAGGCACTTTTCTAAGGGCTCTTGAAGTATAAAATTATTTAAGCTTTGCAACAACCCAATGAGTCGATCCTATTACAGAGGAGGAAACTAAGGACAGGAAGGTTAAATGATTTGCCCAAATCATAAATCTAGTGATTGAACATTTGGGCCAGTAGTCAACGCAGGTATCTAGATCCAGAGTAGGGACTCAGCTTTGAAACAACATTGCCGTTACTAAATTGTAAGCCTTGGTATTCTGCCTTCTTCAACAAACCTTGGAAAATCTGATTGTCAACTCAGAAACATCGGATGATCCAGTTCAAAACCTTAGAATTATACTTCCCTTGCCCCACCCAGCTGCACCAACACATAGTCTGTCAGCAAATCCTATTGGCTAGAAGCCAAACTGGTAACACCTAATACAGCCACCTGGATTACTGCAATAATTCTTTAACCAGCCTTTTTGTTTTTCCTTGCCCACCCCCACCAGCATCCCCACCCTATCAGTCAGTAGTTTTGTCTCTCACAACAGCCGGAGTGAACCTTTTAAAACATGGTCAGATCATATCATGTCTGTTCAAAACTCTGCAGAGGCTTTTCAGTGATGTATTTCTTGTCCCACCCTATTTGTTTATTTGTTTGTCTTTTAAGATTTTATTTACTTATTTTTAGAGAGGAGAAGGGAGGGAGAAAGAAGAACAGAAACAAAAATGTGTGTCTCCCTCTTGAGTGCCCCCTACTGGGGACCTGGCCTGAAACCCACACATGTGCCTAAGACTATGAATCAAACCAGCAACCTTTTGGATCACAGGCCACAGCTCAATCCCCTGAGCCACACCAGCCAGGGCTGTCCCACCCTACTTAAAATTGAAAACCCTAATATCTCAATACACTTTCCCTGCTCCATGATCTCTGTAATACTTACCACTCTATCATTATGTCGTTTTTTATCATAATGAATTTTACTTGTTTGTTATCCACTTTCATTTGAAGGCAAGGATATTCGTCGTCTTTTCTGGTTGATTTCCCAGTCTACAACAGAGCCTGGCACACAGTAAGCCCTTATTAAATATTGATTGAATAAATTAACATATTTATTGATTTAGAAAATTATGACAAAGCTGAGTAATGATAACAGTTAACACTTAATTGAGCATTTACTATGTATAATCTTTCTGTTGTCTATTTAATCCTCACAACCACCTGTGATGTAGTCTACTATTTCCACTTTACAGAGTAAACTGATGACCGCGTCTGTTGCACAGCACAAAAATCTTCAGTTGACTTGACTTTTGTGTCATTGGGCGTGCTTTGTCATAAAGGTACTAAGTATCCTTTTAGACAAGCCTTTAAGTGGGTACGCGTCTAAGTAACCTGAGATTGCGGAGTAAGGCGTCCATAGTAACCGTAGCGACAGAACGCCCACGGCCAAGAACCACAAAGGGAGATCGGGGACAAAGGCTGACACTTCCCCAAGTATTCACGCCGATTAAGTCCCGAACTCACAACCGTGTCAGAACCACGAGTCGTCGCCGGTAGTTAAGAAAATATCTAGGTTACAATGGTAACTAGGTGACAACGACGGGAGAAAAAAACCGACGTCCAACGCCACGTGATCACGTGAGAAGGCAAGTTACTCCGCGGAAAAACCCACGAGCTCTACCTTGCGTAACTTCCGTGGGGCTGGACCTATTTAACAGCACCCACGCCCATCCCGGAAGAGGGGCGGGGCTAGTTAAGCGTCAGAGCCTAGTGGACGGAAGTGGCTGTTGGAGGCTTTAAGGTAGCTTTAAATTCCTCCTGGCTTGGGACATCCCTTTCCAGCTGGTGTCGGGCTTCGCGTGCGATGGCTGTGGACGTGAAGTCGCGAGCAAAGCGTTATGAAAAACTGGACTTCCTCGGGGAGGGACAGGTGAGGCTCTCCTGGATTCGGGGGATCCTGAGAGGATGGCGCCGGGTGGCCTCCCCTCTTCACAGGTTTTCTCGTTCAAGCCAGAGGACTGGCCTTTGGCCGAGGCTGTCTCGACACGGCTGCTGCCCCGGTGTCCACCCTGAGCGGCCCTCTCCTTCCTGAATTACAGGAATGGGACGTGGACTGCCCGACTACCTTTCCAGCTCCAAGAGCCCTTGATTCTTCGCTTCTCAAAATCAAAAGTAAAAAGGCAAACACAGACAATTTCCCACAGACTTACGTTATTTTTGTTTTTCTCTCTAGTTTGCTACGGTTTACAAGGCCAGAGACAAGAACACTAACCAGATTGTCGCCATTAAAAAAGTGAGTTACAGTTTGTTTTCTTTGAGTTTCTTGGAAGATGCAGGTGTGTGTGAGCTGGTAGATGGCCGTTTGACTAATCTTGACCGTGCTCTGTTGATGAGCACTTATGTCATTTTCAAAGAAAATGAACTCGGGTTGCACTAGATTTTTGTTCCATTAGCTGGAATTGAAACGAAGATGAAGCTGTATGTTTGCTTTATAAACTCAGACGCTAGAAGACTATACTTCCAGGGATCATTTCTGTAGTTTGTTATAAACTCAGACTGTAGCAAAGGGGGTAAAGACCGCCAATCCGTTGGGTTCTCGGAACTGTTTAATGTCAATCTTCCTCGGATCACTATTTCCGCCTCACCTGCATCCACTCTGTGCATCATTTCTGTATTTTCTGTGTACAGATTTACCATGAAACACCATTAACAACATTGATGTGCATGCGTTTTTGAAAATTATTGAACTAGCTTTTTTATATACATGCATTCAAGAAACTTAGGTCATATTTAAATGACTTTCTGAATGGCAGGCACTTTCACCTACATTTTTTACATTTAACCCTCAAAACAGCTTTGCGAAATAGGTAAAGTGTTTCTACTTTACACTTGAGGTACCTGAGGCTAAGAGAGGTTAGGTGACTTGTCAAGATGATACACGGGTAGCAATTGCTAAAGCTGAGCCATAAGCCCAGGTGTTCTGCCAGGTTGATTGCCCTTTCCCTACTACTGCAATCAATAACCCTCTCAAGGGACTGTTTTATTCATATCTCAAGGCCTGTTGATGGGGTAAGTGATCTCCACCTTCCTATTGTCCCTGTTGCTGCTTTTTGCTGCTTTGAATCTTTTTCCTTCAAAGTCCCTAACTCCTTTGAAGCATATTTTCCTCATTAATTTAACACCTGGGTCCCTCTCCATTGTTACCTTTTTTACTTTTTTAAAAAAAATCCTGCCCCAAGGATATGTTTATTGATTTTGAGAGAGAGAAACATCATTGTGAGAGAAAAACCTCAATTGGTGCCTCCATTAGGCACCCTGAGTGGGGACAGACCCTGCAACCTAGGTACGTGCCCCATCTGGGATGGAACCTGCATCCTTTCTGGTGTGTACACAATGCTCCAATCAACTGAGCCACCCAGCCATGGCTTTTTTTTACTTTTTCTGACTTTCCTAATCTTGTTTTCCAGTTTATGTTCTATAATCCAGCACTCTAGCTACTCCTTTGTAAAATCCTTAACTCTCCTTACCCTTTCTAAAGTTATCTTTTCAGTTTTACTCCTGCTTCTCTATACTGTAAGCCACACTGATCTTTCTGTTCCTTGAACACATTAAATTCATTCCATTCCAAGGATTGCTTCATTTGCTCTGCGTTCTGGCAGATAATATATTTTTCTTCTAAAACTTGGCATGGAAGATTCATTATCATTTAGATTATACTCAAATTCCTCTTCACCTGGACACCTTTGCTGGTCACTTGAACTAAAACAGGCATGCCTCCCTCCTTCCCTAGTGTTCTTTGCCATATTTCTCTATTATCTTCACAGCATTTATTAAAATCTAATATGCTCTTATCTGTGAGTTTATTGTCTGTTTACTTCCACTCAAAACACACTTACAACTATGACTACTACATTTGTAGGCACTCATTAAAAATGTATTCACTTGCCTTGGCCTGTTGGCTCTCAATTGGTGTGTCATCCTGTATACCAAAAGGTTTCAGGTTCCGCCCTGGTCGGGGCACATACTGTAGGCAGCCTGTTGCTGTTTCTTCTTCCTCTCTCTCCCCGCCTTCCTCCCTCCCTCACTTCCTTTCTCTAAAATCAATAAAACATATCCTAAAATGAGGATTTTTTAAAAATGTATTCACTTGACTGACTGATGTAATCTCTTCAAACTGTTGTCATATTGAGTTCTGTAGTTGTCTGAAAGTCCTAGTGGGTTTTTTGTTTGCTTACTTTTAACATAAATTAGGGTAGAAGCCATCCTGTTTCTCTGTGATAAACTTTTACCCTTTGAAGGTGATGCAGTGAGACCAGTGGTCCTAATTTAATATATGGCCCTGTAGCCTTAGCCCTTTCCCTCCCTAGTCATTAACCCCCTGAGGCAGCCAGAAACAATGGCCATACCTTGACTAAGGTTTACAAGGTGTGGGTTTCTGTTAAGCTGAAGATAGTATCTTGGCCTAAATTGTTTCAGCTCCTGAGCCCTAAGGAGGAACAACCCCCTGGTTTTTCCATGCAACCAGGCACAGTGATATCAGAGCAGACCTCAGAGCAGTCCTCAACACCTGAAGAAATCATTTATTAACCCTTATCTCACCCCTGACCAATCAGCTTCCAACACAACCCCTAACCTGTAACCCACCAAGTCTTGTGATTTTGCCCTATATAATAAGAAAGCTCTGTGCCACTGGGAAGTTTGAGATTTTGAGCATTAGCTTCCCATTCTCCTGGGTGGTGCCATTGTAATAAAATAGTCAGTCCTTCTTCACTACAGTTCTTAATGTTTGGTGTTTGGTTCTGCTAGTGCTGAGTGGACAGACTTTCTGCTGGATAACAATAGTAGAATCTTCTTTTACAATTTATTTCAAATAATACATTTTTGTGCTTTGAAAAGTTAATTAGTAGGTTGAGGCTTTTTAACATTCCTGATTCCTATACCCCTGTTTTACACTCCTTAGAGTAATCACTTTCAACTTCTACAACTTTTCCTCCATTTCTTTAAATAATTTGCTTATGTCTTCACTTCTTGAGTGGTTTTGAATATGTAATTTAAAAGCTTAAGGGGCAACAAATGGTAGGTGCTTGATCCTTTCCTATATTACTTTTGTCTTTCTGATTCATGATTCCCATTCCCTTCTTGCCTACTAATGCTACTTATATATGAATTGCTATGTTTTTGCCGTAGTTTTTCGAAGTATATGTGTCTGTGTGTGTATTCATTAAGTCTAAATAACATATTTTTAATGTTTGTTTATTTTTTCATCTAACAGATTAAACTTGGACATAGATCAGAAGCTAAAGATGGTAAGTTGTTTCATGTAATTTGACAGAACAAGAACAGTTTTCATTTCCACTAAGGAAATGAGTGAAATATTAGTTAGAGTTAACAGTGGTTCTGGAAAGAGTTATTGCAGGGTCCCAGAAGAGTAAAGATAGACTCAGGAGAGAGGCGGGATATTTGTGACTTCCGCCCTTTGCATGTAGAGAACAACATTCAAGTCATCATAGTAAATGGAAGGCAGCAAGGGTATTAGTGTCTTGTCTTGCTGTCTTCATGTTTCAGGTATGGTTACAAGCCATTGTTTCTTCATTTTCTGAACTTCTAATTACTTCAAAAATTCAGTACATACCTTCACGGAAGTACACAAAGCTCACTATAGAACCCTCATCCCTCTTCCAAAGCTGTGTTTTTGCTAGAGTGCTGAGTCCTCTTTAGTCATCAAGAAGTAGTTCCTATAAAAACGAACTCGTTGTCTGTGCAACACCTAGTAGCAGATCTTATTTTTTATTTTGAGTTCTGTCCTTTGAGTTGGGAAAGATACTATGTTATCACTAGTCTGCCGTTAGCATGAAGAATCTGCTGCTAATATTGGTAGGGCAAGCTTATACCTTAGTGTCTGTATGCTGCACATGTTTTATTTCAGCAGTCTTTAGAACTGATATTTTAGAACTAAAATGGGTACATTTTTTCACCATTTATCATGGTCTGTGTAAGTGATTTTGAAAATAAAGCAATGTAAAAGAAAAACAGATGTCATTAAAATGGTCAAAATAGCCCTTATTTTTCTGTAGAATATTCACTGCTGTTTCTTGAGAGTCTAACCTTTCCCCCAAAATATTTGTAAGATCTGAGAATTGTTTTTCACTTTCTGCTTTGCCTTTTTATATAGGTATAAATAGAACAGCCTTAAGAGAGATAAAATTATTGCAGGAGCTAAGTCATCCAAATATAATTGGTGTGAGTATGATCTAAGTTGTTTCTGGGGTTCGGGACCCTGCCTTTTCTAGTATGTTGGCTGAAGACTCAGCAAAATGAATTGTTCTAAGCTAGCCTCAAAAAAGAACTTAAAAGCTTATCAGGCTGAAATGTATTTTCTATCCTAATTGTTCCTGTAGACAATGTCTCTAAAACTGTACAACTGAGGAAATAAATTAAATACTGGCATACCGGCTAATTTGTCAAGTCATTTTGAAGCGTAGAGAGCTCTTGCACGTGTAAGACCTTAAGCACATTCCCTCTCAGCTCTGTGCCATAGTCTCTGCCTTATAGGGCTGTTGGGAGACCAGCTAACTGAGTACATGTACAGTACCCGGAGGGCTGCCTGGCACAGAGAGTGCACTCGCTCAGCAAATGATAGCTGCTGTTGCAACTTACAGGATTTTCTTAGGTAGGAATTTCCTTGAAGTGGAGACTGAGGTGAGGTTTTAATAAAGTTTATATTTTTGTGCCTCAAAGTACTGATTCCTAGCAAAAAGAAAGATAAATGTCAAATTTAATAAAATTGCTTAAACACTACAGGGAATTATCAAATGCCCAAATGCTTAAATTTTCAAACAATTATTTAGTTGGTATAATATTGCTAAGTAATTAATAAAGAATGACGTCTTGATTTTTTTTTTGAAATTTTATTTTGCAGCTCCTTGATGCTTTTGGACATAAATCTAATATTAGTCTTGTCTTTGATTTTATGGAAACTGATCTAGAGGTAAGGTTAAGATTCCTAAAGGAATTTTTTTTCTGTTTTTCTTTTTTAATTTATTAAAATTTTTTCTTATAGCATAGAGCCTCACAGACTGAGGTCACCCTCCACAATTGATTTTTTCTTTTTAGATTTTATTTATTTTTAGAGAGAGAGGAAGTGAGGGAGAGGGAGAGAAACATAATGTGTAATTGCCTCTCATGTGTCTCCTACCAGGAACCTGGCCTGCAACCCAGGCATCTGACTGGGAATGGAACCAGAAATCTTTTGCTTCACAGGCCCATGCTCAGTCCACTGAGCTACACCGCCAGGGCTTTTTTCTGTTTTTCAAGAGAACCTAAATGTTTATTTTCTACTTATGAAGATACTGGTAGTCAAAAGAATGTATAATTTTGAATTCTGGATATACCTAGGATCTTCTGAATTGTTCAGCCATATTCTCAATGTTAAATACAAAGATTTGGATTTTTATTAGCATTTGTCTACCAAGTTATCCTATACCTTATTGACATTTTTATTTTTGTGTTTCTTTAATTGATATTTTTAGAGAAATGAGTGTTAAGCCTTTGAAAATTAGTGCGTCTTTTCCATATTATCACAGAATATCAGTCAACTTTTTGAAAGCCAGGTTTCTTTTTGAGAAAAATAAGATCTTATGTTTTTCATTAATATTAATTGAATCTCAAAAACTGACAGTCCAATGGTATGAAGCAGCTGGAATTCTCATGCATTGCTGGTGAGACTACAGAATGGTACAGCTACTTTGGCCTTGGTCAGGTAGCTCAGTTGGTTAGGGCATCATCCCAATACACCAAGGTTTTGAGTTTGATCCCCAGTCAGGGCACACACAAGAAGCAACCAATGAATGCATAAATAAGTGGAACAACAAATCATGTTTCTCTCTCTCTCTCTTTTCCATCCTCTATCTTTGAAATCAATAAATTAAAAAAAATTTTGTTTAAATGGTACAGCTACTTTGGAAAATAGTTTGGCAGTTTTTTTTTATCAAATATTTTATTGTTTTATTACAGTTGTCCCAGTTTTTCCCCTTTTGCTCTCCTCCATCCAACTGCCCGCCCCTGTCTCACAGTCAGTCCCCACCCTGTTGTTCATGGGTCATTCACGTATGTTCCCTGACTAGTCCCTTCCCCTTCTTTCCACCCTTATCCATCCCCCTCCCCCATCTCATCTGGTTGCTATCAGTCTTCCTTGTTTCCATTCCTCTGGTTCTACATTGCTTGTTTGTTTGGCAGTTTCTTATACAGTAAAATATACATTTACTACTCCTAGGTATTTATCGAAAAGAAACATAAACTCACCTACACGGAAATAAATTGGTACACAGATGTTTAGCTTTATATAATTGTCCAAAGAGAAAACAGTCCAAAGAACTTTCATCCAGTGAATGTATAAACCAACTATGGTATATCCATAAAATGGTATACTATTTGGGAGTAAAAGGAAATGAACTAATATGTGCCACAATATAACAAATCTCAAATACATTATGCTAAATTAAAGAAGCCAGTTATAAGAGACTATATGTTGTATGGTGCCATTTATAGAAAAAGGCAAAAGTAAAGGAACAGAAATCAGATCAGTGGCTGCTGGGGTACAAGGAAGGATTGAGTATAGAGGGGCCTGAGAGAGTTTGGGGGGATTATGAAATTATTCCCTGATTATACTGGTGGTTATAGAACTGGGTGTGTTCATTAAAACTTATGGAACTGTGGCCCTGGCTGGCGGAGCTCAGTGGATTGAGCGTGGGCTGCGAACCAGAGTGTCGCAGGTTCGGCTCCCAGTCAGGGTACATGCCTGGGTTGCAGGCCATGACCCCCAGCAACTGCACATTGATGTTTCTCTCTCTCTCCCTCCTGTCCCTCTCTGAAAATAAATAAATAAAATTCTTAAAAAACTTACAGAATTGCACCCTAAAAAGGGTACATTTTACCTAATTGGGTCCTAAAAAAATAGAATGGGAATTTTTAGCTCATGTAATTCATAAGTCTAGGAATAAACTGGTTTTAGGCACAGTTTGCAAACAATCTCATCAGAACTCAGTTTTGCCCTTTATTTTCTGTTGCCTTCATTCATGAGCATAATTTCTCAATATAGTGGCTCAGGCACGTAACTAGGCTTATGTCCTTAAGAGTTTAATAATCCCTGAGGAAAGAAGTTCTTTGTTCCTTTTGATTCTAGCACAACTATGTGGCCCGGTTGATTGGCTTGTCCTGGATCGCATGTCTACCCCGAACCAATCTGCTGGACAGCAGGCTGCGGTAGTCATTGACTGTGCTTGGGTCATGAGCCTACTTCTAGAGGCCACAGGCAGTGGGCAGTCCATTTTTCACCACGTGGATTGAGCTGGGAACAGGTAGTTTCCCAAAGCAGTGTTGAATGCTCTTATCAGAAGGGGCTTTAATTCTGGGGCAGGTGAAAAAGTGAAGCAGTAGGAGAAAAAGCACTGCTTTCTCTCCAAACCAAAGATAATTTTCCTGATCACATGATGGGAAATTCTGGCAGTACTTCCTAAGGAGAGTTGGGCAACCTTTCTTGAGATTCACCTGTATGAATCCATCCAATTTATGTCTATAAATGATTTTATATGGTGGTATTTATTTATAATAATAAAAGTACCTGTACATTGTATACCTGCTTTACAGGTTATAATAAAGGATAATAGTCTTGTGCTGACACCATCACACATCAAAGCCTACATGTTGATGACACTTCAAGGGTTAGAATATTTACATCAGCATTGGATTCTACATAGGGTAAGGTTTTTAACCTGGTGTGGTAATTTCTTTATGTTGTTAAGTTTTATGGAACTAGTTTATTTAGTTATTACCTAAATGGTCTGAATATGTGAACTGTTAAAGAAAGATGTAGCTGGACTATTTTATCCCACCTTCTTCCTTGGTGTGTTCCCTCCAGTCGTTCTACCAGGTGGTACTGGGAGGACTGTAAATCACTATGTGAAATTTAGAAATAGAAGAGACCCAACTTTAATATTTTTCAAAAGTGAAGAATTAAATTGCTAAGTTATTTGACCAAGGTTATATGTATTTTTCAAGGTCAGTAGCTGCTAACTCACAGTATTAAAACCTAGATTCTTTAAGTCTACTTTTCTTTGTGCTATACCATTGTTATCAGGGAAAAAACACAGTGAGAATCTGGGTTGAATTACAAAATGCTAAAATTCCTTTAGAAAAATAATATTTCTAGAAATCTAAAATTCTATGAAGTAATGAAATAAAATTTCTGAAATGGTTGAGTCATTCTTCTGAACATTCAGGTATTGGAATAAGACTGATACTTAGGTAGATATTCTTAGGCACCCTATTTAAGTAAGTAGCTAAGAGTATATAAGTTATAGTTGGTAACTGTCATACATTAAACTTGGAATCTTGTTTAGGTTATTGCTAATATCTTCTTAGCACAGATTTTGAGACTATGTTCATCATCCTTTCTAAATGTATAAAGTATTTACTAAATTCACATATATTATTGTTATTAAATTAGTGACAGCAGCCATTTATTGAATACTCACTGTAAGCCTGTCATTGCACTAGGCTCTTTGCAGAAAATATTGAATATAATTCTCATAGCAACCCTGTAAAGTAGGTAAATTTATGTTTAGAGAAATTAGGTCCCTTGACCGAGGTCTCACTAGGTAATATGATCAATTTTGTTTTGCTTTGATATTTGACATCAATGAAAAAATATTGATTGTTGTTTAATTTGGGGTGTTACCCTGCTTTTGCTAAGTTTAAAGTTAAGCCAGCTAAATGTTTTGTTATGGTTGTCTCACATACCCTTCTTACTTGTTTGTTTAAAACCTCCATAATGTAGGATCTGAAACCAAACAACTTGTTGCTAGATGAACATGGAGTTCTAAAGCTGGCAGATTTTGGCCTGGCCAAATCATTTGGGAGCCCCAATAGAGCTTATACACATCAGGTTGTAACCAGGTAAGAATCCCTTAAATAACTCAAAGTTTATATTGTGCAGGATATTAATCACAAGTGAGCATCATGAGGCTTCTTGTGGCAGGAATCATTGTTGGTGTTTTGTTGAAAATACAACCATTTTGTGTTATATCTATCCTACCACAGTGAGAAAAAATACAGCCCTTCATTCAAACAAGAGTTGCATCCTCAGACATTTATCTAGTAACTTTTTTTTAAGAGATTTTTTTTTTTTAATTTTTAGAGAGAGGGGAAGGGAGGGAGAAGGAGAGGGAGAGAAACATCAAATGTGTGGTGACCTGTCACATGGCATCCACTGGGGACCTGGCCTGCAACCCAGGCATGTACCCTGACCGGGAATCGAACCAGCGACCCCTTGGTTGATAGCCCGCACTCAGTCCACTGAAGTACACCAGCCAGGGCTTATCTAGTAACTTTTGAGAGTAATTTATATTTCTTTTTTTCTTTTTGTAATGAAGACCATTATCATCTTTTCCCCCCCATATCTTTTTTTAGAGAGGGGGCGGGGAAGGTAGAGAGAAAGAAAGGAAGAGAAACATTGATGTGAAAGAGAAACTTTGATTAGTTGCTTCTCACATGCACCCTGACCAGGACAGAACCTGCAACCTAGGCATGTGCTCTGTCCTGGAATAAAACCAGTGACCTTTCACTTTACAGGATGAATAACCCTAACCAACTGAGCCATACTGGTCGGGGCTAGTTTATGTTTCTTCTACATTTTAGTTAGGTAGTCTGTAACTTTAGTGATTATTTTACATAATTACCTGATTTGGAGGGCCTGGGTTTACTTTATTAGTCAGTTGTGATTCCATATTTTATATCATTCAGTGCGAATAAAAATTCTCTAAACAAAGAAGGCATTGATGTTTTGATTTTTCATATTATTATATTTGGGGTTTTGTTTTTTTTTTTACTGTTTTGTTTTTATCCTCACCCAAGGACATGCCTATTTATTTTAGAGAGAAGGGAATGGAGGGAAAAAAGAGAGGGAGAGAAACATCAACGTGAGAGAGAAACATTGATTGGTTGCCTCTCATATGGGCCCCAACCAGGGACCCATGAATCTGCAACTCAGGTATGTGCCCTGACTGGGCATTGAGCCCATGACCTTTTGGTTCACAGGATGACACTCCAACCAACTGAGCCACACCAGAGAGGGCTATACTTGTAACATTTTATGTTTATTTTTTTATGTATACAAATTAAAAATCACATTAAACAGATTTTATCATTTTTATCAGAGTGCCATTTTTTAATTTCCAAGACTTTTTTAAGAATCTGAAAAGATCTTCATTTTCTCTATCTATTCCTTTAAATTACTTTGTCAACTTCTTCCAAATAGATCTCAGTAAGCATCAATCACCTAAACCTTAGTAAGACATAAGGGATATAAATAGTTATTCATGTCATTGCTGGAAAGATTAAGCAGATGGGATTAATTTCAGGAATTTAGGAAAACAGGTACCCACATACAAAGCACTGTATACAAGGCTTTTCATCTGTCGGTTTCTCATGTTTTCTTTTAATGCAAATCAAATGCTAGTAATAGGTCAAGTTAAAATGAAGACTGAGAATTGACAGAGTAATGATGTGGATATCATTGTTGACCTTGACAAGAGCCGTTGGTGGAGTAGTAGGAATGAAAGGCTGATTGAAAAGAGTTTGAAAGGATGAGAGAAGAGGACTTAGAGCAGACAGCTCCTTAGACTAACCAGAGAATGAGGAGGTACCTGTTAGGGGAAGTAGGGTCTAAAGAAGTTTTTGTTGCTACTTCGGTTTTAAGTTTATTTTTTACAGCCATAGAAATAATGGTATGTTTGTATGTTAGTGGTAATGGTTTAGTAGAGAACAAAAAGTTGATGTAAAATAGGCAAAAGAGCATGTGGTGTCTAGTGCTCAAATTGAAAGATTGACTTTAAAACCAGTCAAGAATAATTATAATAGGAAGGCAGATTGTGTGAGTACAAAGGACTGTAGGTGAGTTGGTAGAAAACTAAATTTCACCCTGGCTGGTGTTGGCTTGGTGGATGGAGCACCAGCCTGCGAACCAAAGGGTCACTGGTTCCATTCCCAGTCAGGGCACGTGCCTCTGTTGCAAGCTAAGGTGGGCCCCCAGTAGGGGGCACATGAGAGGCAACCACACATTGATGTTTCCTGAAATTTCTCCTTTTCTTCCCCTCTGTCTAAAAATACATAAATAAAATATTTTTAAAAAAGAAGAAAACTGCATTTCATCAGTGAGATGTTTCACTGAGTTTTCGCTAAGAAATACTTTAATAACTTTATTTTAACATGACTGTATTTCTTTTTGTTCTCGAGATGGTATCGGGCCCCTGAGTTACTATTTGGTGCAAGAATGTATGGTGTCGGTGTGGACATGTGGGCTGTTGGCTGTATATTAGCAGAGTTGCTTCTAAGGGTAAGTCTTGAATTGCTGTACACACTTCAGTATTGTTATAGGTATTTGTTTTTAAAATTTGTGGAGAAGTTAATCTTCCCAGAGAGAAGAGCACCATCCTTACAACAAAAAGCCAACAAACTGACCAATTAAAAACAAAAAAAACCCTACCCCAATACAACCTTTTTATTAATGCTAATGTGAGATGAGAATACCTCCTATTTAGGACAATAAAGGTTTTATTGTCGATAATTTCTGTGTTCTGAAATATAACTGTAATAAAACCCTCATTGAGCTATAATATGGCAGTATCTCTACAGTAACTAAATGTGTTAGGATGAACTTTTGTATTCCTGGGATTTTGTTTGGGGCTGTTTAAATGTACAATTTAAAGCTGGGGTGTCCAACCTTTTCGTGTCTCTGGGCCACACTGGAAGAAGAGTTATCTTGGGCCACACATTAAATATATTGCAACCTGTAATCACAAAAAAAATCTCATAATGTTTTAAGTAAATTTATGATTTTGTGTTGGGCTGCATTCACAGTCATCCTGGGCTGCATGCGGCTTGCAGGCTATAGGTTGGACACCCCTGCAGGCTATGTAATACCAACCACTGCAGCTGCAACTCTGTAACTAATGTTAAACCTTGTGTGAGAGAGTCATTTTAGCTCAGTTCAAGCAAAGCAGATGTGGTGGTCCTACTGACACCATTTTACATTAAAGCATCCTTGCTCTGCCCTCATTGGACGGAAAGATGCTAGCTCAGAAACTTTTCTTTAAAGTTCAGGTTAGACCTTCAGAATGATGAAGAGTAAGGGGTATTAGGGAATCCTTCTGGGGCTGATTTTTTTCTCCCTACATTCCAGATTCCAGTCCCTACTCTCTCTCTCCTCAAGCCACATTTAAAGAAATGTGAACCCAAGACATAAAAATATAGCTGTTTATTTCCTTGCACACAGAAAGCAGCTCCCGTACACCAGAGAGAAAAATTACCTTCTTAAACATCTTTTTTTTTCCAGTTTAGTGTCAGTTCAATGCATCGTTTTGAGTTCATCCCTCTGGGTGCTTGCAGAAAAAACCCTCGCATTTAGACTTGAGAATGACATAGTCTCTGTTGCTATACTGGGTCCTGTGAGTTAGCTGGCTGGCATGGCATGTGCTATAAGAACACAGAGTTTACCACAAGCCCACAGTTGACAGTCTATCAGCGACCAAAAGCACCGTGCATTCATGACCAAGAAAAAGAATAGTTCCCTAGTTTCTAATGTTATGACTTACTACTCCACTGAGAAAGTAAGAGGAGAGTTTAGAAATTGTGGACATGACTAAAATCATAGTGGGAGTCTTACCCTTTGGCATTCTTGCTGGAATCATCATTAAGGTTATGAAGAAATGTGCAGGTAGCCCTAATTGGTGAGGAATTGTACCATTTTCTTATATTTTGTCCTGTACAATTAAGGAAAATATTTCTTATTTTTAAACTGTCCATTGGCTCACTAGAAAATATGATCTGTGGAAATGCCCTCCATAAAGTTCTAGATCTGTGGTGAGATTCTGTAGTCCAAACACATGATAACTGAAAGCAGAGTTGTTATATAACATTATCATATGTAATTACAAATTATATATTTTAATTACCTTATATAGTTATCGTAAATTATATGTCATTATAGTATTATATAATATTGATAGTTATATAATATGAAAGCAGGATAGTTAATAGAAAGATTTGCTATTAGCATTCATCTGTTTTCTGTAGTGATTATTTTTTAATATAAATTTTATAAAAGTAGGATTAGGCCTTGGCCATGTAACTCAGAGTGTCATCCAGATATGCCAAGGATGCTGGTTCAATTCTCAGTCAGGTCACATGCAAGAATCAACCAAAAGCCCTGGCTGATGTGGCTCAGTGGATTGAGCACCTGCCTGAGAACCAAAGGGTCACCAGTTCGATGCCCAGTCAGAGCACATGCCTGGGTTGTAGGCTAGGCTCCCAGTGGGGGGGAGGGGGGCATGCAAGACACAACCACACATTGATTTTTTTTTTTAAGAATCAGCCAATGAATGCATAAATAAATGGAACAACAAATCGATCTCTCCCTTCTCTCTCTCTAAAGTCAATAAGTAAAATAAATATTGTTTTTAATAAGTTGGATTAAAAAGCTACTTAAACCAGAAAACAGAGGAGCAATAATAATAAGCCTATATCCAACCAAAGTAGTCAGTACACTTTAAATCATTTTAGAAGAAAATTGATGTACATTCTGAACCTCCTATTGTATTGTTAAATGAAAAGACACATAGAAATATTTTAACCAGTGATAAGTGTTCATTAAAGATTTGTGGAGTGAATAAAATGGGCAGTGTGGTGCTGTGTATTAGGTTATCAATGACAGGATCTAATGCCACATCCAGGATACCTCAACTACATTTTAATTTTTGTCACACTTTAGTTTTTATTATTAAATTTATAGTCTTACTTGCATAACAACTCTTACAAATCACCTTGAATTATCTGCCTCTTACTTTCATCCAGGTTCCTTTTTTGCCAGGGGATTCAGACCTGGACCAACTAACAAGAATATTTGAGACTTTGGGCACACCAACTGAGGAACAGTGGCCTGTAAGCCTTCACCCATTTTCTGTACATAGTGCTACCATGTAAATATTTCTTAAAGAAATGTATTTGTTGTCTTAATTTACTAGTAATTTTAGTTGCTAAGTGTTATATATACAGTTCAGTAAAATATACTCACTTGTTTACTCTTAAATGAAAATTATAAATCTTTTGATTTTTTTTCCTATTCTACCTCCATCTCCTGGGGAATAAGTAAGTATTAGAAAAGAGAAATTTTAATTAGACTACCTTCTGGTTAAAACTGCAGTAAAATTATCTGGAACCAAAATTAAGTCTAAGGAATTTCTTTCATGTTATTACTTCCTCAGCTTGCTAATGAAAAGTTTGCTCTATGTTCTAATTGTAAAACAGGCCCTAATATTTACTGATGTTTATAGCTGTGATCCTTTTTGAGTTAATTTTTATATGAGGTGTGAGATTCAAGTCAGGGTAAAGGTTTATTTAAGTCTTGAAATTAGGTAGACTGATTCCGCTCACTGTTTTGTTTTTTGGGGGTTTTTTTTGTTTGTTTTTTCAGTTTTTTTAGCTATTTTAGTTCCTCTGGCTTCCATATAAATTTTAGAATAATCTTATATAATTTCCCAGAATTTTGGTAAGCATTCCATTAAATCTATGTATTATGAGTTAGAGGAGAATCAACATCTTTATGATGATGAATCTTCCAGTCCGTGAACATAATAGGCCCCACCATTTATTCAGAGCATTGATTTTTTCATCAGTGTTGTGTAACTTTCAGTACAGGAGTGCTACACGCTTTGCTAGATTTTTACCTACTTCAGTGTTCTTTTTTGAGTGACTCTAAATGGCATTTTTTAAATTTCAGTGTCCACATGTTCATTGCTAGCATATAGAGCTACAATTGATTTTTGTGTATTTTATATTGTGCAACTTTGCTCTACTCATTAATTCTAGTTTTTAAATAGATTTCTTTGCATGTTCTATATATTATTCATATGACAGTTTTATTTCTTCATTTGAGATCCATATGCTTTTTAATCCTTTACTGAAGTTTGAATTATAAAACTGTTTTTACAGGACATGTGCAGTCTCCCAGACTTCGTGACATTTAAGAGTTTCCCTGGAATCCCGTTGCAGCACATCTTCATCGCCGCAGGAGATGACTTGCTGGCTCTCATACAAGGCTTGTTCTCATTCAACCCGTGTACTCGGATTACAGCCACTCAGGTATCTTAGCATATCTTCCTTACCATGCAAGGGTAATCTTAACTATAGCATTGATGAAATAAAAACAGAATTTCATGATGTTCTGACATTCTTTAAATACTGGAAAGATGTGTTTTTGTTTTAAGGAATAACGTTTTATCTTCAAGCTACAAGCACTATTTTGACTGGTATTAAATTACATCATGCATGCACCACTATAGGAGAGTTTATTGGGAACATAAATACATAACTCTTACTTTTTTAAGATTTTTACTTATTTATTTTGAGAGAGGGAGGAAGGGAGGGATAAAGAGAGGGAGAGAAGCATTGATGTGAGAGGGAAACATCCATCAGTCGCCTCTTGTGAGCTCTACAACCCAGGCATTTGTCCTAACAAGGAATAGAACCAGCAACATTTGGGTTTACAGGCTGGCACTCAAACCACTGAGCTCAATTTCATAATTAATTGGCTTTCAAGTGGTCTACTTAAAGAGGAAAAAATAAGGTTTGTATTTAAGACACTAGTATATTTTAGCCCTGCTGGCGTAGCTCAGTGGATTCAGCGCGGGCTGGGAACCAAAGTGTCCCAGGTTCGATTCCCAGCCAGGGTACATTCCTGGGTTGCAGGCCATAACCCCCAGCAACCGCACATTGATGTTTCTCTCTCTCTCTCTCTCTCTCTCTCTCTCTCTCTCTCTCTCTCTCTCTCTCCCTTCCCTCTCTAAAATAAATAAATAAAATCTTAAAAAAAAAAATTTCTTAAAAAAAAAAAAGACACTAGTATATTTATATTAAATGTTTTGTATTAATATAAATCTCATGGCAAGCCTAATGCCTAAAGTCTTTTGTTCTTTCCCATAAAATGCACTCCAGATACACACACTGGTATTGTCTTAGTCCAAAAGTGATAATGAGGGGAAAGTGGTTTAGTCTGATGTAACTGTGTGCTTATAAGAGATTGGATGATAAAACAAACAAAGTAGAACAAACACTGAAACTGACAGTTGTTTAAGGGAAATAAGAGTCAAACTCAAGAAAAAGTTGAAAGACCAAGTTTGTCTGTTCTTATAAAAGAAGAGAAAAATACCATCCAAAACAAAAATGTAAGAGCTATAGATTTGAAATAAAAATTTTCTTTGTTTTAAAAACAAGTACACAGACCCCTGCTGGGTAGTTCAGTTGATTAGAGCATCGTCCTGATACACCAGAGTGTGGGTTCGATCTGTCCTGGGCACATACAAGAATCAACCAATGAATGCATACATAAGTGGAACAGTTCATCCTAGTTCCTCTCTCTACACCCCGTTTCTCTCTCTAAAACCAATACATTAAAAAATATATATTTTTTAGAAACAAGTACACAAACCAAAAAAGGGTAAACTCACAAACACTTAGTTCAGGGATATATAATCTGCAACACAGTGCAATGCTTTAGCTTCATAAAGGAAGAGACTGATTCAAATGAAGTATGAAGTCTTCCAATCTAACAAAACATGTTAATGCACAATGTATCAAGGGTACAAAGTGGATTTTTTTCCACGCTTTTATTACAGCCTACCAAATCATTGTTTGAAGCATTTATTTCTATAGGCCTTTTCTTTTTATGTAAAAGCTACATTAATACATACCTGCTACATATTTTACCATTAGAATTACTTTTTTATTTTTAAGACATTCTTTTTTTTTTAATTTATTTATTTTTAGAGAGGGAAGGGAGGGAGAAAGAGAGAGAAACATCAATGTGCGGTTGCTGGGAGCCATGGCCTGCAACCTAGGCATGTGCCCTGACTAGGAATCGAACCTGTGATGTCTGGTTCACAGCCCGAGCTCAATCCACTGAGCTACGCCAGCCAGGGCTCTTTTTTTAATTAATAAATTTTATTGATTATGCTATTACAGTTATCCCATTTCCCCCCTTTATTCCCCTCCACCCTGCACACCCTCTCCCACCCACATTCCCCCCCTTTAGTTCATGTCCATGTGTCATAAGTTCTTTAGCTTCTACATTGCCCATACTATTCTTGCCCTCCCCCTGTTTATTTTCTACCTACTGTCTATGCTACTTATTCTCCATACCTTTTCCCCCTCTCTTCTCCTCCCACTTCCCTGTGGCTAACCCTCCATGTGATCTCCATTTCTGTGGTTCTGTTCCTCTTCTAGTTGTTTGCTTAGTTTCTTTTTGTTTTTGTTTTAGGTGTGGTTGTTACTAATTATGAGTTTGCTGTTATTTTACTATACATGTTTTTTATCTTTTTCTTAGACAAGTCCCTTTAACATTTCATAAAATAAGGGCTTGGTGATGATGAACTCCTTTAACTTGACCTTATCTGAGAAGCACTTTATCTGCCCTTCCATTCTAAATGAGAGCTTTGCTGGATAGAGCAATCTGGGATGTACGTCCTTGCCTTTCATGACTTGGAGTACTTCTTTCCAGCCCCTTCTTGCCTGCAAGGTTTCTGAGAAATCAGCTGACAGTCTGGTGGGAACTCCTTTGTAAGTTACTGTCTCCTTATCTCTTGCTGCCTCTAGGATTCTCTCCTTCATTTTTACCTTGGCTAATGTAATTATGATGTGCCTTGGTGTGTTCCTCCTTGGGTCCAGCTTCTTTGGGACTGACTCTCTGAGCTTCCTGGACTTCCTGGAAGTCTATTTCCTTTGCCAGATTGGGGAAGTTCTCCTTTATTATCTGTTCAAATAACTTTTCCACTTGTTGCTCTTCCTCTTCTCCTTCTGGTACCCCTGTAATTCAGATGTTGGAACGTTTCAAGATGTTCTGGAGGTTCCTAAGCCTCTCCTCATTTTTTTGAATTCTTGTTTCTTCATTTTTTTGGTTCTTTTTTTCTTCCTTCTGGTCCACTCCATTGACTTGAGTCTCAGTTTTCTTTCCATCACTATAGATTCCCTGTGCATTGTCCTTCATTTCACTTATTGTAGCCTTCATTTTTTTCATCTAACTTGTGACCAAATCCAACCAATTTTGTGAGCATCCTGATCACCAGTGCTTTGAACTGTGCATCTGATAGGTTGGCTATCGCTTGGTCGCTTAGATGTATTTGCTGTGGAGCTTTGATCTGTTCTTCTGTTTGGGCCTTTTTGTCTTGTTGTGCCTGTTACATATGAGGGGTGGAGCCTTAGATGTTCCCCCGGGTGGGGCAACCCAGTTGCTGGGTTGTGACGCTGTATGTGGGGGCAGAGTCAGGGAGGGAACAATGGCACTTGCTCTGGTCTCTGTCGGATTTCAGTCCCCTCTGCCGCTTCCCACAGGCAAATTGTGCCTGTTGTGCCCTTCTGGTGCAGGTTCCCGGGTGAGTGGACTTGTGTACTTTCTAGGACCCTGTGGGTCTCTCCAGCTAACTTGCCTGTGAGGCTGGGAGTCTCTCCCGGCACCTCAACCCCCACAAGTGTTTTCAATCAGTACCCTGAGGCTCTGTTTCCTGGGGCTGGGATCCTGTGTTGCGCACAGTGCCTTGTTTCACAATCACTGCCTTGCTGGGTCTGTGGGTTGCTGAGTCTGCCTGCTGTGGTCTTATGTGCCCAGGATGCCTTACACGCCTGGTGCCACTGCTCTTTGTGTCTCAATCCCTCTCCATGTGCCTGCCCAACTCCACCCCTCCTGCCGGTCTGGATGAATGTGTCTATATTAACTCCTTGGTTGTCTAACTTCCATGCAGTTCAGTTTTCTGTCAGTTCTGGTTGTTATTCTGTTTCTAAATTGTTGTGTCCCTATCTTCGTTGTGGGAGGAGGCACAGTGTGTCTGCCTACTCCTTCATCTTGTCCGGAAGTCTAGCTTGGATCAGAATTACTCTTCTAATTTCAAACAAGTAACTTGCTGTCTTTCTACCCATACGTGTATATACGTGTATTATCTCCGTCATAAGGAACTTGAGACCAGGTCAAATTATCTAGAAAGTTGTTTTCACTAATAGTAAAACTCAAAACTTAGAGAAAAATAGTAGCTGTGGTAACTTATTTGAGTTGTATTTTGACATAATGAATTATTTAAAATGGGTTTTGCTTTTTGCTCAGTCCCTCCACCTGGACATGGACAACAGTGTAGTGATGGCTGGGGGAGGGAGGTGTAAGGGGATAAATGGTAATGGAAAAAATATAATAAAGATTAAATTTAAGCCCTGGCTGGCGTAGCTCAGTGGATTGAGCGCGGGCTGCAAACCAAAGTGTCGCAGGTTCGATTCCCAGCCAGGGTACATGCCTGGGTTGCAGCCTATGGCCCCCAGCAACCACACATTGATGTTTCTTTCTCTCTCTCTGTCTCCCTCCCTTCCCTCTCTAAAAATAAATAAATAAAATCTTTAAAAAAAAGATTAAATTTAAAAAAGAAGATACTAAATAGCACAAAGAATTTCGTGAGAAAAAAGAATGGATTTTGGCTCTGTCTTAAAGTTAGAATGAGCCCTGGCTGGTGTGGCTCAGTGGATTGAGCGAGGGCTGCTAACCAAAGGGTCACCAGTTCGATTTCCAGTCAGAACACATGTCTGGGTTGCAGACCAGGTCCCCAGGGGGGCCATGTGAGAGGCAACCACACGATGATATTTCCCTCCCTCCCTTCCCCTCTCTCTAAAAATAAATAAAACCTTATAAAGTTAGAATGAGGTACTCTTTGATTTTTAGATTCTGCGTAGCTCAGAATTAGCTCAATTAACTTAGGGAACTGCTAGGATTTGGAAGTAACACTTTAGAAATGCAACTCTTTGGAAGTAAGAAATCTCTAAATCATTACTTCAAAATAATACAGTTTTGGTGGGGGAATGCTTAAAGAGTTTATATGGACCTCTTTTTGACCCTAAGAGGATTATCCAAAAGGAAATGTCTTAAATTATTGTGGATGTTAAATACTAGTATGATGCAAATAATGCATGAACTTGAGAAATATGTCTTTTAGAAAATAGCAGTATTTTTACTGGAATTTTGGCCTGCAGTAAAATATCTTATCATAGACCATAAGATTTGTAGTAAATAGAAATAACCTTGGGCAAGTCCTTTCAAGCATCATTTCTGTCAATTTGCAGTGGCTTGTTGGATTTGAATCCCTTGTTGCCAACCTACTGCATCTTTTTAAAAGCTTTACTTTTAAGAATTTATATTCACATGATTTGGAATTTGAATACAGGGTGGAACAAAAGTAGGTTTAGAGTTGTATGTGAAACACAGAATATTTTTTAACTTTTAATTTTAATTTTCCCATGATCATTTATGCCCCCATAACCCTCTTCCACCTCCACTCATCCCAATCCCCCAGAATTTATTATTGATTTATTATTGTATTTTTTTTCATATGAACAACTGTAAACTTACTTTTGTCCCATGCTGTTCATGTAGATGTTATGATAAGTAAATTTAGATTTTCTTTTTAAGCAAGTTTCTTTTTTTTTTTTAAGATTTTATTTATTTATTTTTAGAGAGGGAAGGGAGGGAGAAAGAGAGAGAGAGAGAGAAACATCAGTGTGCGGTTGCTGGGGGTCATGGCCTGCAACCCAGGAATGTATCCTGACTGGGAATCGAACCTGCGACACTTTGGTTCACAGCCCGCGCTCAATCCACTGAGCTACGCCAGCCAGGGCTTAGCAAGTTTCTTTATGTTTTAAACTATAGAACCATAATGTGTAGACAGCTGAATTACACAATACGAGGGAGGGAACCTCAAAAAAAAGACACCAGAATTTATTTTTTTTTAATTGTGTATTTATTCTTACATGTTTAAACTTCAGTCACCTCCAAAGTACTCTCCGTTTGATACAATATACCTATTGAGACATTTTTCCCACTGCTTCAGTTTTCTAACTCACTGATTTTGATGCCTTTTAGTGTTTCTGCCATTTTTTGTTTCACCTCTTACACACTGGCAAAACGTTTCTCTTTGAGGACTTTTTTCATCTGGGGAAACAAAAAAAAGTTGCTTGGGGTGAGATTGGATGAATAGGGAGGGTGGGGCTTGGGGTTTATGTCTTTTTTGGACAAAAACTGCTGAACACGCAAGCACCGTGCTGGCAGTTGGCCTTGTCAATCACCCATTATGAAATGGGCAAAAGCATTGACTGAGTCTTCAAAAAACAAATTCACCAAAGTGAAATACACCCTCTCACAACAAGGCCAGCTAGTACACTGATACAGAGGGGAAGGCTGTATTACAAGGGGCCCATCCTTCAGAAAATAATTTTGTGTGGGTTTTTTTTTGTCCCCTTCATATCATACTAAGGATATTTCATATTTAGTATAGACTATTTAATTGTGGACAAACTGGAAGGTAGTATCTTAACAGTAATGAATTTATCAGCCAGTCTTAGGCTGCTAGATGTTTGTTTATTCATAGTAATTTGCTTTTCCAAATACTTGAAATTAATTTTGTTTTGGGAGCAGGGGTATTCACATAGTATTTTTAATGTTCCCAACAATTTTGGAGGTCAGATTTTTCTTAAACACAGTTCAGATACTCACTTAAAAGTTTACTTTCTTTGGTATCTATTTTAAAAGGCATTGAAAACTAAATATTTCAGTAATCGGCCAGGGCCCACACCTGGATGTCATCTGCCGAGACCAAACTGTCCAGTGGAGGCGTTAAAGGAGCAGACTAATCCATCTTTGACAACAAAACGAAAGAGGACAGAGGCCTTAGAGCAAGGTGAGACTAATTTTTATAAGAAATGCAGTGGATTCAGAAAACTCCAAATGGCTAATGCATAGCTAGTGACAGAGAACAGCTAAGAAATGTAGATTGTGAGCTATTTACTTTTTATAAATTTAAATTGTATAAAGTAAATAGAATGTGGAATTTTAATATTAGCTGCTTTTGCTCCCGTTGAAGATACTTACATCATACTCCTTAAAGGAACAAGGGCACTTTTGAGTACCTCAGAGCTATGAGAATTATCAATGTGTACCTTATACTCTTCATAAACTCTTACTGGTACACTGTATGCGTAATGTTTAACAAATGCTATAGGAAAAATCAAAGCAAGTAAAATAAATGTAATGGGAATGTAATGACTGGTTGAAATTACACAAACAAAACTGCATAAACATAAGATTAAATGTGAACGACTTTTTTTTTTTTTTCCTACCTAGGAGGATTACCCAAGAAGCTAATCTTTTAGTTACAGACAACACTGGATAGTATTTTACTACTGAAGAAAATAGTCAAAAAGGCAAATAATGATAAAATGTAAACCATTAAATAAATGCTGTAGAAGGAATTTGTAAATATTCTACACATGTAAAATATGTAAAACTGAGTTATTTTTATTAAATGTATTTTAAAACACTTAATTTTGATTTTTGTGATTAGAATGCAAAAGTAAGATAAGTTCAGTTTTCTGAAATGTAGAGTCAGAATAAAAAATGCAATCAGTTATTTTGATGATCTGGTCCATACAGCATCACAAATTTGTAGTAGCAAGGGTAGTATTTAAAGGCTGAACAATAGGAGTAGTAATATAGCAAAATGTACTCCCAGACTTAACAGATGTTAATATACTAAGTAGGAAAAAAAGAAAAAGGACTACAGATAAAATTGAGGCCCCTTTAATATGTCATTCCATTCTGCTTCTTTTTGCCCTTCCCAGAGGGGACTGACTCTCAGGAGACGAGTGTGTCCTCCTGTGGTGTTACACGGCTGTTTGATAATGCACATAGTGGTGCATGGTATTGTTTTGGGTCTCAGAAGTTTACATTAATGATAAGCTGTACATCTCATACTGCAGTTTTTTTCACTGAAAACTTTTAAATTTCATATTCCTTCCATGTTAATATATGTATATATAAATCTACTTGCCCATGCTCGATTACAGACTGTTGTTTTTCTTTTGCTTAATAAACATTGCCATAAATGTAGCAGCTTAAATTAAAACAAATTGACTAGCTCACAGTTCTGTAGGTCAGATAGATACCTGGCATGGCTCAACTATGTTTAGTGGATAGGCCAAAATCAAGGTGTCAGTCAGACTGCGGTCTTAATCTTCTGAGGCCTTAGGGAAGAATCTGCTTCCCAACTCTTTAATTCATGCTATTTTAATGCATGTTCCACCTGCCCTTCCTAGCTGCCAGCCAGGGACCAGCCAGGGCAGTGCACATGCCTTATCACATGACACTCTCCATCTGCAGGCCAGCGGCAATGCTTCAGTTTGTCTGCCTTCCTCATCTGCTACCAAGAGAGAGCGCTCTGCTCTTTAAAAAAATGGGAGCTGGTGCACACCTGGTTGGGTTATCCATTTATTAAGGTCAACTCTGTTGGATTTTAAATACATCTTAAAAATCTCCTCATGGTAGTTACCTAGCCCATCTCTAGATGGGAATCATGAGAAGGGTCATCTTTAGTGTATTGCCACATGGACATTTAGGTTATTTTCAGTTTTTCACAATTATTAAAAAATGAGAACATTTACATGCATTTTTAATTAGTGTTGATATTGCCATATTTCTCCAAAGTAGTTGTATCAGTTTACACTCCCAGGTACTGTTCAGTAGTTCTTAAAAATGAAGCCCTTAACTTTATACCATATGCAAAATGTAATTCTAAATGGATCAAAGACCTAAACATAAGACTTAAAGCTATAAAAACTCTTCAAAAAAAAACATAGGAGGAAAGCTTCCTGACCTTAGATTTGACAAGGACTTCCTGGATATGACCCCAATAGAACAAGCACCAAAAGTAAAAATAAACAAACTGGAATGTATCAGGTAAGGAGTTAATATCTGAAATACATAAAGCACTCATAGCTTAGCAATAAAAAAAAATCCAATTCAAGTTTGGGCAAAGGACTTAAATAGACATTTCACCAGACATGATATGGAAATGGCAAATAAACATGAAAAAATGCTCAACATCACTAATTACTAGGGAAATGCAATTCAAAACCACTACGAGCTCTGGCCAGGTGTCATTCCCAAAGGGGGCAGATTCATTTCCCAATCACAGCACACACTTAGGTTGCAGTTTGATCCCTGGTCAGGGCTTGTGCAGGAGGCAACTGATTGATGTCTCTCTCCCCCCCATCCTCGCACTCTGGAATCAATGAACAAACTTGTCCCTGGGCAAGGATACAAATAATTAAATAAAAATAAACACAAAAACCACAAGGAGATACTACCTCATACCCATTAGGATGGCTACTATTTAAAAAAACCTGACATTAACAAGTGTTGGTGAGGATGTGGAAAAATTGGGACCCTTATGCGTTGTTGGTGGGAAGGTAAAACAGTGCAGCTGGCTATGGAAAACAGGTGTTCCTTCGAAAATGGAATTACCATATAATCCCACAATTTCACTCTTCAGTAGAGACCCCCAAAAATTGAATACAGGGTCTCAAATACACATTCATCAACACTGCATTAAAGTAGCTGGTTTACCTCATCGTGTCTACCACTCACATAATCTTTGTGATCTTTTGCTAATTTGATATCATAATTTATCGTTCTTTGATTACTATGTAATTAATCCCTCTTGTGAACTGTTGATTCAGATTCTTTGTCCACCTACCAACTGGAGTGTTACAAATGTCAATTGATATAAATTTGTTTTATATAGATATACACACATTTAAAAATATCCTTTCTAGTTTTTGTAATTTGACTTTTTTTCACTTTTTTTTTTTTTAAGAGAGGGAAGGGAGGGAGAAAGAGAGAGAAAGAAACATCAATGTGCGGTTGCTGGGGACCATGGCCTGCAACCCAGGTATGTGCCCTGACTGGGAATCAAACCTGCGATGCTTTGGTTCGCAGCCCATGCTCAATCCACTGAGCTATGCCAACCAGGGTCTTTTTTTCACTTCCAATTTTAGTATTAGATAATCCCAGTTCCTTTCCTTACCTTTAATTTTTTATTGATTTTAGAGAGAAACATCAATTTGTTATCCCACTTATTTATGCCTACATTAGTTGTTTCTTCTATGTGCCCTAACCAAGGGTCAAACCCATAAGCTTGGTATATTGGGATGATGCTGTAACCAACTGGCTATCTGGCCAGGGCCTTACCTTTTATTTTATACAAAATTCTTACATATACTAGATCTGTGTATGGTCTTTTTTCCTATTCCATTGACCTGCTGGTACCACACTGCTTTAAATAATGTAGCTTTATATTGTTATCAGGGCAAGATTTTTTAAAAAGATTTTATTTTTAGAGAGAGGGGAAGGGAGGGAGAAGGAGGGAAACATCAATGTGAAAGAGATATATCAATTTTTTGCCTCTCGCATGCCCCCAGCTGGGAACCTGGCCCACAGCCCAGGCATGTGCCCTGCCTGGAATCAAACCAGCAACCTTTTGATCTGCAGAATGGCTCTCAATCCACTGAGCCACACCAGTCAGGGCAGAACAATATATTTTAATATCTGATAACAATAGCTCTTCATCATTCCCCCTTTTTTAAACATTTATTTGCCAAATCTTCAGCTTTTATTATTTACTAATGCCAATTAAATGCTCTCCCTTTAACAAAACTATAATTTGTTTATGTTGTTACCTGATACTGTTGTTATTTAAGTAGTATTTAGTGTAGCCATCTATCTTTTCATCAGAGATCTTAGATAAGTTTTATTACAAGTGCTAACAATGTAATACATTTCCTTCAACATAATTGTGATGATACTAATATAACAATATTCCCAAAAGGTATTAAAGATTATTACTATGTAATATTTATAGAAACAAAATTAAATGATCTAAAATTTAGCATCAGAACCAAGAAGTTAATTCAGACTGGTCTGAGTATCAGAATTTTGTGTAGATCTGGCCACAAAATGTCACCACTTTGGAAGAAAAACAAAACTATGAAGGGAACTAGCTATGATTTTGAATATACTTCCACCAAAGTCCCACCATAGCAGCTCTTAACTGAGGTTAACTTAAGGAAAATATTTGAAACTTTATGTCACAAATGAAAAATCCTGAAAAACAAATAAAACAAAATAAGTGTATTTCAAAAATTAACATATATTCACTCCTAGGCATTGTTATTTCTTAGAGCATTAATTTACATTATGTTGCTGCTTGAGCCAAAGATCCCCATATTCAATCTAAATAGTTAAATAATTTTTTGTTTTTCACAAAATACTGGTTTGGCCAAAAAGCTCATTTAGTTTTTTTCCATAAAATAAAGAGACATTTTTCATTTTCAATAATAACCTTATTGATTTGGATATTTTGAGTATGTCAGCTATTTCCTGTGCTGCATGACATTGATTTTTTCAGTTAACATCTCAGTTTGATTGCTGTCAACTTCACCTGGTCTAACAGAGTGTAAAGCATTGTCCAGAGAGAAACCTCCAGCAGGAAACTTTGCAAACCACTTTTGACACGTTCGATCAGTCACAGCACCTTCTCCATACACTGCACAAATCTTTGTTTGCATTTCAGTTGCAATTTTACCTTTTTTGAAATAATAAAGCATAATATGACAAAAATGTTGCATATTTTCTTCCATCTTCAATATTAAAATGGCTACACATAAACTCACCAATTTTGATAAGATTTTTTTAAACACACACTGATATGACAGCTGTCAGAACAAAATCTAACAAAATTGCTTTGAATAAAGTTTAAGGGCAGCTAAGCATGACTAGAGCCATCTTATGGAAAAATACCAAACAAACTTTTTGGCCAACCCAATACAATATTTCTGTTTTTCAGTTATTGGTAAAATACTGGAAATTTTATAAAATATAGTGATGTATTTTACAAATAAAATATGTCTACACAGAATACTAATAAATTTCTTGTAGCAAACATTTGAGTATTTAAGCTGCCTCCTAAAATTTAGAAATAACCAGAAAACATACAATTTCTGAATATGTAACAATGTTTACACAATCCTTTTTCAAAGTCTCTTGATATAAACAGTTCTTGGTTCTAATTTCAACTGGTTTGTCTTCAAAACATATTTGATGGCAAAGAATGGGATCTTTTCAGAGTTCTTGTGTCATTTTGACCTGTATGAAGATGCTGGGGTAGACATATGCAGCCCAGAGAATTAAAAATTTGAACACTTGAAGGTACAGGATCACGCAAGACAGAGAGCTCTGTAGTTTTCTGCTGGCAGTGTTTTAATGGAAAATTGTCATTGTTCCCTTTTGAGCCTGTGTTTTTGTCTTCCAATGCCCGAGCAAGCATGTAACTAACTTTTCTTTGATGAGCCAAAGCTTCTTCTTTATCGTTCAGCTACATGCACAGAGATTTAAAAAATGCCAGTTAGTTAATAAATGATACAGAGCTATGGTCAGAAGTATTTTATCAAAATGTTCATTCTCCAATCTGTCAAGTCAATCATCATGAATAAATCAATTAGGTGTCCACTGATTCCCAAGCATTATGCTATATGTTATTGAGAGTATTTTTTTTCTAAAGATTTTATTTATTTTTAGAAAGAGGGTAAGGGAGAAAGAGAGGGAGAGAAATATCAATGCGTGGTTGCCTCTTGAATGCCCCCTACTAGGAACCCGGCATGCAACCCTGGCGTGTGCCCTGACTGGGGATCAAACCGGTGACCCTTTGTTTCCCAGACAGGCACTTGAGCCACTTAGCCACACCAGCCAGGGCTTGAGGATATTTTTTAAAGGAAGAATAGAAAACGACTGCTGAAAGTTTTGTCATCTGAAGAGGAGGCAGAAATACATATACATGAGTGTGTGTGTGTGTGTGTGTGTATACATATATATGTATAAATATGTGTGTATACATATATAAATATATAAAATCAACCTGTACTTACCTCTGTAAAAGAATATTGAAATTACCTATATTTAACATTGTTTTTATATATTTATATGTAAATAACTTTAACACTCTCCTATAGATAAGTACGTTCATATAATGTGAGTCTTCAGTCACCTGTGAAATGGGGATAACAGAACTGAGTTCAAGCTTGGGGTCATGATTAAAGGATATAATGTGTCAGGAAGTGAATGGCTACTTTAAAAATTCCTGAGTAAAGAGAAGGTCTTGCCATGAACTATTTATTTAAGTGCAGATGACAGAGATGCTGGGAGTTAATTATGGGGAGCCCCCCTTTTCAGAGGTAGAACTTTAAACGTGCACAGGAAGAACATGGATGGGGGAAGTGGGAAGAGCGTGCTGAGAGTTTAAAGAGATCAGGGTTGTAACTCTGGAGGAGGGTCCGGGGAAAGGGAATAAAAGGCAAATGTAGAGTGGTAAAGTTGAATTAATAGGAAGCAAAAAGATTAGCTTAACCACCATCCCTAACAAGAAGAAAGCAAAGATACCAACCAAATCTATTAGCATCTTAAAGACTTCCTGAGGATTATCCTGGTCTTCAGTCCTCTTAGAACTGTTTTCCAAAGGGAGCATCCCCAGCAGTCTCTGCCCTAAGGTCTTCTTCGTCCTTTGTGATAGTAATCCTAAAATTGAACAGGAAAACCCAGCTGAGACATAAAAAAGACACTCACTGATGTGAACTTCCAGGAAAAGAGGTAAGTATGAACCATGGCTACTGCGTTCCTCAGTCAGGAGGTGTCCTCCTCAGGAGACCCTGAGCGCGAGTAAGTCAGGCAGCACAGCAGAGTGTGGAGAGCTCAGGCTTTAGAGCCAGGATGGCAAATGCAGAGAGAGGGCCACAGCGAGAACCCAGAGCAATGCCCCACCATTCTGTCACATTCTGTCGCTGCTCCTCAGCTCACAGTGGCTGCCCCATGGGAAAGAATTCAGCCCATGCTAGCAGATCATCGAAGTCTTCCAGAGGAAGCAGAGCAATCCAGATTTGTATGTGATATCTCCCAATTTTAAACGTCAGCCACTTGACCCACATTATTTGAGAATACTACAAAGACCCCAAAAAACCTCTACAGGCCAGTGGCCTCTGAACCATGCAAACTCTGCTTCAGAGTCAGAAAGGTCTGGACTTGAATCCTTATTGCCACTTACTAACTGCATGACCTTGGACAAGAGCTCTGAGCTTCACTCCCTCAGCTCTAGAATAAGAGTATCGGTACCTATGCCTCAGGGTTGCCATGCCATTAAATTACAGAGCATCTGCTGAGGGAGGAGAGTGGGAAGTTAGCGAGTAATGGGTACAAAGTCTCTGTTTGGGATGAAAAAGTTCTGGAGATGGATGGTGGTGATGTTACACAACATTGTAAATGTGCTTAACATTACTTACAAATGGTTAAAGTAGTAATTACTCTCCCTGCCCCTAAAAAAAGATGTGCTGTGAAAGCACCTAGCCCAGGTACTGATGATGTTGAAAGTCCACATCCTGAAGTGTGTACATTAATGTTCTGCTTCATCCATAGAAAGGATGCAATTTATACTACAAAGTGCAAAACTTGTAGATTTATACAAAGAAAATGTCAAGGTTGTTTTTGAAATGCTTGGTAAACAGTCTCATGGAGAACAGAGAGCGGATCAACCCCAGTGACTGGGGCTCACACCTGACCTCTTCCACGAGCAGCTGTGGCAACAGGTGAACAACGCCAGACAAGTGAGGCCCTTGGCAACTTTGATGAGTGAACAATCTGTCTCTGTTTGCAGTTTTAAAAAAGGAACGAGGCTCATAACCTGTCACTCAGAACCTGGCTAAGCTGCCATTCAAGAAGAAAAGCTGATGGCTTAAGTGTTAACCACACATCAGAGAACGATCTGTAATAATCATCCTATACTGGTTCAGATTATTGGAAATATACTAGTAAAATGAATCAAAATCTTGTCACTAAGAAACTCAGTCAAGAGTTACTGAAACTTTTAAGGACTTGTAAAGGCTTTTCAGAGATGAATCAATTCTTTAAGTTCTGCTTCTAAGTCTGTCAGTGCCTTAACAGAAAACAAAGATTGGGAGATATACCTCTCAAATTGTATTTTTTATGGAAAAGTCCCTGAGTCTTAACACTAGCCAAGAAAGGTGGGAATTCTGGAATATAAAATGAGTACAAACTCAAGTGCTGAAATGAATACAAATCTACCTCTTAAAAACCCAGCTTTGTCTGCACAGCACTATCATTATGGCCAACTTCCATGCAGAGCAAGGGGCGGGGGAGGCTTCTATGCAGGTGACAAAATGTGATAAGCTTTCATAAGATCACTTTAACCATTCTTTTCCCTCCTTCTTTCTCTCATCACTCTTCTCCCTACATTCCATCAGAACAAACCAGGTAGATTTCCAAATGGATTTGCCTTCAATTAACAACACAGAACGCCAAAGCTGCTGTCAAAGATGATGCCTTGGAAGCGGCCGGCTGCCGTGAAGGGTGTGGCTGAGAGGAGGGGCGGGATGCCTGAGGGAGGCCACCTGCACATTTGTTGTTCACCTAGAACTAGATACTCTTCATGTTTTCCACTGATTCTTAAAAGGCTAAATGCATGGACTGAATTTTATTTCCCTGGCAAAATCACCTTCTTTGAATTGGACGGGGAAGTTATACCTTATGCTTTTGTCAAGGAATTATTATGGAAAACAGCCATATTAATATTGATTTTGTATTTACCATAAATTATTGTCGAGGACTTAGCCATTATATTGGCTTAATGGCCTCTGTAAGTCTCATGTCACAAAAACTTTTATAAGTAAGTTAACTTCAGGACAATGTGGAATGCCTCTTTATGGAGGAGAGTTGAGGAACAGATTTTCCTTTTTTGCCCTGATTTCCACGTGATGAACACTCTAAATATATAGGTTTTATCATCTTTTTTCCACTCATGTTCATGGTTCTTCTTTACTGCCATTCTTACTATCCCTTCTTACTATTTCAGCAAAGAGATGAGTAAAGTTTAATCAATGAATTTTAAACTCACAACACTTGACCATATACTATTACTAATATGTACTATTTAAAAAGAAAAAATTTAAAATAAAATAGGTATCTACTATTAAAAGTTTCATATTTAATATTACAAGATGCTTATTAGTCCTTAAGGTCATCTTTTTTTAATTTTAAATAAAGAGATGGAGAGTGGGAGAGAGGGAGAGAAACATCAATGTGTGGTTGCCTCTCACATGCCCGCCAGGGGACCTGACCCACGGCCCAAGCATGAGACCTGACAGGGAATCAAACCAGCGACCCTTTGGTTTGCAAGCCAGCACTCAATCTACTGAGCCACACTAGCCAGGGCTGAAGTTTACCTTAAAATGACATATATTGGACTTAGAATTATGGATATTAACATAAAATATTTGGAAATATAGTCATCTCAGAATTTTAGTACCAAACACATTTAAATTTCTTAAGAACTTCACTTTAATCTTTCTTGACTGATAAATGATTTCACATTGACATTTTAAATTGAAACAATATGAATTCTGAATAATATTGATAAATGAAAACTGATACTGACCTTTAAAATTAAAATTTCTTTTAAAACAGCTACTTTGTGTATATTGGATAACCTACTTCAACTGTAACTTTATTTTCTCATATCATTTTCATATATTTTATTTACAGTAATACTTAAAAATGGCCATGAACTTCTGATAGGCTTGTAAACCTAAACCTTAACTTGTTCTATTATAAGAATATTTTATTAATTTGTCCAACCTAAGATATTTCCTCTACTCTAAAATGTCTCCTCCAGAATCATGCATGTCAAGAAAGTTTAATTAGATACATTTAATGTGAGTTTCATTGTCATTTTCAATATTACTTCCCTCTTGGCAGTTTCCCTTTAACCATCTAGTACTCGTATTCTTTCCTCCACTAAGTGTGCTCTTGTTTCAATGAGACAGAAGAGCACTAGAAAAGACTTTCCTGTTATTTCATGGTTTTGCTGCTCCCAATTGCTCATCTGCATGCGTAACATTCAGTGGCCCATTTCTTCCCCTAGATACTAAATTTTAAAATAAATCACAGCTATATGCAAAATTTCAATTATATTATCCATCGTATTAAATGTGCATAATCAAATTATAAACAAAAATAACTTAAATTACACCTGATTTATTGCCATTATAGTTCATATTTACCATCCTCTTTAACTTGCTTCCAATTTATCCATTTTGTTTCTTTTTTACACACTTTATCCATTTGTGTTAATCTTAGTGCCTGGTCATTTTTCCTCATTAATTGTTGCTCAAACGCAATTCTGAATGCATCTGCCATTATGTATGCTTCTTCTTTACTCTTCTGCAAAAGTTCCAGCTGGTTTTGAAAGAAAGTTTGAGAGATGTCAGAGGAAAAACCAGAATGATTCTTGCCTGAATGCTAAGTCAGATTAGCAAATGCAATCTTCTCACCTAGCATGGGTCTGGTAGTCTGTGTCTGGTCTATTTTATCTGCCTTAATACTTGCCAGTTCTCTTTTGCAGCGACTGCCCACTCTGAACTAGAATACCAGAAAAGTCCTTTGTGGTGACCTCAATTCTCTGTTAATTCAACTCTCGGACCCCATTATCCCACACAGGCCCTGTGTGTGTTCTTCCCAACTAGGGAGAAGGAATGCTACCAAAGGCTGCCTTTCAGTACTGCCTTGGGCTGGCTATTCCAGACAATACCACTGAAAATAATTTAGAATATCATCTTTCAGATACCTCCTACATATAGTTGACCCTGACTTTGATCTGTGTGATCTTATGCTTTTCCCAGTGAATTGTTCATGTTTAGCTGTTAGCTTTTCTACATAGTCTGAAGACTTTAAATTCCATACCTTCAGTAAAGGTAAAATATTTTTAAAATTATGGTCCATGTACCGTATTTGTTATTAAAGCCTAACTATAATGGCAGTGATCACTTGACTAAATGCTGGGCATCTCTAAACACATGTCTACTTCCTCTATTTTTTACAACAACCCTCCAAACTAGTTATTACCCTTGCCATACAGCTAGAAAATGATGGCTCTAAGATTGAAACCTCCCTCTGGCTAGTGCAAACACTCCTTCCACAGTACCTTGCTGCTTTTCTAATAAACCTCATGTTTATCTCCCTGTTAATCAGTATCAAGGATCCTAGTGACTTTAAGCATAAGTGCACATTTTCCTCTATACAGCAATACTCAACCTTTTTCATCTCATGGCACGTATAATTATTAGAATTCTGTGACACACCAAAAATATATTTTTTGCAAATCTGACAAAAATAGGTATAACATTGATTCTCTCAACTGGATGGCTATTGTTATGTTGGCTGTTGTGATTTTTATTTGACAGTCTAAGGGAAAAGAGGTCAGTGTCTCTGACTAAATAGTCAGGTATTGCATGTTTTCTAAAAATATATTTTATTGATTATGCTATTACAGTTGTCCCATTCTTCCCCTTCATTTCCCTCCACCCTGTATACCCTCTCCCACCCACATTCCCCCCTTTAGTTCATGTCCATGTGTCATAAATTCTTTAGCTTCTACATTGCCCATACTATTCTTGCCCGCCCCCTGTCCATTTTCTACCTACCATCTATGTTACTTATTCTCTGTACCTTTTCCCCCTCTCTCCTCCTCCCACTCCCCTGTTGCTAACCCTCCATGTGATCTCCATTTCTGTGGTTCTGTTCCTGTTCTAGTTGTTTGCTTAGTTTGTTTTTGTTTTTGGTTTAGGTGTGGTTGTTACTAATTGTGAGTTTGCTGTCATTTTACTATACATGTTTTTTATCTTCTTTTTCTTAGATAAGTCCCTTTAACATTTCATAAAATAAGGGCTTGGTGATGATGAACTCCTTTAACTTGACCTTATCTGAGAAGCACTTTATCTGCCCTTCCATTCTAAATGAGAGCTTTGCTGGATAGAGCAATCTGGGATGTAGGTCCTTGCCTTTCATGATTTGGAATACTTCCTTCCAGTCCCCTCTTGTCTGCAAGGTCTCTTTTGAGAAATCAGCTGACAGTCTGATGGGAACTCCTTTGTAGGTTACTGTCCCCTTATCTCTTGCTGCTTCTAGGATTCTCTCCTTCATTTTTACCTTGGCTAATGTAATTATGATGTGCCTTGGTGTGATCCTTCTTGGGTCCAACTTCTTTGGGACTGACTCTCTGAGCTTCCTGGACTTCCTGGAAGTCTATTTCCTTTGCCAGAATGGGGAAGTTCTCCTTTATTATCTGTTCAAATAACTTTTCCACTTGTTGCTCTTCGTCTTCTCTTTCTGGTACCCCTATAATTTGGATGTTGGAATGTTTCAAGATGTCCTGGAGGTTCCTAAGCCTCTCCTCATTTTTTTGGAATTATTATTTCTTTATTCTTTTCTTGTTGTATGATTCTTCCTTCTTGTCCACTCCATTGATGTGAGACCCAGCTTTCTTTCCATCACTATTGGTTCTCTGTGCATTTTTCTTCATTTCACTTATTGTAGCCTTCATTTTTCCACCTAATTTGTGACCAGAATTAACCAACTCTGTGAGCATCCTGATCACCAGTGCATGAACTGTGCATCTGATAGGTTAGCTATCTCTCAGTAACTTAAAAGTACTGGTTGAGAGGCTTTCAATTCTGTTTGAGCCATCTCACCACCCTCCCCTTTGATCTGGTCGCACTTGTTACATATGAGGGGCAGAGCCTTAGGTGTTCACTAGGGCAGGGCACCCCAGTCACTGAGTTGTGATGTTGTATGTGGGTGTGGGGTCCAAGAGGGAACAATGGCACTTGCTCTGATCTCTGTCGGACCTCAGTCCCTTCTGCTACTTCCCCCAAACAAATTGGGCCCCTCTGGTGCCAATTCCCGTGTGGGTGGGCTTGTGCACCCTGTGGGACTTTCCAAGGACCTCTCTTATGAGGCTGGGAGTCTCTCCCTGTGCCTCAACCCCCACAGGTGTTTTCAATCAGTGTCCCGAGGCTCTATTTCCCAGCACTGGGATTCTGGGTTGCGCACAGTGCATTGCTTTACAAACGCCGCCTCACTAGGTCTGCCGGTTGCCACTCCTCAGCCGGGATCTGCCAGCTGCCGCTTGCACACTCAGGGTCCACCCACTGTGGTCTTGCACGCCCCGATGCCTTACACGCCTGGTCCCAATGCTTTCTGCTCTCCGAGCTGCAACCTGCACCCGGCTCCCCATCTCTACCCCTCTGCCCCTCCTACCGGTCTGGATGAAGTGTCTATTTTAACTTCTTGGTTGTCCGACTTCCATTCAGATCAATTTTCTGTCAGTTCTGGTTGATATTCTGTTTCTAAATTGTTGTTGTCCCTATCTTGGTTGTGCGAGGAAGCACAGTGCATCCACCTATGCCTCCATCTTTAACTTGGAGTTTCATTGCCAGGTATTGCACGTTTTAAAAATTCTTGTGGCACATTATTGCATGTTTTAAAAATTCTTGGGGCACATTGGTTGAAAATTGCTACTCTAATATATAGTGATTTTAGGGCCATGTATAAACAAAAACAATAGAATCTAGGAAATATTAACTACAATCTTAGGGAAACAACTTTATGTGGCTACAGTGTCGTGCCAAGTAACATATGTATTCTGGAACCATGTAAATAAAATAGTTTATAAGTTCATGCCATTATATAAAATTACGTGTAAGTTCCATCATCAATACTTACTAAAATGGAGCTAGTAATTGCAGATACTTCCATTTATTCTACTATTAATAGAGAAAAAAGCCCTGGCTCCTGTAGCTCAGTGGATTGAGTGCCAGCCTACAAACCAAAGGGTCACCAGTTTGATTCCCAGTCAGGGCACATGCCTGGGTTGCAGGCTAGTTCCCCAGTAGAGGGTGCATGAGAGGCAACCACACATTGATGTTTCTCTCCTTCTCTTTCTCCCTCCCTTCCTCGCTCTCTAAATATAAATAAATAAAATAGAGAAATGAAACCAAAGGTTTTTACTGTTACCTCCTGTTTGAGCTGAAGAAGCATTTTCTGAGCAGACGCCGCCATTTTGGCACAGGAACAGGGGTTCCCTCCGGGACCATGACAAAGGCAGGCTCCAAGGACCACAAGCTTGAAATCCAAAAGTATTATCCATTACTAAGTGTTGCACAGTTTAGCTGGGCACAAATGAAGGGGCATGCCCACACATACCCATGCACTAGAAATGTCAAGCATCTGATTCAAAGAAACTGGAAAGGAAAACAAAAACAGAAGGAAGCTGAGGCAGGGTTTAAGGATCCAAGTGAAGATTAATTACATGAAAATGAAAAAGAATGTTACTTGGAACAAAAACATACTGGAATTTGACCTTCCTTCTTTTCGCTCTCCCCCTTCACCTTTCACCTGGCAGTTTCATATAGTTCTGAATCTTTGGTGGGAACTTGACCTAGTGAAGTAAGTACTAACATCCACAGCGTGGACTTCCTGTGCCTGCACTTGGCCCTGCTGGCCAGCACTCATCACTGGCGGCTCCTGTCAGGAGGAGTTGCATTCTCAGAAACTACTAAATTTTAGTGTCGATGAGAAAAACAGTCATCTGACCACTCATGTAAAAATGTCTATGATTATGTAATGTGAGACCCTACTAACATAGCTTCTGCTAAACCTATAAAAATAAGGAATAAAAGGAAGGAGGTGGCTAGTATGTCCCTTAATGTCCAAGAATGTCACGCATGAAAGGTATGATGCCAGCAAGACAAGAACAACCCTGGGCAAACCATGGGTCTCTCAGTCTCAAATTAGTAGGTATGCTGCTGTCCTAGACCATGTGACAGATGGTGATGGCGGAAAGGAAAGCAGAAAATTTCCATCCTGCTAAGCTTTCATACCTGCTTACCTACCTCAAGACCTGAAGCCTCTGTAAAGTCACTTTTATCATTGCACATGGTTTCCTGAACCATCTTCTGCTGTTTGATATCAAGCATAGCAAGGGCTTCCAAATACTGTCGATTCAAACCTAGGAAGAGCAATATAAGATAGTGTTAGTTGTGAGGGCCAACTGTAGCCTCTCCTAATCCTGTTACATCAATGTCTATCCTCATTTCTTATAAGCAATGCATATACAACAGGCACTGCCCACAAAATTTGGCCCCATCCAGAAAATCTGATAGAATAGTGGGTATCTAAAATGTTATTATTTCTAATGTGTAAGTATCTTAATTTTGCAACAAAAGTCTGGTCTTCATTTACTCTTGGGAATTTTATAGCATTTTCAAAGGGAAAGCATGCCAAAGCAAATTATTCAGACACTTTGTAGCTAGTGGGACAACCAGATGATGGGGTCTCATACATTGTATTATGTCAAATATACCAGCTATCCAAACTCTAAGAGTTTCCTACAGGGAACCATCTCTTGTGGCATGGCGAATATAGTCCAGCCCTATTGAAAAACCAACAGGTGCAAGTCGGTACACAGGAACCGAGCCCACGGATGGGCTTTCCCGTGGGAAACCAGGCCTGCATTGTACCTAGGCTGCTTTGAGGCTTGCTTTTGCTAAAACTCCCTCACCCTGCATCGAGGCAGCAAATGTTTACTGCATATCTTTAAAGTAACTTCCTAAAATCTGAGCTAAACCCCCCAAGTATGGAGTGTAACCAGTTCAACCACTTTTCCCCTTGATCTGCAACATTCTTCTCTTTGAAGTAATTGGCAACATTCTTTTCTTTGTTATCTGTAAAAGGTGATCACCTACAGTGAACCTGTGCATAGTAAATGAGGACCATCCTCAACATAATATACCCAGAAAAGCAATAAAAGCCTGTCCAGGCAGGGGTCAGGGCCCTCTCTCTCACTTAGAGAGTGGCCATGCCGTCCTTTTTTCTCCACAGGACTTCTGTAGTCTGTGTGCATTTGTTCATCAAAGCCACAACACACGGGCTCCACAAGCCAAAGTCCACATCAGTTTCCTACTGAGAGTTTTCACAAGAGGATCGCAGACCATTTAGAGCAAGGACCCAGCTACATACTGGAGAACCGAAAACAGTAACTTTGCCCCTCTTGTTGCAGGGTTGGGGGGTAGGGACGAAGGGGAGGAGTTGTGGTTATGAGCAGCTTTTGCCTGGAGAACTAGCCTCACAGAGGAGAAGTCTGCACCTGCTCCAACCACTGGCACCAGGAAGCCCCGTGCATGTGCAGTTCCCACCAGGGGCACTGCCACAGCTCACTCAACTACACCACATACAGTGCCTCTCTCAGGCCCAGGACCTGGTTTAGAGCTCATTTTGTCCCCTTCAAGCCACCACTTTAAAGTAGTTTCTGCTTAGAAGGAAGAATTAACATCTCCTCAAAATTTCATAAAAAGTTGGTATCACCTTAACATTCTTTAAACACTTTAGTATTCTTTTTAAATTTTTTAAATATTTTACTAATATTTTTAAAATATTTTTTTAAAAATTTAAAAGACTTTATCCTTACTTATTTTTAGAGAGAGGGGAAGGGAAGGAGAGAGAGAGAGACAGAGAAAGAAAGAGACAGAGAGATATCAATTGGATACCCCCCACTGGGAACCTGGCCAGCAACCCAGGCATGTGCCCTGACTGGGAATCAAACCAGCAACCCTTTGGCTTGCAGGCCAGCATTCAATCCACTGAGCCACACCAGCTAGGGCTTAAATTTCAAATTCTTAATGAGAAAAATAATATCTTGAAAAGTTAAGAATAATTGTATTAGGGAAAAAGTCATAGAAAACACTTTTGAAGACAAATAATGTTAAATAACTATACAATTATAAACTTTTCCTACTAGTGTCTCAATAAAACATACATCTGCTCAGGTTCCTCAAATATCAGGGACTGTACCATTTTGTTTTACACTGGGTATAAAATCCATATGATAAAGGAGGAATAGGTTTGAAGTTTTATTTTGGAGGAATGGAAATGTTATAGAACTAGATGGCTGCACAATATTCTGAATGTTATGGATTGTTCACTTTTTTAAAGTTGTTTTTTATTATGTATCGGTTTTGGGTGTGCAGCTTGGTAGTTAAACAATCATATACCCTACATAGTGTTCCCCATGATATTTCCAGTACCCCAAGTAGTACCACACATAGTTATTACAATATTATTGACTACATTTCCTATGCTTTACTTACTTTCCTGTGACTATTTTATAACTACTAATGGAATTGTTCACTGTTTTAAATGTATTAAATTAGAGAGAGGGGGAAGGGGGAGAAGGAGAGCAGGAAACATCAATTTGTTGTTCCACTTATGTATGCATTCATTGGTTGATTCTTGTGTTTGCCCTGACTGGGGGTCAAACCCGCAACCTTGGTGTATCAGGATGATGCTCTAACCAACTGCTACCAACCCAGGGCTAAATTGTTCACTTTTAAATGGCAATTTTGTTGTGTGAATTTCACCTTTTTTTAAAAAAAGTTTTAAATTAAAAAAAAACTAAATGATGCATTTTTTCTATTATCTTTACAATCTATTATTTAGACACACTCAAACTTTGTCTCTATTGACATGTGTGTTCCAAGCACAGGACATTCTGTATAAAATGAATCTTCTAATGTAACATTTTAAAAGGGCCATTAACATACCACTCTTTACTTACTTGCATTTTCAGACTTCAGCATTTTAATCTCTTCTGTTTTTAGTTTCAAAGTTTCTTTGAGGACTGCGCTTTCACAGTCGAGCCTGGAAAAAAGTACCCTCCACATAACCAAAACATAAGCACTTTGTACTTAACTAAGAAGCACATTTTAATCCCATAATTCGAGCACAAAAATCTTAAATATAATTTTTCCTATTTCAAAACAGTCTATAATTTATATGTGTCATAAAATAAAGACAATTTAAAGGAATGTGGAAAGGCTTTGAACATACTTTAAACCTTTCTGTCTAGCTGAGAAAGAATCAGAACCAGAAATTCCTGTCAGGCATCCATTTGAATACTCATTCTCTTTACTTGCGTCTTAATTCAACTTAGTAACCATTTGACTACCAACATATGAAGGCTACCTTCAAAAACCTACATAAAAGATACATACAGAGTTTTGTCTATTGACTAAAAATTGGAATTACTTACAAGAGTTCCTAAATTGCCCAACATCAAAGTCTTAGACAATTTTTTTTAATTTAAAGATTTGTATTTATTTTGTTTTTTGAGAGAGAAGGGAGGGAGAAAGAGAGGGAGAGAAACATTGTTGTGCAAGAGATATAGGGATCGGCTGCCTCCTGCATGCCCCCAACTGGGGACTGGTTGCAACCCAGGCACATGCCCTGACTGGTATTCAAACTGGTGACCTTTCGGTTCACAGTCTGGTGCTCAATCCACTAAGTCACACCAGCCAAGGTAAAAATTTTTTTTGAAATTAAAACCAGCAGACAGATTGGTCATTTCATAACTAAATAAAATACTTGTCAAGACATTTTGTAGCGATGTTTGGGCAAGATTTATATGCTGTGGTCAGGACTGGCCGCAGATCATTAAAACTGTGGTCTTGAAGTTAAAGCTTCCCAATTAAAACTAAGTGCAAATCTCAGGCATTTTGTTTCTACGATTAACAAATGAATACAATATGAAATCAGGTTCTAACACAAGATGTGTGTAGCCCTTGACGAATAAAGCAACTTTGTTAATACAACCACTTCTCAATAACTCTAGATGAGTTTCCAAATGAATTCTAATTGTCTCTGAGGTTATGAGAGGACATTCTTCAGACACAAACATTTTATTAGATTCACTTAAGTTACTTTATAAATTACTTTATAAACTGTAATTAAGAAAAAAACTACTCAGTCAAATGCACTAACTTTGGCCCTGGCTAGTGTGGCTCAGTGGATTGAGCACTGGCCTGCGAACCAAGGGATCACTGATTTGATTCCCAGTAGGAGAGCATGCCTGGGTTGTGTGCTGGGTCCCCAGTCGGGGGTATGCAGGAGGCAACTAACTGCATATTGATGTTTCTCTCCCTCCCTTTCTCCCCTCCTTCCTCTCTCTCTAAAAATAAATAAATAAAATCTTTTAAAAATGCATTAACTTTACTATCTGGTTAACTATTTTTGTGCAGACCTCATAATAAAGTATCTTCCGCCAACTCTGCTTAATTGATGAGTATATGAAAAGGTAAAGTATCAATAAATTAGGTAAACGACACTATCAAAAATTAAACCATATACCACATTTTTAGGACTATAAGATGTACTGAACCATAAGATGCACCTAGGTTTTAGAGAAGAATAGGAAAAAATTTTTTGAAGCAAAAAATGTGGTAAAATATTTAATAACCTGGGACCCTGCTCCACTGCCACCCCCCTCCACAGCGAGCCAGGTAAACTACATTTGAACTATAAGCCGCACCCCCTTTTCCTCCCAAATCTGGGGGGAGTGCGTCTTATAGTCCGAAAGTATGGTGCTATATCCTCTCCATGAAGCTGTGGGGAAACAGGCCCTCTCCTGTGGGGCTGGTAGGGATGCAAAGTGCTGGAAGCCTTATAGAGAGGAGTTTGGCAACATCTAATAAATCTATGTATGCATTTACTTCTGACCCAGCACCTCTACTTCTAGGAAATCATCCTGGAAAAAATACGTGTCCAGCAACACAATGTACACATGTCGAGGTTATTTAGTGCAGTCTCGTGTACACTTGCAAACATGCGGGAAATAGTCTAAGTGCCTACATACAGGAGAACAGTTGAGTACACTATGCCTGGCACACCCACACAATGGAGTGATTTCCAGGATAGATTATTAAATGGAAAAAAACCAAAGTGCAAAAGAATACTTACAGTAAATTACCCTTTGTGTAAGAAAGAAGGGAAAACAAGAAAACATAAACACCTGCCCCTTTGCGTGAACAGAAACACAGGAAGGACAAGTCAGAAAGTAATAAGAGTGGGCATCTGCAGACGGAGAGCAGAATGAAGGTCAGCAGGAGGCTGGGATGGGGGGGAGCGGGTGGTGGGCAGAAGGACACCTCTCTGAATGTAACCTTCTGACGACTTCTGAAAGCATGTCATTGTTTCACAAAATAAAAAATAAATAAAATATCCCTAGCCAGACGGTTCAGTTGGCTGGAGCATTGTCCCATACACCAAAAGGTTGTGGGTTTGATTCCTAGTCAGGGCATGTACCTAGGCTGCGGGTTCAATCCCTAGCTAGGGTGCATATAGGAGGCAACTGATTGATGTTTTCCTCGCACATCAATATTTCTCTCCCACCTTCTCTCTCTCCTTCCTCTCTCTCTAAAATCAATAAATGTATCCTCAGGTGAGGATTCAAAACAAAAGCATAATAAGTAAGTCAACAAGCATGGTGAAAAAACCTTAAAACAGCATACAAACTGAAACATATTATCTTAAGTGAATCACATAACCATATTAAAGAGAAAAAAGAAGAAACTGTCGAGTAACCTTTGAACACAGGATTTTTAACTCCCTAAGGCTAAAAAAAAAAAAAAACTATATACAAGTATTGGACTCTGGTTGGTAGGTTTGATTTTACAATGGCATGTATAGCAATTCTAAAGCTACTTTCTGCATAGTCTACGGTGAAAAAATAAGTAAATATATTGGGTGATAGGAGCTGGGTTTCTCACTGTGGGAGTTATAAATGTGGAAAGGGGCAAAGCTAAAACATGTGGGAAAATGGGTATGAACTCAGGGTTTTCAGTAGATTGACAGATGGGATACTAAATAGACAGATGGCAGAGAGATGACAGAAGGGGTGTGTGTGTGTGTGTGTGTGTGTGTGTGTGTGTGTGTGTTTTCTGGCTCTGTTCCTTGAGAGGACCTTCTAGCAGTGACTCCCGGTGTGTGTGTGTGTGTGTGTGTGTGTGTGTGTGTGTGTGTGTGTGTTTTCTGGCTCTGTTCCTTGAGAGGACCTTCTAGCAGTGACTCCCCGGTAGCAATGAGCTTACCTAGTGCTCAACCCTTGACTTCCAAACAGCATTCCCCACTAAAAGGGTCAAGTGCTCCTTGAAGAAGTACCTAATATTGTATGCATTCTGGACTAGAGTGTCTTGCAGCGGAAAGCAAGAAAGTGCTAAAGGGATGATAAAAAGGTGTCAAAAAGCCACAGAGGCCAGTTTGATGGTACTCGCATTGACCAAAGTTGAAAAATTTTAGGCATCAAAAGAAATTAAGATAGTAATAGCTTTAATCCACTGAATAATGCAAGAATCCATGAGTTCATATTCATATACACAAAAAAAAATAGGGAAAGGAAAACTTGTTTCTTATAGTAATATGCTAATTCTTGTAGAAGGCATGATGGAATTCCCAAGTTGCCATTTGGCAACCATCATGGTAACAACTGCTTCAGGCAGAATGATCAGTGGATGTAAAAACCAGTGGGCGAGAGTGTGACAAGTACAGTATATCTACATAATTTAAAGCGCCTCCCCACAAAATGTTCATTAATCACAAGGGGGAAACCGTGACTGCAGCGTAGAAGGAGGGCAGATGCCACACCCACACCAAGTGATCAAGATTCACCTCCTAGGAACTGGTCAAAGCAACATCTCACGCCTCCTGATCTGATGCACCGAGAATACAACATTGCTTTGGTGGCAGTCCTGCCCCAAACAGGTAACCTGCATTTGATCCGGAAGCACAGACATCCCCACAGTGGATCCTTCTACAAAATAACTGGCTTATCCTCCTCAAACACTACCAAGGTTATAAAGGACAAAAAAACACTGAAGAACTGCTTCATAGAAAAGGACACTAAAGCTTAGACTTGACAACCAAATGCAATGTATGAGTCTGTATTAGATTCTGAACAGGGGAAATTTTTTTCCTCTCTTTTGCTATGGCATATTATTAGGATAATTGGCAAATATAAATAAGATCTGTAGATTAATAAACAGTGTTGGTTCTTATAATTATGTTACGGTTTTTAAAGAGAATGTCCCTGCAACTTACTCTTATGGTTCAGAAAAAATTCTATCTATAATTCAACTACAAAGAGAAAGAATGATAAAGCAAATGTGGTAAAGGATCAAAATGTGGGCAAATTTTTGTGAAAGTTATATAAGAATTCTTTGTATTGTTCTTAAAAGTTTTCTGTAAACCTTCAATTTATCTCAAACCAGAAGTTAGGAAATAATAAATTTAAAATTTAGGTAATAAAGCTATCTATAACCCAAGGTATCAAATCAACTTCTGAATGACAGATCTTATAAAAAGTACATGTTAAAATTTAAAGTTATTAAAATCACACTAATGAAAGAGTTGCTCAAAAAATTTTTGTTTCAAAAAATAGTGTCAATGCTCAAATAACCTGGAAAGCAATGACTCTTATACTGTATTTGAGAATATTGTTTATATTTTATATTTTTAAGAAGAAAATTAGAACTAACAAAGATATGGAGCTGGCAAATGGATAAGGAATAAGAATTTTATAATATTTACAGTTAGCTCATAGAAGAAGAAAGCCTAAGCTACATTTGAATTACACACACTTGAAAGATTTGCAAAGAAAAATGATGGAATAATAATATACAAACCTGTCATACTTTTGGGTCCAAGATTCCTCTATATTTTTAAATCTATTCTGATCAAATTCTATTTTCCACTGCAAGGCATTTAGTTCCTATAGAAAGAAAATAGTATTTTCATGGAAAATTTTACAAAATCACTTCGGGATATTGTGAATAGCTGAAATAAATCATCTAATCATTTCACAGAAATAGGATAAAGAGTGAAAATATCACTAATCACTGCTCAGAAAGAGTCTATGACATTTGTAAACCCATATAACATGCCTCTTTAGCACTCAAAAGAGCTTTGCCTAAGCTTACTTATTATAGGAGAAATTCAAATTGCTTAGCTTAAAACTTTGCTGGTCCAAACCTAAGTTTCTCATCACCCCCACCCTCAACCCATGTGGACCCCATGAACAAAATAAAATACACTCCTGGAAGTCTGAAGCCAGGGCCACCCCATCAAGGGCGGGTACAACAGGCACAGAAGGCACATGACCTTGGAAGGCGATTCCTAACTACCTCTTCAGTGAGGATGAGATGGGCAGAAGTCAGAGGCAGGCTCTGGGAGCAGAGGAAGAAAAGAAGAAAAATAGGAAGTGTCAACTTGGCAGGCTTCCTACTACCTTAAAAAGGGGAAATAAAAGAAACCTTAATTCTCTGCCCATTTGACACTTGTTTTGGATTATAAACTTCAAAAGGGAAGGAACCAAATAAAGTTGAAGCACACCTAGCAGAAGGTATGCACAAATGACCTATCCATTAGTAAGGTGACCTTTAAGGAAATTCTATTAGAAAGATTTTTGGATTAAACAAGTCTAAGCTAAAAATACAAATACCTTCTCCAAGGATCTCTTTTGTTCCATAGTTTTTTGAAGTACCACCTGGGTATGACTTGTGGCTTTGTCAAATATTGCCTAAGAAAAATAAAAATCGTATCAGTATAAGTTAAATTTCTAATTATTCCCATGTGCATAATGAAGTTCACATTTTTTTAAATCCTCACTCAAGGATACATTTATTAATTTGGGAGAAGAAGGCAGAGAGGGAGGAAGAGAGGGAGAGGGAAAGGGAAGGGAAAGGAGGGAAGGGAAAAGAGAAGAGACATCAACGTGAGAGAAAAACACCCATAGGTTGCCTCCCTTATGCACCCCTGGGGACCAAACCAGCAACCTAGGTATATGCTCTGACCAGGAAGCAAACTTACAGGCCCTGGCCAGGTGGCTCAGTTAGTTGGGGTGTCCTCCTGCACATCAAAAGGTTACAGGTTCAATTCCTGGTCAGAGCCCATAGGAGAAGCAACTAATTAACGTTTTTCTCTCTCTCTCAAATACACACACACACACACACACACACACACACACACACACATATATTTTTTAACCCATGACCTTTTGGTGCACAGGATGACACTCCAACCAACTGAGTCACACTGGACAGGGCTGAAGCTCACATTTTTATTTTAAGGCAATAGAAAATTAACTTGAGATGAGAATTTCCACAGAGACTGCTTTTTTGTGGAGCATTTGATAGTTCAACAGTCAGAAGATCTTGGTTTGGCTCTTTCCCAATGAAGGTAAGAATGCATGAAAGGATCTTCCATACAAAGACTTGTATAAAAACACTCATAGTACCATTATTCAGAATGGCCAAAAAGTGGAAACCCAAAAGCCCGTCAACTGGTGACTAGATACACAAAATAAACAAAACGTGCTGCATCTGTACAATTGAACACGAGTTGGCAAAAAAAGGAAGAAAGTGCTGACACATGCAGCACCATGCTTGGACCTCAAAAACATGCCAACTAAAGAATCTGGACACATTGTATGATTCTATCTACACAAAATAGAAAAGGCAAATCTATAAAAGACAGAAAGTAGATCAGGGATGGGAACAGGGAGTGACTTGCTAATGTGTACGAGGTTCCTTTTTGGGGTGTTGAAAACATTCTAAAATAAGATTGTGGTGATGGTTGCACAACTCTAAGTTTAGTAAAAATGAATTGCATGCTTAAAACAAGTGAATTTTGTAGCATGGAAATTATACCTCAATAAAGCTGTTAGAAAATCTAAACTTCAAAAAAAAATGGAATTATATCAAGCACTGCTGCTTTTGTTTTAAAAGCTAAAACCATACGAACTAGTATTGGAATGTGAAAGTGACAGAAGTTTTCAAACAACTTCTTACCATGCTTTGAAGGATTTTCAGTGCTTCCTCTTTACCTTCAAGTTGTCTTTGAGATGCCTCAAGTTCAGTTTTTAAAATTTCTACCTCCTGAGGAAAGAAATAAAATCAGTCTTCTTATCTGCAAGATGTGCAACACCAAATGATCAATTTGATGAACAGTCTACATGTAAGCTCAAAATGCAGTTTGACTGAAAGCACTCTGACCTTATAAAAGAGGCTGGAAATTCCTATAGGCTCTATAAGTGGACCAGACAGGCCAAAATTGAGAGCCTCACTATCAAGTGCTATTTGTAACTCAAAGCCCAAATCTTTTGCTTTTACCTTCCTAGGCCACACACTAAGGATATGAAGGGTGGGGGGGGGGGACCCTTAGACCACATAAAATAAGCACATGATCATTCACATAGCTCCAGTAGTTATTACAGGCTGAACTATGTTCCCCCAAAGGAAATGTTCAGATTCTAACTCCTGGGACTGTGAATGTGACCTTATTTGGCAATAGAGTCTTTGCAGATGTAATTAAGTTAAAATGAGGTCAGACTGGGTTAAGCTAAGCCCCAACTCAATGACTGGTGTCCTTATAAAACAAGAAAAACTTGGATACAGACACACAGGGGAGTCCATAAAACGCCAGAGACTGGAGTGAAACAGCCACAAGCTAAGGAATGCCAAGGACAAGGATGGTTGGGGACAACTGACAGAGGCTAGGAAGAGGCAAAGAATCCTCTTCACATCCGCTCAGGGAACACGGCCCCCTGATACCTCGATTTCGGACTTCTACCCTCCAGAACTGAGAGAATAAATCTCTGTTGTTTAAGCCCCCAGTGTGTGGTAGTTTGTTACAGCAGCTTTCAAAGAGTCACAGACAGTCCTGGCTGGCTCAGTGGATTTAGTGCTGGCCTGCAAACCAAAGGGTTGCCAGTTCGATTCCCAATGAGGGCACATGCCTGGGTTGTGTGCCAGGTCCCCAGTAGGGGGTGCAACCACACACTGATGTTTCTCTCCCTCTCTTTCTCCTTCTCTTCTGCTGTATCGAAAAAGAAATAAATAAAATCTTTAAAAAAACAGAGTCACAAACATATACTAAAATGGATGTACACTAAGATGGGCTTCCTGTTTCCCACAGGACAGGCGCCCCTCACAGAAACACCGACTCCCAACAGGCCCAACAGGCTGGACCACCTGGGATACTTTCTGGGATACTTTTTGGCCTTCTGACCTCAAAGAGGTTAAATTAAGTCAGGTTCTTTCTGGCCATGTATACAGGGGAGACACGTGGAAGGAAGTGATAACTATTTCTCCAGGAGATTGGAGAAGTGAAGATTAGGGGCAAAAGGAGAACTAGGGGGCATGTTTACATAAACAGCCTTTTTGAGAGACAAGGAGGATACAAACCTGAGGAGGCCAGCCCACATGTTTACCCTGCGGCTCTTCGAGAATACCCGGACAGTCAACATTGGCCTTCCATACAGTTTTGGCACTACTTAAACCAAATATTTGCCAGTGGATTTCTATTCACAAGACCATTCTTATATTTGCCAGAGTACCTACCTCTAATGTTTCCTCAAGACGTTGCTTTAATTCTACACTTGATAATTCTGAATTAGAATCTATTAGGGGAAAAAAACATATTTTCTTTAACTAGTTAAATAAAGATATTTGTCAGATACAAATGATCAAATATCAATTTCCCCTAAATTGCAAAGTGAAAAGAATTGTAATAAACCAAATAATGATAAAATAGGTAGCTTAAAATGTTTCACAAATGAAGACACACATACATTGAATAAAGAGACTTTTTAAAAAGACTCTAAAATAAAACTTGTTAATAAACTGGTTAGTTACATACAAACACAATACAAGAAAACCCCATGAATGTTGGTGACTGAAATAAATAAATTCTGGTGTTTGGCTTAAGTGTGATCAATACAGTGATATGAATAGTTAAGAAATAACCTGAATTTAATTTCTTCTCACAGAGAATGACTAGAAGGCTCCTGTAACTTCAGTTATTCTCTCCTCAGTGTGATCAATTGAGACATGAAACTGAGTTCTCAGGGCTTCATTTTCACTGTGGTCTCAGAGGCAATAACAATCACTAAAGTGGCAAACTACATGCAAGATGAAAAGAAGTAAATGAAGAAAAAAATAGAAAAGAATATTTTGAAGGATATTAAAATTTTCTCAAAACAATTTTTTTTGCTATTTTGAACTTTCCTCAACATGCCATTATCCAAGACAAACCTAAATCATGTTTTTACACTGATGATACGGGACAAAGTGACACTGTATTGACAAGTTCTGTTCTATTGGTAGGCAGAATAATGGCTCCCAAAGATGTCCACATCTTAACCCCCATAACCTGTGAATACGTAGCAAAAAGAACTTTACAGATGGAATTGAATTAGTAGTTGGAGATGGAAGATTATCCTGGATTACCCAGGTGGGTCCAAGGTACTCACAGGTCCTTATCAATGAAAGAGGAGGCAGGAGAGTCACTGTGAGACTGATGCAGCACAAGAAAGACTAGACTAGCCATTGCTGGCTTTGAAGATGGAGGAAGGGGACCACAGGTGGCCAAAGGGGACCACAGGCTTCTCTCTGAGAGCCTCCAGGGGGCATGTGGCCCTGCTGGCACCCCAATCTTAGCCCAGTGAGCCCTGTTTATGATGTCTGACTTATAGAACTGTAAGGTAATAAATCTGTGTTGTTTTAAACCATTAGATTTCTGGTAATTTGGAAATAACCTATTAGGAAATTCGCACAATATTCTTACCTATAATCAGGTCAACTTCGACAAAAAGACAAAAGTGCATTAGACAACAAAACGAGTTCATCCTATTACTGTCACATCTTGTTTCCATCCCAGTGTTCTCCCCATGTTTTTACAAAGGCACCTGAGCATTGTGTTTGGTTTTCAACATCTTGCTTGCAAAACAGTGTATACTCTCTAAGGCACAGGTGGCAAATGCAAGGCCCGAAGGCTGAATCCAGCCCTCCACCTTGTTTTGTCTGCCTCGGGACTTTGTTTCTACCTGGCAGCAGTGCCAAGCTCCTTGCCCCTAGTTAAGGAGTAGTTACACTTATACAGTCCCAAAATTACATTCGGCCCTTCGAAGGCAATGGCAAGGCTGATGTGGCCCCCTGGTGAAAAAGTTTGACACCCCTGCTTTAAGGACTTGGAAGAAAAATGTGTAAATAATCCCATCCTAATTTCAAGGATTTTGAGGGATGAGGATAGATCCCCAGCTACAGCAGTCATTTGTAAATATGAAGCCAGGTTTCTTAAATTACTTTTGTGCTGTTCTAATTTGCGTTTGTTCCACCTTGGTGGGAGATGTTTTACAACGTGGATCACAAAAGACTCAGCCTCATGAGAGCTGCGCCACAGCACAGACATGCACTCACCCACCGGTCCCCAGTCCCCTCGGAGTTGTGTCATTCCATCACAGTATGATTCTGAATTTTACCCTTTCCTTAATGTGTGGGATAATCTGTTTTTAATTACAATAAATTGAGGTTAATTTTGTTTTGATAATTTTAAGAGAATTTCATAACATCCCTAAGATAACCAGAAGTATGCGTGTTCTATGGGGCACACTCCTTCCCCAGATAAGCACCAGGCTTGGGGCACTCCAATGTCACCTCCTTCCAGAGGCTTCCCTGACCCTTGCCTAAAGCAGCGGTGCCCCAGGCCCTCCACTCACTCAGGATCCCTTCACTTACACCACTTGATGTTATACAGCTGCTGATTTGTGGGTTTATTTTCTATCTCCTCTACTAGAGTGCAAGCTCCATGACATTAGGGCCTCTGACTATTTTTGCAGTGATGTTACTCGCAGAGCTTAGAACTGTCCCAGACACCTAATAGGTACCCGATAAATATTTGTTGCATAAGAAATAAAGAGTAAATGAAGTATACCACTATGTCACCAAAAAAGCAAGGTAGGTAACTGTGTACTGATATCACTATTATTAATACAGAATAGTGTACTTCACAATTTGAACAGTTCTTGGAAACAGAAGTATCAATTACTTTTGAACCATCACCAACCTCCAAAGAAGAAAGGCAAATTTCTAAAATCCACTCTGGTGACCCATTTCCACGTGCTGGAAGGGTGGACGCACTAAAATTCACAGGGGAGGAGGAGGAGGAAGAGGACACCAGGCATCCTTACCGGGACTGCTCTGTCGTCTGTAACGGCAGGTTCTGGACCCGACGGGGTGTGTATATTGCAAGCCCTTAGGCCTGGAACATTGAAAAACCGCACCACTTCTTTCTTCTCCCTTTCCTGGAAATGGGGGAGGGCTAAAGTTTCTTTCATCTGATCTTTTTCTAGATGTAAATAAAGGTGAAATTTGCACTTCATAAATAGCGCCGGGCCTTCTTCTGAGGCCATACCCTAAATCGCCTTCGGCCATATCATCCTCCTCCGGTTCCCAGGTCTGCGCCTGCGCCTGCGCCCCCGCTGGCCCCGGAGGCCTCGCCACCCTGTTCATCAGCCAGATGCCTTATTGAACATAAGGAAAAAACGGTTACCTGTAGTTAAGAGTAGTTAAAACACTGTCAGTGAAAGAAAGCTGAGTTTTCCGGGGAAGAAAACTTTCATGTTTGTGCTATGCTGGCATGACTATCCCAGAGAAGCACCAGCACACAGACGCAATCCAACTCAACATTTCAGGCCTTGTTAGGTAAGAAACATCCCAAATGCTTATTTCAAAGATGCAGTGAATTGTAAGGAAACAGGAAAGGCTTTTACTTAATGTAGTAATCTACTGATCAGGATAAAGCAGATCTGTCTTGGCTAAGGAAACAGAATGTTCTTGATACACAAGCTTATAAAGGAAAGGGTTCCGTTTTCATAAGCCTACGAGCTATAGAAAATTCAGGAAAGTCTCTGAAAAATGAAACTTCCAAAGACTAAGACCACTCTGCCTCTGCCCCTTCACAGCCCTTTATCCAGTTCAGGTGCCGGGGCCTCTTCCCCTTTCTCCTACAGCCACAGGCGCCTCATCTGCTATTTCTGAGCAGACGCTGTTAGTAAAGGTTCTGTACATGGGGCAGTGATAGGGGGGAAGGAGGAAGGTGCCCCACCTCTCTTTCTAAAATCAGATTGCATTTGTGTACACAACCTATTTCGAAATGAAGCCAGAGCAAATACCAAAGCCTTTTCATTGGCTAAATGTCATAGGCTCCCCACTGCCCCAGCCCCTCAGGCTGATGGCCCTGGCCTCCCGGGTGCTCTGGACCTTGTCAGACATTCCTGCCCCAGAGCTCTGTGCTCGCCTTGCCCTGCCTGGGCGGAGTGAATGCTCTTTCCCCCTGGACAGATGCACAGCTATTCCTCAGCTCCTTCAGTCTTACCTTCTCAGTGGGGCCTTTCCTAACACCCTATTTAAAATTGCAGACTTCTCCCTGTCCCACTTACCTGCTTTATCTTTCACCTTCACACTTATGACCTTCCAACAGGGCTGTCCAACCCTTGAAGTGCCACACTGGAAAAAGAAGAGTTTTCTTTTTTTCTTTTTTTTTTTAATCAATATGTGGTTGCTGGGGGGCATGGCCTGCAACCCATGCATGTACCCTGACCGGGAATGGAACCTGCGACACTTTGGTTTGCAGCCCGCACTCAATCCACTGAGCTACGCCAGCCAGGTAAGAAGAGTTTTCTTGGGCCAAACATTAAGTAAATTGAGACATGTAGTCACCAAAACAAACAAACAAACAAACAAAAAACCAACCCTCATAATGTTTTAAGTAAATTTACGATTTTCTGTTGGGCTGCACTGACAGCCATCCTGGGCTGCATGTGGCTCTCGGGTGGCAGTTTGGACATTCCTATTAGGACAAAAGCCACTTACTTTCTCAGGCCCTCATTCCCAGAGGTGGCTAGACCACAGCATGACTGACCCTCATCATTTTATGATGCACTGGAAGCACCCTGAAGGTGCAGAGGCTCCAGGAACCCGGGAAACAGGACATACCAGACCACAACCACGGACTGGACCCTGTACCCAAAGGTGACACTGAAACAAGCTGCAGCCTAACATCCTGCTCTACAACCACCCTGTCTCTGGATACACACTCAAAGCCCTGACCCCCCGCGGGGCTGGGGCTGGTGCACATCACACCTAGCCTTTTCCCTCCCTTGGGAAGGTGAAAATAAAAACCTTTCCCTACTGCACTTTCTTCTCCTTGTGAATTCTTTCACAGCCCATGTCCCCAATCACCCTAACACCTTCTAACACACTCCTCCATATTTCCCTCATTTTTCAAATCATGCCACTAAAAGAGGGAAGGTAGTACAAAAGAGGGAGCCCGGTGAAGCTGTGGATGGCTCCAGCCTGACCTGGATGCCTCTCAAGAGGTAGGGCACCCTGAAAATTTTCCCCCACCAGAGTCCAAACCCACTCTAGATGGCCCTAAGACAGATGTGAGCTCCACAAGGGCAGAAGTTTTTACTTGTTCCTATCTCCACTGCATTCCCAGTGCCTAAAACTGAGACATAATTGGTGCTCAAGTACTTGTTTAATAAAAGAATAAAGCAAGGAAGAAACATATACACTGAAACCAACTTGCCTCTAGGGTAGAAAAAGAAAAGCAGTCACCTCAGCAAGGCTCCACACTGGATACCTTGGGGCTCATTGCCTTCCCTTCTTCCTAGAAGAAAACATCTCCAAGTAAAAATCTACAGAGAAATCATAACCGAGCCTTCCTGGTCTGAGGACCATTGTTGGCACCTACCTGGCGACAGTGGCCCACCTGGTAGTCGAAATGCTCAGCTTAGTACACACAGTGCAGTTAAGAGGGACTTTCATCACCAGATGTTTCAAAACCGCTGCTTTGCTGTATTTATTTAGAAATATGTCATCCTTTTCACAAGACTCATTAAAAATACAAAGGAGCCCTGGCTGGTGTGGCTCAGTGGATTGAGAGCCAGCCTGTGAACCAAGAGGTCACAGATCAGGGCACATGCCTGGGATATGGGACAGGTCCCCAGCTGGGGGTGTGCGAGAGGCAACTGATCGATGTATCTCTTGTATATCGATGTTTCTCTCCCTCTCTTTCTCCTTCCCTTCCCCTCTCTCTAAAAATAAATAAATAAAATCTAAAAAAGAAATACAAAGGAAAGAAAGAAACAGATCTGACATATTTTTCTAAATGTCCTATTTATAAGGACTTTAAAAAATCTTTTCCTCAAAAATAATTAAATCTCACTTTTTGCTGCAATCTCTCTTATTCTTCCACTACTAAAATCAGATATGGGTGCCAAATAAACTTAATCATGTATGAAGTGTTTTCTGTTGCTTTAGGTCAAAGTACCATATATTTTCAATGTTTAAAAAGAAAGGCCCTTAAAATATCTTAAGTAATTCATCATAAAAAAAAAGATACAAAGATGGAAAGACACTCAACATCATTAGTCATCAGGGAATTGTCCATCACCTACTACTGTCAATCCCAAGTGCTGCTGGGATATGGACATTCACGTACACTGTTGGTGGGAGGATAAAATGGTATAAACACTGTGAAAAGTTTGGCAGTTTCTTTCCAATGGAGACCCAGGAATTGCGTTCCTGGTATTTACCCAAGAGAAATGAAAATATGTTCATATAGAGATGTGGGCATGAATATTCATAGCACTATTAAAATTAGCCCCAATCTGGAAACAGCCCAAATGTCCATCAACAGGAAAACAAATTATAGTACATCCATCTAATAGAATATATTCACCAATAAATAATGATTCTGATAAATGCAATAACATGGGTGAATCTTACAGATATTATGCTAACCACAGAATCACAGTACTGTATGAAATCCTGGAAGAACTAATATTCATAGCAGACAATAGATCAATGATTGCCTGGGGTGAGAAGGTGAACTTCAAAGGGCATGAGGGAACTTTTCTGGGTGATGGAAAAGTCTTATATCTTGCCTGGAATGATGGTTTGTCAAAACTAATCCAACTGTATACTCACAATAATGCATTTTATTTTATGTAAATTTTAAAATTAAATTCATTGGGGTGACATTGGTTAACAAAATCACATATGTTTCAAGTGTGCACTTCTATTATACATGATCTGCCCACTGCAGATCATGTGCCCACCACTCAAAGTCAGATTATCCCCATCACCATATATTTGGCCTCCTATACCCACCACCATTATAGGCTGAGTTTTACCTTTAGTGCAGCAGAATCCTGTTTATAATTGCAACTTCACATCTCTGTTAAGGAAGGTGTGGTCACAGTTAGGCAGCCAGCAGTGAAGAAAATGGAATTGGTCAACACAAAGAAAAAAGCAATTAAGAGGAAAGAATATGCAATCACAGGATTAGCTAAGAATATTTTTTAATGTGCCATATATGAGACCTGTCCAGAAAAATCCAGCCATTGTTAATGTAACAAGAACAGTTTGCATGACATCCATGTAACCTGGCAGCCAAGGAGAGTGGACTGGAATGCACATGCATGAACAGTGATGACTTTACTGTACTAGTCAGCAGGGGTGATAGATGCCATAAAGTGAGCATGTGTACTGTGTGGCTGTCACATTCAAAATGACTGAGCAAGTAGAGCAATGAATCTGCCTCAAATTTTGCATTAAGCTTCAACATTCCTCTGCAGAAACTATTTGGATGATTCAGGAGGCTGCAGCTTTGGGCAGCTGGTGATCGGCAGCTTCATCACAACAATGTGTATCATCACGTATCATGCATCACGTATCATGCATGGTTTTTTGGCAAAAGACCAAATTACCTAGGTGACTCAGCCCCCGCCCCCCCAGCCCAGATTTAGTGACTTCTGGCTTTTCCCCAAAACTAAAATCACCTTTAAAAGGGAAGAGATTTCAGACTATTGATGAGATTCAGGAAAATACGACAGGGCAGCTGGTAGCAATTGGGAGCAACTGTGTGAGGTCCTAAAGTGCCTACATGGAAGGGGACTGAGGTGTCATTGTCCTATGTACAATGTTTACTGCATCTTGTATGTTCTTCAATATATGTCTCTATTTTTCATAGTGCATGGCTGGATACTTTCCAGACAGACCTTGTAATAGGGGTCATGGGAATACCTTTCCACTATTTAGAATTGAACATAATACTAAGCTTTCACATAGTCTTATGCTCTACTAATTTTTAAAATGTAACTTAAGGAATTGTTTGCTGTGTACCCTCTCATTTTTTATATACTAATAGTAATATTCATATGGAATGCAGTCAAATCAAACCTGACTTTTGGAACACATTACTAACATTCCATTGGACTAGTTTTAAATGCATTCAGTGCTGACAACAAGGGAGGCAGCAGGATGTGCAACAGAAAAGGCCTGACTTCAGGAGGGCTGGGTTCAACTTCACTCCACCACTTGCTGCTCTGTGATCCTGGGCTAGTCATTTTAACCTCTTAGAGTCTGTTTTCTCTTTTTCCCTCCCTCCTTCCCTCCCTCCCTCCCTTCCTTTTTTAAGATTTAATCTTTCTAGAAAGAGGGGAAAAGAGAGAGAAAGAGAAGGAGAGAAACAGATTGGTTGCCTCTCATATGCTCCCAACCAGGGACCTGGCCTGCAACCCAGGCATGTTCCCTGACTGGGAATCAAACTGGTGAATTTTCAGTCTGTAGGCTGGCACTCAATCCACTGAGCCACACCCGCCAGAGCTTGGAGCCTGTTTTCAAATCTCCAAAATGGGTTTAAGCATAACTACTTTATAGAGTTATATAAAATCTACATTTGGGCACCATTGATATATTGAAATCAATGTTTAATGAATTAGAATTTGAGTATTTTCTTCATTTACCAAATGAGGGGATTGGATAAGAAGATTTTTTTTTGTTTTTTAGAGTTCTAATATCCTGTATCAGCATTTTCCAAATTGTGCCACATAAAACCCCAGTTATCTAAACTATTAGGTATTGTTAGGAATAAAAGGGCCCTTCTGGTTTTATTAAGAGGTGTATTTTCCTATGCTAGTCTAGGCACACATGACTAGCCCAAAATTATACAGATAGTGGCAGAGCCAGAACTAGAAACTACTTCTCTGGCTCCTTGTTCTGTGGTCTGGCCACTTGGGAAAGGCCACAGAATAATCAGATTGCAGACTGAGCAAATCCTACTTCTGCACTAACAACTCTTTGAAAAGTGACCAATGACTTCCTAATTGCTAAATCTAAGACCTAGACTCGTTCCTCAGCCATCTCCACTTCTGCAGAAGCTGTGCCTACTGACTCACCACACCCAGGCACCTGGTCCACCATGGCTCTTCATTAAAACCCACAGGAATCCCCCACTCTGTTATCTCCCTGCCCAGGCTCCTTTTCCTCTTCCTGTCCATTCTGTATATGTTTTGCTTCCATTCCAGCAGGATATCCTGGCAACAATTCGAACACAGCCTGTTCATGCATCAACCATGCTCTAAAACATCCAGGTCTGAAATTTAGGAATAGGTTTCTTTCCCCCATCTTCTTTTTTCTCTTTGGTACTTTCAGATGTTACTTCCTTTAGATCCACAAACTTTCCGATGCCATGATCTTCTTTGCACATTAACAGACTTCACAGACTTGGCTGAATTTCTTGTACTCCTAATGGGCTAAACCAATAGTTCCCTAACTGATCTACTCCAAGCTATCCTACACAGTTGTCAAGCACAGCCCAAAGATGCCCATCACATTCCAAAACCCCCATGACATACAAATACATAATAAAAGTGTTGCCCTGTTTTCTACAAGAAGAATCCTGTTTTCACCACCTGTTTCAACTGTCAGTACTCGTTGGGCATGATCTGTGCTTCCGTGTAAAAGGGACTGCAACCTCTTCCAAGTGGCCTCAGCCTGGTCACCTTCAGTCCTCACCTGGGGCCATTCTCCACCATAGGAATGCTTTTTCCTCCCAAGCTCCCCTCAGTTCATGACAGCCACTCCCTGCAGTAGCCTTCCAGACTACCTTGGGCCAGATGTGATTTCTCCTACCTCTGAGCCCTCCTAGCTCTGAATCGACACTTTCAGTAGCCCTTCTTACCTAATGTTTTTACTGTATACACTCCTAGTTCAGGGAGTGTACATGTCTCATTTGCTTGTGCATAACAGGTGTTCCAAAGATGTTTAATTCTGATGGACAGAATTAAAAGAGAAAATAGATTCCTTCCTGGAAAACACAGACCAGAAGCATCCACACCCAGTGGCCTAACAACTCTTGCCTTAGCAAACAACTTGGTCAAACAATGCCTGTCAGGCCTGGAAAAGAGGAGTGAACTGGACTCCAGCCTGGTGAATACTGGTTAGTTGCACAGCACCACAGAATTTTGTTTTGTAACTTCTCCTGTTACAGTTAATTGCGAAGATAATGCAGAGAACTCCTGTATATACTGTACCTCGATTCCTCTAATGTTAATATTAGGGTCCCTTTACCGAAATTAAGAAGTTAACATTAGCTGAACCACAGACTTTATTACAATTTCCCTAGTTTTTCTCCCGATATCCTTTTGCTACTCCAGCAGCCAATTCAGGATACCACATTGCATTTAGTACCCTGTAATTGTTAAGGTTCAAAATTTATAGAAAAAAGAAAAGTCAAGACAAGAGAGGAGGAAAAAGAGGCAGAAACAGTCTTGCAAACCCATTCCTTATACTTTCAACGTCGGACGAGGCCACTGAACTGGCATTAGGGGGAAAGGAGCCAGTTTGCCAGCTCAGCCACAACCTGCGGAGTTCCCGCGGACGGACGTGCGCCGCCTCGACCGTCGCTCCCCCTCTGCCCCACACTCGCGGTTCCACCGGCGGGCTCTGCCCTGCTCCCCAAGCCCCTTCGCGAGGAAGGGTTAGGGAATCACGACTCCCTCTGCGCGATCGCGACCCCCGCCCTCGCACCCCCATCAGCGCGCTCACCCGGCGCCAAGCCGCCACCTCTCGAGCGCCGCCACGTCCTTCAGCCACGTGACCGCGCGGCGCAGCCCCGAGCGGGAAGGCGCCGCGGGGCTGGACCCCTGCATTTTCCGCTGTGCTCTTCCGAGAGCGCTTTGGGAGGTGAGCTCTGTCCAGCTCCAAAGCCCGCGCTTTCCCCGCTGCGGGCAACTGAATGCACAGAACAGGACCGTGTGTGCTTCGATAAAGGTAGCATTAGACTGTTCAAAAAGTTGTTTCTACAAGTCCCGTAAGGGAAGGGTGAAGCAGACCTTGAAATGCAGGCAGCTGAGCCCTAGGAAGCAGCGAGGGCATTGCAGCCCTGGGGCCAAAGCCTGGCACTGGGAAGGAACAGAGGGGTGACCGGCCTTGAGGGCCTAGCAAGTGGCTTCTGTGGTCCATCTTTTCCTGTGGGTTTCCTGAAATGGACCCTGCCTTTCCAAACCTCACCAAAACGTCTTAAGCCATCAGACTGATTGCCTTGGTGAAATGATTTTGGTATTATTTCCTAATACCCAATGTTGGTGTAAAAAATGTCCAAACCTATAGAGAATTTTTATGAGTTTATGTGAGCCAAACTGATTACAATTGTCCAGGACAAAATCTCAAGGGACTGAGAAAATGCTCCAGAGAATGGCAGTTTTTGCAGCTTAGTTTGTATATTAGATTAGAATAAAAGGAGGAGCACAAGGATGGTTACATGAAGTCCATTGTTGGTAGAGTAAGGGGGCAGGAGAAAGAAAATCTGGGAAATTCCTGGGATTGGATAAAAAAGCAAAATAGAGAAACACATGTTTCTTTTACATTGGCGGATAAGAAACTGGAAAGTCAGTGTTCATGCTGCCTGTCACCTACCAGACCCAATAAGCAGAAACAGGGATTGAAACTTTATGGACACTTTATTTGTGACCTGAGAAGACAGTGGGCTTGTACCCTAACAGACCATTTTACATTCCATTTTCAACCAACCCTTTTTATAAGGAAGAAAACTGTGGATAAGGGGTTTGGAATTCGGGGGAAAAGTTAATCAGATAAAAAGGTGCAGCATTCTTTAATCTGTGAAAAAAAGAAAAAAAAAGAACCCAAAAAATGAGGATAGTATAAACAACCTCTGGGACAACTTCAAGAAGTCCAACATTCGCTTCATAGGGGTGCCAGAGAAGAGAAAGAGCAAGAAATTGGAAATCTATCTTTAAAAAAGTGAAAAAAGTTCCCTAATTTGGTGAAGGAAATAGACATACAAGTGCAGGAAACAAGAAAGTCCCAGGTATGATGGATGCAGAGGCCCACTCCAAGGCACCTCATAATTAAAAGGCCAAAAGTTAAAGGGAGACTCTTACAGTAGCAAGAGAAAAGAGGTTGGTTACCAGATGGTAAGGAGGAAGGGGAGAATGGGTGCAGAGGTGAGGGGATTAAGAAGTACAAATAGGTAGTTACCCAATAGCCATGGGGATGTAAAGTACAGTATAAGAAGTGGAGCAGCCAAAGACCTTACACACATGACCCATGGACATGAACAATGGTGAGGAGATCGCCTGAGGGAGTAGGGGGCACTGAGTGGAGAGGGACAAGTGGGGGGGAAATCAGGACAATTGTAATAGCATAATCAATAAAAAATATATAATTAAAAAAACTTGGTTGGATTTATAGATTACTCTGGATTGGAAATAAACAAATAAACCCTTTCCTGTCAGTAGCCAGTTTCTTTCGGTCTTCGTCCTCTCCAGATCCAACCCACATTTTTCTTAATCAGCTGCTTTTCAAAAGCAAACATACCTAGACATGTGGAAAACTAGATAGAACCAAGGCTCTAAAATTTCTCCTGACAATAGAACAAGATCAATGCTATGTGCTTATTAGGTGCTTAGGGATCCAAAATTATCATTGATTAACATATTTATAATTGTAAACTCAGTTGTGTATTATCTCATTTAGTATGATAAACATATTTAATAGCTTTGCAAGTCAAAAATAATTTTGAATATGACACAATTTTGAATATGATAAAAACCAATGGGTTGTCCACTTTAAAATGGCCAGTTTTATGATACGTGAGCTATATCTTAATTTTTAAAAAAGGATAGGGGGGTGTGTAGATTCTGAGATGGTATAATCTCCAAATATATTAAGTGAAAAGATACAGAATAGTATACGTGGTATGCTAGCATAGGCTTAAGAAAACATGTAACACACGTACTATGCAGACATAAAATACCTGAAAAAAAATCTAGGAAACAGTATTTCCTAAAGGGAGGGAATGTGTGGTAGCTGAAGAACAGGGGTGGCCTAGAAGGGAAACTTACCTTTCCAGTATAACCTTTTGTACATCTTGAATTTTATACAGAGTGTATTACCACTGTCCCCACCCTTTTTTAGAGAAAATGGAAACTCTGATGTTTTTTCTGTAGACTTCAGCTCTAAGAGATCATGTTCATTTTCTTCTGTAATAAACTTAAGAGATATCCATCCACATATTTGTTCAAATTTATTTATTCTTTAGCAACTGAAGCATTAAATGATGACAGCTTTTATTCTCTTTAATATCATTATATTGATTATACTTGAGATTATTTAGCTTTCTCACAGAAAAAAGAAACCCAAACATAAAGCTTTATACTATTCACCTAGTAGTTCTGCAGCATGATTTTAATAAGAAGTTTTACTGATAATTGGACAATTTATATGATGTGGGCAGAGAAATAATAAGAGTGATTCTAAAGTGGCCAGACTTGTAAGTCAAGAGCTGTGCGCTTTGGTCCACTGCTCAACCCACTTCAGTATCTCATTAATATTATTCTCTAGATCTTCTGGTTTATCGCTGCGCAGCTGATGCACTATTTCCATCTTGTAGGATGCTAATGCTTCTTCATAAAGAACTTGAAAAATTTCACACTGAATATTATTTGTCATTTTCTTCTCATTGTAACCCCTAGAAGGCAGAGAGAAGATAAGCAAACAAATTGGAGTTTTAGGAAACATGCCAGAAACTGGAGACTGTGGAATACACAAAAAATCAGGCAAAAATACTTCTTGTGTTCTCTTTACCTGTAGAAATAGACTAAGACCTATAAATGAAGGGCTTGACAAGAGGGTCAAACCAAGGATCAATGTTTAGGTTTGTCTGAAATTTTTCCTCCTGACATTTTTGTCAGGCACTCAGTTAGTGAACATATCTACCTATCTCCAGCCAGATTCTGAGCTATGAGATAAAATCAGAAGTCTATATAGTTATAGTCCTAGATTTTCAAAAGAATTAGAGCAGTTATGATATAAACAGATAAAACATGTAGATGGAATATAATAAAATGAAATGCATATGATTAAAATAATATACACTAATTGCGTACTTGATCATGTACATGTATCTCTACCAATTCTGAACATTGAAAAAAATAAGCTTAAGTAATCTTTAGGTAGATATGTAAATTAGCCAACCAATTAGCTAGTGAAAAATATAAAAAAAATTCTGTTCCGGTTGGGTAGCTCAGTCGATTTACAGCATTGTCCCAATACACCAAGATTGCAGGTTCAATCCCCAGTCAGGGCACATAGAAGAAGCAACCAGTGAATGCATAAATAAATGGAACAACAATTTGATCTCTCTCTCTCTCAAATCAATAAACATATCCTCGGGTGAGGATAAAAAAATCAAAATTAAATGAAATTACTTAAAAAATTATTAATTTTATGAAAAGACAACCTATAGAATGGGAGAAAATGTTTGCAAATCACATATCTGATAAATAACACATGGTCCATGCAATGAAACTTTATTTGGCAATAAAAAAATGAATGAAGTGAAGTACTTGTGCATGCTGATAACCCACATTAACTTTGAAAATATCACACCAAGTGAAAAAAGCCAGACACAAAAGGCTACATATTGTGTGATTTAATTTATATGAAATGTCCAGAATAGGCAAATTTACAGAGATAGACAGTGAAGTAAATTACTGGTTGCCTAGGGCTGGGAGAGTGACTGCTAATGGGTATGGATTTTCTTGGCGGGGGCGGGGGGGTTATGAACATTTTTGAAAACTAGTAGTAGTAATGGATGCACACTCCTGTGAATACACTAAAAATCACTGAATTATAAACTTCAGATGAGTGAATTGTATGGTATGTGAATTTATCACAATACAGCTGTTTTTTAAAAAGCAGTTACTTTATTATAACTTTTTCAATGGCTACAAATAAAAAAGACTACCTCTCATCATTTTTTCAAACCTTAGTCTTTGGCTATTTACAAAAAACAGTAATTTTTTTTTTGCCCTGGCTGGTGTGACTCAGTGGATTGAGCACTGGCCTGTGAACCAAAGGGTTGCTGGTTGGATTCCCAGTCAGGGCACATGCCTGGGTTGCAGGCCAGGTCCCCAGTAGAGGGCAAGTGAGAGACAACCACACATTGATGTTTCTCTCCCCCCCTTCCCCTCTGTCTAAAAGTAAAATAAATAAAATCTTTAAAAACAAAACAAAAAAACCCAGTAATTTTTAAATAGAATTTAAAAAAATTATCTTGTCTGGGGAAAAAAAGCCTATGTATTATATGGTTCTTTATTACTTCTCTGTTCAAATACATTTAATGGCTTTTCACTGCCTAGAGAAAAATGATGAAAGTTTCAGGTCTTGTTCCAACCTAACCTTCCCTGTATGTCTGCTACTGTACTCCTCTGTGCAAGAATTTTGCAAGTGTCCGATCCAATGGTAGTTAGAGCTGATTTGGTGAGAACCACAAATTCTGAATCTGACCTTAGGCTAATTTCTGGAGTTTTCTTTCTTGAAACTACCCTTTAAATTCCTCTTAGCACCCCCATCTTCCCACAGCTTGAATCAAAAGGCAGTGGAAAAATGTTTCCTCAAAAATGTATGTTTTTTGGTTATTCTGAAGTGTGACACTCTCTTGGAAGCACTAACTCAAGTATATTTTAAAGACTGTGAAATGTTGATTTATCTTGTTAGTTTTTCATAAGCTTTCCCGTTCCTCTTATAAGCATAATTTGGGTAATAATGTTCACTCAATAGCAAACACTATGTTATTGGCTTGGCTGTTTTCCTAGCAAGGTTTTACTTTAAGGAAAAAGCTTATTAAATAGGGTTGTTCTATAGTACATTTTACTTAAACTCTCAGTTGAGATATTTATTTACACCATTATACAAATGCCTGTGTCATACAAAATGCATCTTTTTCTAAAAAGATTCAGAATGTCAGTACTGTGCAGATTTGGTTCTTAAGCAGAGACCAAATAAAGTCGTCAACAATGGCCAACTTCTGAGTGTGAAAACAAGTTCATATGATACTTTTTTTTTTAAGAATTCAATGTATTTCCTTTCTTACCTTGCTTCAAGTCTTTTGTACAATACAGTGTTATCAGTTTGCAGCACAAAAACTCTATGAAACCAGCGTTCAGGGAAGAAATTACAGCCATGGTAATCAACAATAACTCCACCTTCACTCATTTGGTTTTCTAACTCATCCACTACCTATAAGAAAGGTGGAGGGAAGAAAAAGATGAATGATTCTTAAAAAAATGTCAACTTTCCTATTAAACTTTTTAGAATTTATACTTTATTTAAAAACTTGCACTTACTCTATCTTCATCTAAAATGGGACAATCATACTCTTCATCATAGCCATCATATAACTGCCCTGAAAAAGATATACATTGGCGTGTTATTAAAGTAGTATTTTTCAAAGTAACTTTCAGTAATAGTCAATTAATTCTAGGCTTTAGGAAGGGAAATAAATAATCAATGACTCTCTTAGAGACAAGGGAGGGCACTAACACAATAGATGTCACATGGATATGGTGAACAATACTAATAAATTAGAATTTTGTCTAGAGGGAAGCTTGGATGGCCACATATCTGAAACTGTTTTAGCCATCAAAATGGAAACCAACTAAAGAATTAGTAATAGCTAATTTCTAAATTTGTGGACAACTAGAAGAGAACAGTATTACTGTTGGTGACCTACAGATTAGTGGGAAGAGGTGACACATGGATAGAAACACTCACACACACATTAACAGAAGGTTGTTTCAAACTCATTAGGCAAAGGATATGAAACTTATTAAAAGTAACAAGTTCTCAATTCTAGCAATGAACCCTCTTGTCCACTGAGGTCACATCTTCATGGGGTGTGGGGAAGGAGAGTCAGTATCAAGATGCTCCTGAACAGTATCTTTATTTCTAGATTACCAACATCTCCATAATCAAGGGATGATTGCCCTATTTTATAAGGCAAAACAAGAATGATAGGCAGTTCTCCTGGCTGTTGTGGCTCAGTGGATTGAGTGCTGGCCCGTGGACCAAAATGTCGCTGGTTAGATTCCCAGTCAGGGCACATGCCTGGGTTGTGGGCCAGGTAGGTTCCCAGTAGGGGGCATGTGAGATGCAACCACACATTGATGTTTTTCTCCCTTTCTCTCTCCCTTCCCCTCTGTCTAAAATAAATAAATAAAATTTTAAAAAAGAATGATGGACAGTTCTAAATAAGGCAGATTTAAATCTAAAATAAGTCCTGGCTGGGTACCTCAGTTGGTTAGAGCTGTCTCCATACAAGATTGAGGGTTCGCCTCCCAGCCAGGGCACATACAAGTATCAACCAATGAACGCATCAATAAATGGAACAACAAATTGATGTTTCTTTCCCTCTAAAATCAATAAATAAAAATTAAAAGAAAAAGAAATAAGCCCTAGCCAGTGTGTCTCAGTTGGTTGGGCATGGTCCCACAAACAAAGGCTGCAGTTTTGATTCCCAGTCAGGGCCCATGTCATTTGGGGTGCTTACAAGAAACAACTGATCTATGATTCTCTCTCTCTCTTTCTCCCTCCCTTCCCCTTTCTCTACAAATAAATAAATAAAATCTTTAAAAAATAAAATAACTAATTAAAATGTTAAACCTCTGTTCAATGAAAAATAACTTACGAAAAAAGAAAAATAAGACTGGGAGAAATATTTGTAGTAGGACAAAGGACTGAAATGTAGATTGTATAAAGACCATAAAAATCAAGATAAAAATAAGTAGCTTAACAAAGAGTAAGACTCATACAGGATGGAAAAGATAGTAAACATACCTGAAAAAAATTTACTTTCCCAGCTGTTAAAGGGGTGCAAAGTGAGCCTTTATATGCCTGTTATGCTAATTAGATATGTACATCGATAGTAAATCAACTCTGGACATGTATTTTAAAAATAATTTTTAAAAAGTTTTTTATGAAAAATGTACCCATTCAGATTTCCTCTGTCATTTAATTTCTAATCAGAAAAAGATTATGGTGATTAAAAATGTTCAACAAAAGGGAAAGTTAAATCTTGATATAACAACTTGATGAAATATTATATAATTAAATAAAGTTCAAGAAATAAATATTAGGTAGTCTGCCCCAGCTGGTACGGCTTAGTTCGTTGGAGTGTCATCCCATAACCAAAAGGCTGCGGGCTTGATATCCGGTCAGAGAACATACCTAGGTTGTAGATTCAACTACGGGTCCGGGTATGTGCAGGAGGCAACAAATTGATGCTTCTGTCTCGCATTGATATCTCTCTCCCTTCCTCCCTCTCTAAAAGCAAGGGAAAAGCCCTGGCTGGTGTGGCTCAGTGGCCTGAGCACCGACCTGCCAACTGAAGGGTTGCTGGCTCGATTCCCAGTTAGGGCACATGCCTGAGTTGCGGCATGTTTATTTCATTAAAAAAAAATAAAATAATAGCAAGGGAAAAAATTTCCTCGAGTGAGGATAAAAACAAAATTATTTTTTAAAAGATTTTATTTCTTTTTAGAGAGAGAGGAAGGGAGGGAGAAAGGGAGAGAAACGTCAATGTGTGGCTGTCTCTCATGTACCCCCTTCTGGGGACCTGGCCTGCACCTCAGGTATGTACCTTGACTGGGAATTGAACCAGTGACTCTTTTGTTTGTAGGGTGGCGCTCAAGCCACTGAGTCATACCAGTCAGAACAAAAAAGTTAAAGAAAGAAACCTATATGATTTTATTAACCAATGTCACCTCAATAAATTCAATTAAAAGTCATTTTGATTTGTAAAAAGATCTGGAAGGAAGCAAATCTCCAGCAGCATGAATACCACATCAAAGCTACGGCAGAATTTTGGGTGAATGATGATTATAACCTGTACTATAGGAAATGGGGAGTCATGAATGGATTCTAAACTGTATTCTAAATTTCAAAAAAAAAAGCAGAAAAATTTATACTACTTTAGAAAAATTTCAACCAGAGATCAAATGTATAGTCGTCTATACATAGAATCTTCATCTAGCAAACATAAAAAGGCTTGCTTTGATTAAATTCCCAAAGCTTAAAAAATTATTCAATTTTTTTAAATAAAGTTTTATAACTTACTTAAAGATGTATTACTTGCAGGAAAAAAATACTAATTGTGGAGCTAGAGTTGAAAGGCTAAGTTCTTACCTTAAAAGATCTTCCTAGCTGTCATTTGTCAAGCTATAAAATCATGTTTACTTTAACTACCATCCTATAATTTATACACTATGTGAAAGGTGTTTATTGACGATATTGGGATGCTAGTTATCTCTTTTGATACTATTGCCAATATTTAAGACATCTCCAGATAGCTTCCTTTTGGAAACATATTTACCTCAATCCAAGAAACTTATTAAGTACAAGATGTTAATTGGTTTAGAAGGACAGAGTGTTTTGATACTTGGCCTTTTATGTAGGGAAAAGAGCAATTCTGCTTAGAGAAGTTAACACCAAAGATGTGACATTTGAGTTGGGCTTTTTAAAGAGTTGTTTGTAAGGCAGGTAAGGGCATCTACATGTCAGGAAATGACATGTATAAAGATGTGGAGGTGGAAAATTCCTGTGTGATGAGAAACAGTAGTGCACTGTGGGCAGACTGAAGGGGACATAGTGGACAGTGGCTGCGGGTAAGGCTGAGGGTAGACAGGTGAGTTCATAATCTCCTATACTTCATTAAGGAGAATGGATGACCTTTATCAGTAAAAAGCAAGTCATGTTATTCCCACTCCTCATTGTTTAAGAAATTTACTTATTAATTTGAAAGAGAAATATTGATTTATTGTTCCACTTATTTATGCATTCATTGGTTGGTTCTTATATGTGCCCTGACTAGACATCAAACCTGCAACCTGGGCACATAGGGATGATGCTCTAACCAACTGAGCTACTCAGGGTCCCATTCTCTGTTTTTTAAAGGTCATCATGGTGTAGAGGAAGGTAAGAGATACTGAAGGAGATTCAGCACAAATGGTCTTGAGAATGGATTAGGGGTACCATAGGAACACATCAATTGTTTTAGGAACAGGATAGTAGTCTACAAGGATTTTTCAAACTATCAAGATTTAAAGGCCGAACGATCCGTGTAGTGTGTCGGTGTGTTTGTATATGTGGGGGATAGGAAACAGGAATGGGCAAAGAGAGTCAGGGATAACTTCAGAGCATGTGATTTTTAAACATGCTAATTTGGAAATGTCTGGGTACTATCCAGATGGCTACCTTTAGGTGTCTAGAAATTGGGCTGTTAGTTACAAACTTAGAGAGTCATTGGTAAAAGGGAGTGGCCAGTCCTGAGTGAATGAGATTACTAGAGAGAGGAGAATTACAAGATGCCTGCAGTGAAATCATGACAGAAAGAGGTATATGGTGGGAGGAGAGGATCAGATGCAGAGATTGGGAGAGAACAGTGTTGCAGAGCAAACGGAGACTTGTTTCAAAGGCTTGCAGTGGAAGAAAAAGATGGAACACAAAAGAGCAAGGATGGCAAACTTCTGGAAAGGGCAAGACAATATTTCAGGCTTTGTAAGTCAATCTTCAGCTAGTGAATCCTATAAAAACAGCAGCAGTTTGCCCATTGCTAGGTTAGAAACAGATCAAGATTACAAGTGTTGAGGGCTCCGCTATGCTTTACAACTTCTATTTGGAATGGACCCAACGTCAGTATAATATTACTTTGGACCCACAGAGGCTAGGAACCTTGAGGCTTCAGACTGAAAAAATGGTGGCAGGAAAATTACGGATGCTGGTAAATGTAATTAAATGATTGCATATTGGAAAGGATATCAAGTGAGGAGGAATCTGAGAGACTAGAATAGGGATTGTTGGGAACCGCCCTGCCTGGTTTCAGAAGCTGCAACCCCCATGGCTAAGGCTGAGTGAGAGACCTTGCGATCATAAGCCACTAGGGAGACAAAGCTTATCTCTCTGGCAGGGCACCACGGCTGCCCCCTTTACTTCACCCTGCTTTGTCTCCAGCGGATGACCTGTTAGCCAGCCAAAGACAGGTAAGGTTCCTCAAGGGAAGGATGACCTAAGACAGGCATGGTCACGAAGGGGCCCTCAAGGAAGGATTTGGGGGGCTACAAAAAAAGGGGGTGATGAACCCTCACCCCTCAGCTTTGACCTAGCCTGAGTCCTCATTCTGTCTGCAAGAAGTCTCCCAATCTCTTGACTGCCTTACTTCCCCCACCTGACTTGAGCCTGAAACAATGTGGAAGGTCAGTGCAGCACTGGGCAGGAATGGACAGTTCCCTGGGGTGATCTGGCCTAAGAAAGAATGCATAAAATCCTGTGAAACCTGCTTTGCTAAGAATGTCCTGTTTTCTGGTAAGGGTCCAAGCATGAAATGAGTTTGTTTCCCAAAGTTTATAGCTAAAGCTAACTGACCCTGACTCAGAATAAGCCCTCATGGTTCTTTGTATGTTATCTATTGCTTGAGGCTTACTGCCTGACAATGACTGATAAGCTTTACCTGTATTCCTGTGCAAACTGAACCCAATAAAAGCTCATTGAGGAAAAGGTTCCTGGCCCTTCTCCTTTGAGAGATTGACCACCTTTCCTTCCCAAGCAGATGTCTTGGTAGACTTATTCTCATCTGCAGCAGAAAGTGGGGCCCTGTGGGCAAAGCTCCCCAAGGGATAAGAAAAACATTCTTAGTTACACAGTGGTTAGGACTCCTGATAGTTTTGTTAACCTTAATTTCCCAACTAATTTTCCTGCCTGGGTTCCAAGTGACATAAGGATCTTTTAAAAATACAGTTGGTACTTACTATATTTTTACTGTGTTAGGGGGACTAACCTCCCACAAACTCAAAAATCTATGTATAATTAGTCAGCCCTCCACATAAACAGATTCCCAACCATGGAGTTGAACTGCGCATGTGAATCAAAAAATTCATGTATAGAGGGACCCGTACAATTCAAACCCATGTTGTTCAAGGGTCAACTGTAATACAGCAATTAAATGATTATTAGGATGGCTACAGACACCCATTTAGACATTTGTTTAAAGACAGTTTTGTTTTTTTCTTTAAAGTCTCCTTTTATAGCAGAGCTTCTCAACCTCAACTACTACTAACATTCTGAGCTTGATAATTGTTATAGGAGTGGAAGGTGTGAACTGTGGGATGTTCAGAATCACTGCCCTCTACATATCAGATGTCACTAGCAATTCCCCAAACCCCAGTTGTGACTACCAAAAATGTCCCCTGAAGGGCATAATCACCCCCACCTGAGAACCACTACTTTATAGATGACTATACGGTTTTCCTTATATATATCACCATTTGAAAAAAATGATGAGGCTGGATGTCTCAGAATATTTTTTAATGAGCTTCTCAGATATAGTCAAGTGGTGTTAAGAAAAAATCTGGTATATTATGAGAAGTACCTCACCCAATACCACATTAAGTCAGACCAGACATCTTTTATGTGGCATTATATGAGGAAAACATACTTTTCCTTTAAGGATTCAATTTCATGTCATCAGTAAAATGGTTGAGACTACACACCATTAGGTAGACACACAACTGGCTACAATGGTGTGAATACAAGTAGGAGAGGACCCAATGGTTCTAGCATTACTGTTCCTCGCAATGCTATTCATGTAGATTATATAGCAACTTCATAAAGTTTAGACACATTCAACTGAGTAGGTGAGATTAGAACTAGATGACTGAAAATGACTATTGTAACTCTGAAATCACTTGCCAGATACTATAAAGTTCAACAGGCAAAGAAACAAAACCAGATTTCATGTAAGTATAAAATGAAGACTTTCTAGCTATGTACAACAGCAAATAATGAACTGAGTTTTATGAACTATAATTTAAATGCCGGACCTGAGTCAAAAATAAAAGCATGGGAGTGACTTATTATCAAGAATATGGCAAGTTGCCCTGGCTGGTATAGCTCAGTGGACTGAGTGTGGGCCTGCAAATCAGAGTCGCCAGTTCAATTCCCAGTCAGGGCACATGCCTGGGTTTTGGGCCAGGTCCCCAGTGGGAAAGATGCATGAGGCAACCACACATTGATATTTCTTTCCCTCTTTTCCCTTCTCTCTTAATAAAGTATATGTGTGTGTGTGTGTTTGTGTGTGTGTGTGTGTGTGTATATATATATATATATGTGCCATATATATATATATATATATATATGGCAAACAAAAATGCAGAGAACTGGCCTGCAAAAGGGATACTGAAAAATTTTCTACTTTATTTGAGACAAAGGGAGGGAGGGAGAAACATCAATTTATTGTTCATTTATTTATTAATTCATTGGTTGATTCTTGTATGTTCCCTGACTGGGGAATGAACCCTCAACCTTGCTTGGCCTATTGGGACGACACTAACCAAGTAAGTTACCTGGTCAGGGCTGAAAGTTTTCAAGTGGGGAGATACGGGGAGACACATTAGGGTTCATAAATATAACCAAAGGGATATAAAAATGGGACGTAGGAAGAACATGGGCAGTTCAAGAAGATAAATCCAAACAGATGAGGATTCACTATGAGTGAAAGTCCTGATCCACTATTCTCTCCAAAAAGGAAACATGATTATAATTAATAGTTTGAGAGAATGACCCTCAAGAATGACATACACCAGAGATCACCCTATGATTTACACATCTGAAGACATTAGAGATGACACTCCAGTGGTGAATATAGATTGCAACAATTGAAGTTGTTACAACTATTATTTCTGTTGGTGACCAGGGGTAAAATAGCTTCTAAAATGTAATTGCCAAAGTACGAACAATCAAATTGAGGAATAGCAACTTTATTTCTTATACTTAAAGGCTGATGAAAAACCATTAGGAATTCTATTAAAGAAAATACAATATCTCAATTAAAAACTATAACTGTATTTACTCATTAAGTACTATTTAAGTTTTCTAAAACACAACTTGAAAACACCCAGCATGCATGTTTAATCTTAGTACAGTATATTTAAGATCAAATATACATGTTACATGCATCAAAGCTAGATTACAAATTATCATAGTCATCATCATCATCATCGTCATCGTCATCACGTTTTCGTTTCAATGCATTTGATGATTCACTGGCAGTATTTTGTGATGACACCATGTTAGTGGTAATAAGAATGTTTTTGGACCCAATTAATGATGGATTAATCAGAACATTCTGAACTGCTGATGTTGCAGGAATTGATGCTTTTACAGCTGGGGACTGCGAAGTGGGCATCTGTACCGTAAACCTTTGCCCTGTGAGGGACATCGGAGTCCCTACTTTAGTTGAAACTGACATGGTTTGTGGGGTTGGTGTGCCAAGTGTGGGAGTACTTGGTCTGCTAGTAACTGAACCAACACTTAACCGCGGAACTGTTATTCTTCCTGCAGAAGTAGCTGCCTTTTTTTGTAAAGACTTAAGTCTATAGTTTGGAGCAGTCAAGCAATATCTATCAGGTGGCAATCTAGGGCCTGAATATGGCTTGATCAATGGCAAAGGGGTCTGATTTCTTTGCCTTGCAATATCTAATAAAAAATCTCTTGGGGGAGGAGAGGTGAAAGACTGGTCAGCACGGCACTGGATTGCCAGTCGCACATCATCTGCATCAACAGTGGCTTTTTTAGCATGGCTTGAATAAATTTTCGCATCATCTAGAATTGTGGTCACATATCGGAAGGCAAACTCCAACATCTGATTTATAACTCTTGGTTCATATTCTGTAATCCCCATATCCTTCAGGATTTGTGCCATCATCTGTGCATCTTTCGGCATGCTCTTGGGAGAAGCCATCTTGCCAGACTCCATGATATCCGGTGATCAGACTTTAGATTATTTAAAAAAAATATGTACATTAGATCAAACCTGAAATAGTTACTTTAGCAGCAACTGTCAGGAACTTAAATTTTTTTTTTAAATGTTACATTTTTTAAAATATTCCAACTTAAAAAATATGTTAAGTGTTTTTCATTTTAATGAGGCATACTTAAAGTTCCCTTTACTTAAATTTATTGAGTTTCTACCCTGTACTATAGAATATAAACAGATGACGACACAGTAAGAGAATGATACAGACTAGGGGAAAACAGGGTAAAATAAGTAAAAACATGTATCTTTTTAGAATACATGCAATTTCATGCAGACATGCAACTATTAAATTAATTTAGGAAAATATCATAAGATAATCATGTCCTACTACCTGAATTCAGAATACTCTCTCCTTTCAGTGAGATCAATATAATCAGTTCCGTAGACAGACTTAGCCTCACCTGAACCTTTACGTGTTCACCCATCTCAAAACATTCTCCCTCTTCCTCATATTCAATTCTACCTAAGTCCGATCAATCTCTTCATGAAAACCTTCCCAATTATTATTACCCACAGGAATTGCTAGCCAATCGCGGGGCAATGTAATGGTCAAAATAACTAGGACACAGCTTTAGGCACTTAATACTGTGGTACCTTGGTACTCGTCGTTACTGGTAATTTGTTCTGGAACTTAGGACGAGTGCCAAAAATGACGAGTACCAAATGACAGCATTTTCTCTTGCAGGATGGCACCGTGACTCACAACTTCTAGCAAGTGCAACAAGTCTCAAGCAGGCACCAAGTGCTGAAACATTTTTTTCTGATCAAAATGCAATGAGTACAGGATCTGATGACTTCTGAAGCCAACAATACTGAGGTATGACAGTACTTTCTATTTTATGGGTCCCCAACACAGCATAAATTCCTTAATGGCAATCTTCCTCTGTTTTTATACCCTCTCACAGTATAGTACTAATACTCCCATTATCTCTCTCTCTTTTTTTAAAAACACCAAAATGTCCCTTACCTTCTCGAGCTAAATCAGCCACACTAATGTATTTAAGTTCTGATCTTGCTGCAAGTTCTTTACCCAGTGTTGTTTTTCCGACCCCTGGTGTACCTGTAAGACAAGCCACAGAAAATATTGTTCATGAAATACTTATTAGAATTTAGCCACCTACCTGACCTTAATATTTCTAAAGAACTGAAAAGTTTCATAATTAGCGACACTATTGGAATTAACATATCCAAAGCCTGTTGGATGCCAGACTCTCACCCCGTGTATCTGATTCTGCCAGAAGTGGGGCTTGGGCAATTGTGATACCAATTCAGAGACCTCTTGCCACCACTATGGAGATTCCCAGAGTAAAACTAGCTATCACAAATAAATTATCTAATTTTTTAAAAATTATGAAATTGTTCATGGAAAAAAATTAAGCAATATGAAAAACAAATCTCATTTCCTCTAAGGAGTCCCTACAGTCTTCCTTATAAATAAGATTCTTTAAGTCTTACGCATATGTGTTTGTGTATTCACACATATGTACATCCCATAGCATACCGTGTATGTTTATGTACCGATATGTAATGTGCACATATACATATGTACACACACTGTACATTCCCTTGTACATAAATGGCACACTGTTACAGAACAGTAGTACTATACACTGTTCTTCACTTGCCCTTTTTAATATCTACTGGGTTTCAAGATAATCAAATACATAATTTTCAGCTGTTGAAGTTTAATGCCACTGAATAAAACTCAATCATCACAACCCAAGATAACAAGAACAAATCAAATCTCTCTATATAAGACAATAATATCCACCTGGAGTTTCCGTACAATTCACCATGTTTGAATCCTGGACACACCATGTTTTCAATAAAATGCTCACATACACATTTTTGACAATAAGTCTTAATATTAAAAACCAAGCTATTGGCTGCCCCAATCAATTTCTATGTTGTACAACTTCCCCTTAAGGAATCTTAAAGGCTAAATGTTAATTTGTTGAGATTAATTTGCAGCTCTCAGACACAAACAAAAATTGTGTGCAGCCAACAACCTTATTTTTTTAAGTAAAAATGGTATTTATTTAGCTTTTTATAAACATAGCTTGTTTTCTTAAACGATAAAAACTTTATCGACCCCCCCCCCCCAACAAATAGCGTCTCCGTTATGCAGCATTTTAGTATTCCTCACATATACCAGGCTCCTCCGAGTACGGATCAAAAGAACCAGAAGGGCCCCCACGGGAACTTCAGATCTCTGTACAAGAAACGACCAGGTGTACTCGGGAAACAGATTTTTCTTCTTAGAAGAAAAAAAAAGTCTCTGATGCTAACTCAACAAACAGACATCGCAAATTAATCACCATACGCCACAAACACTCGAACTCTCTTATCGAAAGCTGACTCTCAGATACAAAGGAAAAATGAAAGACCGCCCACTAAGGCCTAAAAACTAGGCATCCACCAGGAACGGAACTACTAATGTGACCTCTCTGAAAGCCAAAGACAACCCAGCCAAATAAAAAACAGTCAACATCCACCAAACAAAAACCAGGTTTAGAAAGATCAGTCAGCTTGCCAGAAACGGGAGCTGGGCAGGTTTAGCCCTCTCCACCTCGCCGAGCAGCCTCCGCCAGCAGGACAGAGGTTCCGCAGCTCGGCCCCTCCCCGCGCCACGGTCACGAGGGCCGGGTCTGGGGACCTGACAACTGCCAGGCCACGCGACCCTGGACTAGCCTTGGAACAAAACACTGGGCGCTCCCGACCCGACCCACTGCCCAGCCCCTCCCCGTCGTGCGCGCCCTAACCGGTGAGAAGGATGTTCGGAAGCGACATGGTCCTCACCGCGACAGCTGTGCAAACCTTGGCGCAAGGGCTCTAAACACAACCGGAAGGAGCCGGACGGGGCGGGCGGCGGCAGGCGCCTTTGACTCCGAGGGCCCTGCGCCGCGCTCTCGACCCGTCTCCGCTTTCCAGCCACCAAGCCTTGGTTACCTGGCCTACTATGACGTACTTTCATTGCGGGGCCCGAGGCAGGGAAATGGAAGGGAAACCAAGATTCGAGTCAGGCAATGCGCTGGATGCCTAAGTCACCCTTTCGTTTGGCTGCCCCCGCCCTTCGGGTTCTGTCGCTGAAGCGCCGACGAGCTGTGGAAAGTCCCCGGTGGGTGGGACTCTGGGGCTGCTCGGCGCTGAGCCCAGGTAGAGCAGGGTGGCCGCCCTTCCACCAGGAGCAGAGCCTGTGCTCTTCCGCTCCTCTCCGCCCACGAGGGCATGCAGCTCCCGGCAAGTAAGGCCACAGCGATTGCGGCTGTGGTGTCTATATCTGTCCGAGTGACGCGAGTCCATTTCTGCGTTCACGCCTTCCTGGAATCTCGTTGCTCCTCCTCCCCACCTGCCCTTGTCATTTGGAAATGAGAAGGGTGGGGGCGCAGACCGGTGGCCTGGAGCTGGGGCTCGCCAGCCTATCTAGGCTGTCCGCTGATTAGCTGCTGCCTTACGTTGCACGACTGTCTGAGCTTATTAGACCTTGTGCAGTGTGTAGGGTGGTGTGGGTCTGTTAGAAATATTCTCGAAGTTCTCTTCTACCTCTGACGTCTCATTTCAGGAACGTGGCATCATCAGGGGCAGTTACCTGCTTTTTAAAGGAGGTAATTGTCATTGACATTGTCAAAGAATGATTTGGAGTCCTTACCGTAACAACAGCCTGCGTCTTTCATTTTGACCTGCCAGCTACATTTACTCAAATAGGTGTTTTTTTCCACCCATGTACCTCTTTGAAACTCCAAAACAAAGACTTCTTTCATCGAGTGAACGATTTGTATGTGTATGATTTATTTTCTAGTGTATGGAAGTATTTACACATTATGTGTGCCTCCAAGCTCTAAGAGTTCAATGTACCTTCCGATTTATAAGTTTATAGACCATTCCCTCTGACTAACTTAAAATGGGTGAATTTACTGGTTTGTGCAAATACTGAAGAATTTTAAAAGTCAGAAAACAGTGCTGTCAAAAATGTCCTAATGTGTTTAAATAAGGAAACCAGTTATAGGAAAAATTTACAGTAAGAGTTAAAGTCTTCGTCCAAAGTGAGTGATAAATTTGAATTCATTGTGTAGAGGTTTTAAAAAAAAATTGGCAATGAAAAGCTTCACCTGATTTAAAACGAGGGAATTTTAATTTTCTGTATAAAAACCGCACAAATAATATTGTCTAATTTTTCTTAATAACAAAAGGTAGGTGCAAAATACGTGTTTTTTCTGTTTTCTCTAATTATCGAGTTCATATAAAATATAGCACCATGAATAAGATTATTTGACACGGGTTATAGTCATTAAAATATTTATTTTAGCATTTTGATCTAGCATTGTTTGATCTAGCATGTTTGATCTAGCATTATGTTCTTTCTCACTGGTCTTAAGCATTAGCATTATACTGTTGATTATATCATATATATTAATTGCTATCCTCACAGTTTTTCCTAAAAATTTTTTTTGTATTGATTTGAGAGCTAGAAACATCGATTTGTTTGTTGTTCCACTTAGTTGTGCATTTATTGGTTGATACTGGTATATACTCTTATGGGAGATCAGACCCACAACCTTGGCTATCAGGGTGATGCTCTCACCCACTGGGCTACCTGGCCCAAGTTTCAGTTTTTTCTTAATTGAGAATTGTCTTCTTTTTGTTTCTTAGGTGAATTATACTTTAATATACTACAGGTTGTATGCTATGGATGGGAACTATTGAAGTTTATAATGTCAAAAGCTTTTCTTAGACGAAAGGTGTCTTCCACAAAGGTATGATACACTAACATGATCATATAATTGCCTAAAAAGATTTACATTTTTGTACGTGTTCTTAATGATTTCTTACTGCTATCGGTGTAATGGTACCCAATATCTGTTGTAATTAGTGATCTTAAAAGTCTCATAATATGTTGTTAAACAACTATACACTGAAAGCACAACCTTAATTTTGAAAAAATATTTACAATCCTAGTCACAAAGAAAAAAACTGAACACTCTAGAATTGAAGAGCAGTAGAAGAAAAGAAATGTACGAATTGTAGTGATGTTAAACTTTAACAACAAGCCCTGCCTCTTAGAAATCATAAGGTTCAGTGAACTAGTTCTCAGCAAGGTTAGAAGGCAAAATAGAATGAAGGTCAGACAGATTCATACTCAGATTCAAAGAGCTGCTTTCCTAGTGGTTGATATGATTTAAATTTTTTTAAAATTTATTTTTTAGAATTTATTTATTTTTAGAGAGTGGGGAAGAGAAGGAGAAAGAGAAATATCAGTGTATGGTTGCCTCTTGTGCACCCCTTGCTGAGAACCTGGCCTGCAGTCCAGGCATGTGCCCTGACTGGGAATCGAACCATGACCCTTTGGTTCACAGGCCTGCATTCAGTCCACTGAGCTATACCCACCAGGCCTAAAATATATCTTTTAGAGAGAGGTGAAGGGAGGAAGAAAGAGAGTAAGAGAGAAACATCTATCAGTTGCCTCCTGCACACCCCCAACTGGGGACCTGGCAGGCATGTGCCCTGACTAGGAATCCAACCAGTGACCTTTCTGTTCTCGGGGGTGCTCAGTCCACTGAGCCACACCAGCCAGGGCAGCTTTTTCTTTGATTTTAAGTAAATGATTTAACTTTGCTGCTTCTCTCTCTCTTTTTTCAGTAAATGGGATTCCACATTTATGTCAGAAATAAAGCCATAAAATCTGTAGGTAACATGTCAATCAGAATTGCTATCAAAGGATTACTATAACATAATTTGTATGTACTCTTAAAAATAGAGGAAAGGTACCAAAATTGTAGTAATAGTGACAGTCTTTTGAAAAGGAGGAAATGAATCAGGTATATGACTGAAATTTTTCCCAGAGGTTTCATTTCTTCATCCACGACTGATAACATTTCTAATTCTCTGTCCTTAAAAGAGTAATGAATATAATCAAGACATAATTACAAATTATTCATAGTATCAAGAATCTTAAATTATATCCTCTCAAAGTCTTAAAGCTAATAGGAATTGTTTTGATGTAGGAAATGTAATGTGTTGAACTGGTAAAGGTGGAAGTATTACTCTTCTCACTGTTGTACATGCTTAAAGTAATATTTCTCTATTTTGTTTTGTTTTTTTTGATAGGTACTTTAAATATTTATGTTTCAGTCCTACATGAGTTTTAAAATAATCAGACTACTCTTTATCCTGGGAAGATTACATTAATAAAAACAATTAAATTTGTATTCTATATTCCTTTATATGGTATTCATCATTACCATGGTCACTTAGACAAGTATGCATTCGAACTTACTACAAAGTACAAAATAACATACATACGGAATCAGTTTTCTTTTTTTTATTCTCACCCAAGAATACATTTTTTTTAAATTGATTTTTAGAGAGCCAACATCTTGGCTTACAACAGTGAGCCAACATCTTTGGGTTGCCTCCCATACGTGCCCCAACTGGGGATCGAACCCGCATCCTGTTCAGTGTATGGAACAATGCTCCAACTAACTCAGCCACTTGGCCAAGGCTGGAATCAGTTGTATTTAAAGACCTAACTTTTGAGATTTTTATTTTAAATATTACAAATATACATTTTTTTAAAAGATTTTATTTACTTATTTTTAGAGAGGGAAGGGGGGGAGATAGAGAGAGAGAAACATCAATGTGCAGTTGCTGGGGGCTGTGGCCTACAACCCAGGCATGTGCCCTGACTGGGAATCGAACCTGTGATACTTTGGTTCTCAGCCCGCGCTCAATCCACTGAGCTACTCCAGCCAGGGCAAATATACATTTTTTAACAGAGTAGTTAAATCATATAGGGAATAGATGCAAAAAATGTAATAGTTTTATGTGATTTTTTTTTCAGGTAACAGATTGGGTAGACCCATCATTTGATGATTTTTCAGAGAATACAAGCATCTCTGCTATTACTGCCACATCGTTAAGTGTGAATAACTCAAGCTATAGAAGAAAGAGTGTACCTTCCACATTAGAAAGTAGCACATTTCCAACTAGGAAAAAAGGAACACTGTCTTCCTCAGAACAGATATATGCTCTAGAAAACTCAAAAAAAAATCTGTCTGAAAATGAACCATGGGTGGATAAATACAAGCCAGAAACTCAGGTACTAAGTAGCATACAAACGTAATTTTATTTCAGGAAGGAAAAGGATGTGCATTTTCGGGTTATTATTCATAAAATCTTGCTAAATGAATTGGAAAAAACAATAATTTCAGGGTTTTTATTTTATATCCCAAGGCTCAGAGTGTTCTCAGCAATTATTCTGAAGTGGTACCATTGGTTGTCTTAGATTAAACTTAATACGAATGTAGAATTGATCTGTTTATTTTATCTATTTATTTATTGCTAAATGTAATACCCCTTCCTATTTATTCCATTCCCAAAATATATTACAGTATTTTTAAAAATTTTATAATCCAAACCTGCTCAAATTTTCAAATAATGGCATCAGTTCTTAAGTGTAATCAACCTTTTTTATCATGCTAATTGTTTGCTAGTTTTAAAATGTTTAGTTTAGTTTAATCTACACTGATGTGCCAAAAACCCTTGAGTTAAAATGTTTTATTTTAAACTTGAAATTTTTAGCATGAACTTGCCGTGCACAAAAAGAAAATTGAAGAAGTTGAAACATGGTTAAAAGCTGAAGTCTTAGAGAGGCAAACAAAACAGGTAAATAAAAGACATATTTTAAACATTTAACACTAAATATTTCTGTCTTATCAGTGGTTATAAGAAGTTAAACTTTTATGAAGATTTTATTCAAATAAATCCAGGTCACTAGCCATGGGAAGCCTTCTGATCTTACTGCTTCTGGCCACACTAAAAGATTCTGAGATTTTGAGTTTTCCCTGTACTTTTATATTTCCTTTTCACTCTTATGTCCTGTCACTAACGTAAAGCACAGTAAGCCAGTTCAGGCTCTAGTATATCTCAACACTGAAGTAAGCAGGCAAATTACATATTAGTTTTTATACTAAATATAGCCTAAAACAGTCATTATTCATCTATGTTGATGTTTTTTGTTTCACTTCCTAATACCACAGTTACTCTCAGCCCTCAAGCTAGAATATTCTTCTCTCTCTTTTTTTAAATTTTTCTAATTTTGAGATTCTTCCAGCATAAACATAGAATGGTAAACTAATACAGGGACTCAAGTTGAACAGTTTTATAAGAATACTTTATAAGTCATGTTGTGTATTTTATATTGCATCTTATCAGGAAATATGTCTAGTTCTGCTGTTTTTGACGTGAAGTTTGATCACTAGATTAAGGAAGTGTTAGTAAAAAATCTTCATTATAGAGCAGTTTTCTGTTGCAGCTGGCACATAATCTATGGGGAGGTACTTTGGCAACAGGTAAGTATCCAGCGCCCCAGCAGTCTTTCGCCTAAGTACTTTAGCATCCATTTTCTGTCTGTCTTCTAACTGTTTTCACACTAAACCAAAGGGTTAGATCCAAAAGCTAGACATGATTCAAAAGAGCACCTGTTGACATTGGAGGCAACTGAAACACTGTTTCATCTCAATGTTGAAAAATTAAAGGGAATGATTTTTTTTAAAGATTTTATTTATTTTTACAGAGAGGGGAAGGGAGGGAGAAGGAGAGGAACAGAAACATCATCAGTATGTGGTTGCCTCTCGCATGCCCCCTTGGGGACCTGGCCCGCAACCCAGGCATGCTCTCTGACTGGGAATTGAACCAGTGATCTCTTGGTTCACAGACTCATGCTCAGTCCTCTGAGCTACACCAGCCAGGGCAGGCATGATTTTTTAAAATCAGATTTACTGTGTGAGGGAATATTATTGGGACCTATAGCTCTAGTTTCTTTAGAGTCCTATCTTCTAAATATGTTTGTTAGTATATGTATTTTTAAAAATCTGATATCCAAACTGTTTTCCTATTAGAATATTATACTTGTATAATATTAAAATATAATCCAAAGAGTTCTGTGTTAAAATTGAATTTTATGAGTTCAGATGACCTCTAAAAATATTTGTTTCAAATGTTACCTCCTTAATCCAACTGAGGTTTACTTGTTTTAATTTGGCTACTAAGCAGTCTTTGGGAGGGGCATAATGTAAAAATTGAAGAATTGGTAGAAGCTACACTTAAAGGTCAGGAAATAAGATTATCTTATTTTATCTAACGCTGGTTTGCTGCAGCTAGCATTCTTGTGAAATGTAGTCTGCTTATACCAGACATTCGATAAATATTTGTAGAATTAATTAGTATTTAGAAAGATTTAAACATTCTAGTATTCTAATGATTTTGATTCTTAGTTAATGTTTGTGTTTGGTTTTAGGGTGGATCTATTTTATTAATAACAGGGCCTCCTGGGTGTGGAAAAACAACAACTATAAAAATACTATCAAAGGAGCATGGTATTCAAGTACAAGAATGGATTAATCCGGTTTTACCACAGTTCCAGAAAAATGATTTCAAGGAGATCATGTTTAATCATGGTAAGGTTTGTTATGAAGGTAATGGAAATACTTGGAAAAAACCTGTGCTTGATCGAAGGACATTTGAAACAAACTCCCCATCCATATCCTTAAGATTCCTTTTTTTTGGTATATGTTCTGTAGACAAAGGTGTATATTGCCTCTCCTATACTAGATTGGCATCTGCTCACTACCAGCTGCTTTACAAAGTCAGAGTAGCAATCAAATGAAACTATATGAGAGCATTCTCTCCCATATGTCCTAGTTTTCAGAGAAAAGTAATTTTAGGAGAAGGAAAGGAACTGACTGTCCAGTAGAAGAGAAGGGGATTCTTGGAGGATTAAGTCTTAACTGTTTTGTTAGATAACAAGCTAATCTCTTTGTATTATTTATGTGGTTTTTTTCAGGTGCAGGCTAGAAAATTAAACTGTACAAATAAAACCTTTTTGTTCTAAATAAATCAAGCTTTAAGAAATATTAAAAGAGCTTGTCTCCAAACAAGAGGAGAGAGCTTAGATAAGACCTGTGTGAATTGAATCTAATCAAAGCATAAGGCAAGACTGTCTTTGGAATTGGGAAGGAGGCCTTAAGACAAACACCCAAAGATGATAACAGCCCTGGTAACAGCCCTGGCTGGTGTGGCTCAGTGGATTGAGCACTGGCCTGTGAACCAAAAGTTTGCTGGTTTGATTCCCAGTCAGGGCGCATACCTGGGTTGCGGGCCAGGTCCCTAGTTGGGGACGTGTGAGAGGCAACCACACATTGATGTTTCTCTCCCTGTCATTCTCCCTTACTTCCCCTCTCTCTAAAAATAAACAAACAAAATCTTGAAAAATTTTACTATTTAAAAAAAATAGTAATGTACCAATTTAAAGATGTGGTACATAATCATTTTACGTGTAGGCTTGGATACTCCAGCACAATCATTTTTAGCTTTAATAGTTTTTCTTATTGTTACTATTACTAAATTAAGGGTAGCCAAATCCCTTAGGCCACTTTGAAGTGAAAGGAGTTGTATAGAAGGAAAATTTTATTGTTTCTAATTTTTTAATTTTTATTTTAAAGATTTTCTGTATTTATTTTTAGAGAGAAGGGAAGGAGAGAAAGAGCATTGTGTGATTTACTCTCGTGCACCCCCTACTGGGGATCTGGCCTGCAACCCAGGCATGTGTCCTGACTGGAAATCGAACCAGCAACCTTTTGGTTCATAGGCCAGCACTCAGTCCACTGAGCTACACCAGCCAGGATAAGGACAGTTTTATTTTAATGTGGAATATTCTGCAAAAATCCTTTCTCTGGTATTTTCTTTAATGTGCTCTTTGGATATTATATCCTTAGTATGTACACTCTTTATGTTACTAGTATCCTGAATTCCTAAAATTTTACTGCTTTTTAAACAGCAACGTTACTTTTGAAAATATCCAGCAAGTCTTCATAAACAGTCTTCTATATGAAAAAAGTCTTCTCTATGGAGAATTTCCCATATTGCCAACTTTACTAATCAGTCATTCTACTTTTGTTGTTAAACCTTTATTATTGAATAATAATAAAGTAACTATTATTTATAACTATTATTTATAAGTAACTATTATAAGTTTATAAGTAACTATTATTTATAAGTAACTATTATTTATAGTTACACACTCATTTGGAGAGTCTTCATTGTGTACGCAAAGTCCTAAGTATTTCTACATTTGTGTGGAGTGACAGCTGTGTTCTGAAGTGTGTTGGTTCCACAGCACATTCACTGGTGTGGAACCACTCCTGATGTTTGTGACTCTTGCCTTTTGAAATGGATATCCTATTTTAAATTTGAGCAGTTTTGCCTATTTGAAATTCGTACAGTCTATAGTATTGTGAGCTCTTCTTGCATGTGTATTAATTGATGTATGTGTATATATGTGCAACATTGGTGTATATGTAAGTTGTTGAAAATAAAAGGGTTAAATATGTTCCCTTTCAGAATCAAGCTTCCATGTATTTCCCTATCAGTCTCAGATGACAGTTTTTAAAGAGTTTCTACTAAGAGCAACAAAATATAACAAACTACAAATGGTTGGAGATGATCTGAGAACTGATAAGAAGATAATTCTGGTTGAGGTACGTACAATGTTTGAAAACCTTCAGTAACTGTAGAGTAAAAATTGCAAGTTATATTTTGTATTAGTAGTGGTAAAACATAACATAAAGCTTGAAGATAGCAGAAACCAAAAAACCTATTCCGTTAACTTGAATAGAGTAGCTTTAGGTTAATGGGCTTTAAAAATTTAATGGCTTAAGATAGAAAAGCAAAGTAAATATTTGGAAAACGATGTCTTGGTTAACTAGTAATCACCCTAAGAAATTTAATGTGAAAATTGGGTTTCCCATTCATTGATATTACTGTTGAGGATATCAGCTATTTCATATTTCCCTTCTATAAAAGTTCTGGCTATAATACATTAAATAGATAGCATTTTTTCCTGTCTTGGTAAATGTAAATGTGAAAATAAATTTACATGGGAATAAAACTGAACAGGTACTTATCATGTATTTTCAATAGGATTTACCTAACCAGTTTTATCGAGATTCTCATACTTTACATGAAGTTCTAAGGTAAGTTTCAGTGAAGCTTTCTAAAATTCCAAATTAAATGGTAAGTGGCTTAAATTTTAACATTGCTACATTTTATTTTAGGACGTATGTACAGATTGGTCGATGTCCTCTAATATTTATAATCTCTGACAGTCTCAGTGGAGATAATAATCAAAGGTTACTGTTTCCCAAAGAAATTCAAGAAGAGTGTGCTATATCAAACATTAGGTAAGAATGAAATTTCTGCTTAAAATGTCAATGTACACATTATATTTTTAGTTAATCATTTAACCATTTTCTTGTATAAAACTTTGACAGTTTCAACCCTGTGGCACCAACGATTATGATGAAATTTCTTAATCGAATAGTGACAATAGAAGCTAATAAGGTAAGTTTCTTAAGAACTCATTACTTCAAATCTTTTTAGAAGAGTTTACTTATTTTTAGAGAGAGGAGAAAGGAGGGAGAAAAAGAGAGAGAGAAACATCAATGTGAGAAAGAAACATAGATCGGTTGCCTCTCATATGCACCCTGACTGGGAATCAAACTGGTGACCTTTTGCTTTGCTGCACGACAGCCAACTGAGCCACGCTGGTCAGGGTTTGAATCTTACATTGTAATTTTATAAAACCAAACTTAAGAGGTATTATGTAAACTTGAGTTGGAGACACATATTATTTCAGTTTTTAGAATTAAAAAATTTTATTACACTTATAAGGTGTGCCATTTTGGAAAATGTAGGAACTACTGATTTTAAAAATCCTTCACTTTTCCTACTATTAAAGTTAGCTTTCTCTTTAACATTGAAGGCAATTTGCCCTAGTTTAGCCTAGTGTTCTAAGTAGTGCCTGTAATCAAGAAATTGTTTCCTGGCATCTGGGTACATTAGTCATCAACAGTCCAACTCTGCTTTTATCCTGTTGACACTGTTTTGTGTGTGTGGTTAAAAAACACATAGTAACCCTGGCTGGGTGGCTCTGTTGGTTAGAGCGTCAGTCATCTAGGTATGCCGGGGTTGGGGGTTTGATCTCCCGTCAGGGCACAACCAATGAATGCATAAATAAGGGGAACGAATCAATGTTTCTCTATCTCTCTCACTCCCTTCTCCCCTCTCTCTAAAATCAATAAATTTTTTTAAAAAATCACGTAATAAAGTTTACCACGTCAATAATTTTTTTCTCACTTTATTGAGATAACTGATAAAACATTACATAAGTTCAAGGTGTACACATGTTGATTTGATATACTTATGTGTTGCAAAATGATTGCTACCATGGCATTATCTAATATCTCCATCACATTATGTAATTACCATTTTTTTATAGTGAGAGCATTTTCAAAAATATAATACATTGTTATATTGTTATTAACTGTATCATCTTCCGCATTTTTAAGTGTATAGTTCAGTAGTGTTGGCATACTAGTAACTGCCATCACTTTTAATACATCATTTTTTCTATCTTTCACATCAAGGTGATGTTAAAATAAATAGATGGAACTTCTCCTATCTGCATGGTTCTAGATCTTACATGAAACATTGTTTTTTTTTTCCCACTGCTGGGATCAAAGGAATTGAAGGAAATCTCCAAGGGAGGGGTTGTTTTGAAGATTAAACAAAATAATGTGTGTGTAGAGCACTTAACTGAATAAATAATAACTTTTAATATTGAAAAATTAGAAGCAAACTGAGTCTAATAATGACGCAGTTCCATGGGTGAGCTATTATGTCATTAGTATTTTGACAATATTTGGTGATACTGGAAATACAATTTAATGTCAAGTTAAAAATGACAAGATGTAGCGGGAGCAGAGGGGAAAAAAAAAGGACAAGATGTAAACTTACATCATAATGCTAACAGTAGAAGTGACTTCAGCCCTGTCAGGGGCCATGCAAAGTATTTATATACTTGATGTTATTAAACCTCACCACAACCGTACAAAATTGGTACCCTATTTTACAGGTAAGGAAACTGAGCTTTGGTGGAAATAACTTGCATAATATCCCACAATTATTAAGTATCAGATGGGCTTGAAATTTTGTTCTGACTCCAATTTACTGTGCTAAAACAAAACAATCGTCAGTAACAACAAAATGTGTGTGTATGTATATATACACATATACATACTATTGTATTATACATAATATTCTATGTACATTCTAGAAGAAAGTATATACAAGTGTTACATGTGATTAGTTCTAGTGATTAGTGATTAGATTATTTGTGATTTTTTTAAAAGTCTACATTCCCCTGGCTGGCGTAGCTCAGTGGATTGAGCGCGGGCTGCGAACCAAAGTGTCGCAGGTTCAATTCCCAGTCAGGGCACGTGCCTGGGTTGCAGGCCATGGTCCCCAGCAACCGCACATTGATGTTTCTCTCTCTCTCTCTTTCTCCCTCCCTTCCCTCTCTAAAAAATAAAATAAATAAAATCTTTTAAAAAATTTAAAAAATTTTTAAAAAGTCTACATTCTTTATGAGCATGATAACTGCAAATTATAGTTTTAAATATTTTATTTATTTTTAAGATTTTATGTATTTATTTAAAGAGAGGGGAAGGGAGAAAGAAAGAGAGGGAGAGAAACATCAGTGTGTGGTTGCCTCTCACATGTGCCTAACTGAGGGACCTGGTTGGCAACCCAGGCATGTGCCCTGACTGGGAATTGAACTGGTGACACTTTGGTTCGTAGGCCTGTGCTCAATCCACTGTCCACTGAGCTACACCAGCCAGGGCTATTTCTTTATTTTTTTTAGAGAGAGGGGAAGGGAGAAAGAAAGAAAGAAAGGTAGATAAACATCAGTGTATGAGAGAGATCCATCAGTTGCCTCTCTCATACCCCCAACTGGGGACCTAGTCTACAACCCAGGCACATACCTGGACTGGGAATCGAACTGGCAACCTTTAGATTTGCAGGCCAGCACTCAATCCACTGAGCCACACCAGCCAGGGCTTAAGTAATTATGTTAAGAAAGGCTGTTGACATCTTAAGTGAACTTAGCTGTATGACAGTGTTCCTCCTTATCTGTAGGGGATACATTTTAAGACCCCCAATGGATGCCTGAAACTGCAGACAGTACCGAACCCTATATATGCTGTTTTATCCTTGTACGTATATACCTATGATAAAGTTTAATATATAAATTAGGCACTGTAAGAAATTAATAAGAATAACTAATAATAAAGTAGAACAATTATAACAATAAAAAAGGACTAATTGAACACAAAACATCGAGGTACCGCGGCAGTCAATCTGATAACCGAGATGGCTACTAAGCGACTAACAGGCAGACAGCTATACAGTGTGGAGGTGCAGGACAAAGGAGTGATTCACCTCCCAGGCAGAGTGGAGCGATGGTTCAAGATTTTATCATGCTACTCAGAATGACATACAATTTAAAACTTATGAACTGTTTATCTCTGGAATTTCCCATTTAAATATTTTCAGGCTTCAAATGACCACAGGTAACTGAAACAATGGAAAATGAAACCCCAGATAAGGAGGGACTACTGTAATAAGAAAGAGTATTGAGTATCTCAGGTTTTTTTGTTTGTTTAAGTAGATGTTTTTCTGTTTTTATAGGAAAAACAGCCTTTAGTCTTTCCTGATACCATTAGGTGTATAAAGTATGGAAAGAACTGCTGTTCACACACTTCAGCCACGTTTACATTTTCATAGTAATTAACATTTATGGTATTTTTCTCCAAGGATGATGACTTCAAATTACATTTCCATTTCGGAAAGTAATCCCTATCTACAATTTTTCAAAAACAAGTACTCTAACAATTTTTAAATTCAGTGTTTTTGCAATAAAAATAAATTTAATATGGAAAAGAAATTCATAGGCATGAGCAAGAAAATTTTGTGAAAGAATGATGAGAGACTTGCTGTCTCGGCACTGGAACGCAATGTAGAGTCATGGAAGTCACAGCTGTGGGGTTGGCACAGTAACAGACAAATAGAAGAATTAGAACTAGAAGACAGAACAAAGGTCAATATATATATATACATATATATATGTATGCATACAGAAAATGGGAATTTTCTGTATGACGTGGCTTTTCATATCGCTGGGGAAAGAGTAGACTGTTATAGTTAATAAGTGGTGTTGGAACAACTGGATATCCATATGGAAAAGCATAAGGTTGTATCTTAATAGTATGCACAAAAATAATATCCAGGAAGATTAAGTGTTAAAATGCAAAAATCAAAATTAGGAGAGTATGAAAAGAGTAAATAGTGACTTTCTGTTGGGGGAAGGTCTTTCTAAGCAAGAAACAAAAGCCTGAAAGCCATGGATTTATTTCAAAAAAGTGAGAAACTTAGGAAACACCAGGGCATGGTAAGGAAAATTAAAAGACAGGCATAACACGTAAATATATAAAAATGTGCCTACCAAAAAGGCTAAGAATAGAAGCCAGAATATAAAAAAATATGAATGGCTAGTAAACATAAGGGTGTTCAGCTCTATTAGTAATCAGAGAAAATAGTTATCATTCAAATACCATCATTTTTCACATATCAGATAGCCAAACACTTAAAAGATTGATAAACAGGGCTGTCAAAGATATGGAAACACTGGGAATCTCACATACTGTTGGTAGGAAAAATAAAATAGGTAATTTTATTTTGGACACTCTGAAAGCAGTCTACAGAAATATTCACACATACTGGCAAAGATACATGTATACGTCTGTAATGGTGAAAAATTGGAAACAATATAAATATACCTTCATTGGGAGAAATATTAGTTAAATTGTGGTACACCCATAACAATTTTTAAAAAATGAAATAGATTTAAAGAGCACCAAAAAAAGGTATTAAATAAGTAAAAATCAAGTCATACGGTAATGCATACATAATAGTATCTCAATTATGTCTCCATATAGACACTGTATATACTTATAGATATTTGCACACAGAGAGCGGTCTGGAAAGGTACTCACTAGAATATTAACAGTTTTGACAAAGCTTAGGATTTGAGGAGACCAACAGAAAGTAGACAGTAACTTTTTTGTAAACACTTTGAGACAACTCAAGTTAATAAACTTAAAAATATTTATTGAAGCCCCCCTAGCTGGTGTGGCTCAGGGGATGGAGTTGCCTACCTGCAAACCAAAAAGATCGATCACTGGTTCGATTCCCTGGTTTGGCGTTGCAGGTCAGGTCCCCAGTTGGGGAGGTGCAAGAGGCAGCCAATCAGCATCTCTTGCACCAATGTTTCCCTCTCTGCCTTCCTCACTCTCTAAAAATAAATAAATAAAACCTTTAAATATATATTTATATCTGTGTGTGTGTGTGTGTGTGTGTATGGATCATAGTATGGTACTTTTTTTATGTTTTAATCAGTTTTTACAAGATCTAAAATGTGATGATCTGTGAACAGTCACATGAATTCAATTTAAGTCATGTTAGTAAACCATCAGGAGGTTCTGAATGGAGAGAGGGGGCACATTTTTTTCTTGCCTTATATTTGAACTACCAATGGTGTAATAATATGTATTTTTTAAATTTGCATGTATGTCTTTGAAATATATGTGTATTTTATTTATCTTAAATGTCTGTATGAAAACTTGGGCTTTAAAGATGAGGCAATGCAGTTGTGGCTATTTAATCCTTGACAGACTATATTAATATGCTGAAAACCCCAGTGTAGAGATTTTCATGTAAATTTGTCAAAATTTTTGTACTTAATTTTACTATCTTATATTGTGATTTGAAGTCTCTCTGTGTGGGTACATATGTATGTTTGTATGTATGGATTCATGTATAGTGAGAGATAGAGAACTTCACTTGTAATTTTATCAAAGCAAAAGAATATTTTATGTTCTTGAAGTTTTACCTTAAACTATGTCAAGTCTTTGACACTTGTACTTACTTCCATAGGCAGGTTGGGGTTTAACATGGAGGCTTTTTAGCATTCAAATTTAAGATTCTAATATCATTAAGTTTATAAAATCAAGGAGTTTTAATTTTATTATTTTAGAAAGACATTTAAAAATTTTTAATTTTCTCATTTTAGAACGGAGGAAATATTACTGTCCCTGATAAAACTTCTCTAGAGTTGCTCTGTCAAGGGTGTTCTGGTGATATCAGAAGTGCAATAAATAGCCTCCAGTTTTCGTCTTCAAAAGGTAACTATGGAAGATACATTCTTATAACATTATATATAACGTAATTGTTCATGGAATTAAATCAAACTAAACATTTTAATTTATAATTGAAATATACCTATCTCCACTTACTATTATTTTATTGAGACACTGTCATAAAATTACATTTGTACACATGCATGAAAACTCCCTAATGAATATGGCATCATATGTGTCTGTATACATGAGACAAAACCTGATTGATTTTTGTGGTTTGCTGCTTTACCTTTCAAAGTTAATTTGACTTCCTGGGTGAAAATCCTGTCTCTGCCACTTAGCAGTGACTTAATCTTACAAGTTTTAGCTTTCATTTTTTAAATTTATTTTAAATATTGTCACTCGGGTGTATATTACTTAGGAAGAAACAATTTATGCCCAAGGAAAAAAGGAATGCCTTCGTTAAAATCAGATGCTGCGCTGTCAAAATCAAGACGAAGAAAAAAAACTGATAAGGTTTTTGAAAATCAAGAGGTCCAAGCTATCGGTGGAAAAGATGTGTCTCTCTTTCTCTTCAGAGCTTTGGGGAAAATACTATATTGCAAAAGTAAGAAAACCTTATACATTAAAAAAAATTATTATATATTAGTCTTAAAACTGATATAAAGCACCCAAAATTTTTAAATGTCATGTATTTGGTTCTGTTACAACAAGGAACTATGACTAGGTCAGTTACTGTTTGGCAAGGCCTAAGCAGGAAAATGTATTTATCTAAATAGAGTATTTTGGGAATATGAGTCATTAAACATAAAAACTAACTACTATAGGCCATGTTCATGTTTGTAAGTCTAACACAATTATAGTTTGCCAAAGGTAAGACGTCAGTCCATATAGATTTTCAGTTGCAGCTGTTGGCTGCCCAAGCCCTCTTAGCATTGAGCTGTGGCCACCAGGGTGCTAGGCAAGTTGCCCGGTAGCTTCAGGTTTCTTTGGATTCTCTTACATCTCTCTGGTCTCTTCACTAGCTGCCTGTCCCTGACCAGAGATGTCTTCCTTTTCCTCTTCTGTTTTTAATGATTATTTTTCCTCAGTGCCTTCACCCTCATCACCCATCTGTAAGCTCCCAAACTGTCTGATCTTTCAATAAAATGTTTTTAGTCTTATGGTCCAGAAGGAAGAAAATTGAGATTCCTTTTTTTTTTTTTCAATTGGTCTCATGTGATTTTTATAAAGAATAAAACAGTTGCCCAGGCTGGTGTGGCTCACTTAGTTCGAGCACCATCATCCCATAACTGAAATGTTGCAGTTTGATTTCTCTCCAGGGCACATGCCCAGGTTGCAGGTTTGATCTGTGGTCCGGGCGCATGTGATCTCCAGGTGAGGTGCATTTGGGAGTCAACCAATTGTTACTTCTTTCTGTCTCTTTGTCTGTCTCTCTCTCTTGCATCGATATTTCTTCCTCCTCCCTTTCTTTCTAAAAGCAATGAAAAAATGTCCTTGAGTGAGGATTAAAAAATAAATAAAAGTTTACGCAGATTTTTTTCAAAAGATTTTATTTTTGGAGAGAGGGAAAGGGAGGGAGAGAAGGTTGCCTCTCGCACACCCCCTGTTGGAGATCTGGCTCATAACCCCGGCATGTGCCCTGACTGGCAATTGAACCAGCGACCCTTTGGTTCAAAGGCCAGCACTCAGGCCACTGAGCCACACCAGCTAGGGCTACACAGATCTTTGAAGGAAAGTCATGGTTATAGTTTAGAATAGTTTCAGATACCAGAACAAAAAGCAAATCATGATTAAAAAGAAAAACATCTTACGTGTACAGTATCCTCAATATTCTCCCAGTTTTTCAGATCTCTTGTAAAAGAGCTGTATCAGTGAGTCACAAATAGTCTGAGCAGCCATTCACTGGAGCCTCATGCTTATTACATCTGTTACTGTCTGAGACTATTTCCTGGTTGCCAGAAACCCAGTTGTTTGAAACTGCTCTTTATCTTCCTATAAAACTCTGAATGCCTCTTATACCTGCTTTCCATCTGCCTTCCTTGTTGAAAACAGAGATTTCTAAATAGAAACCTTCGTTCCACCTGAGGAAAATGAAACAGGTATCACTTAGGTGGAAATGAAGACACTCCTCTGACCTCTGAAGCTCTGTGCCCATGCCACTGATTGTTTTCCTTCCACCCTTTCTTTTTCCTCCTCAACTTTCTTCTGTAACCTCCTGGGGGCTCCTGTTCTCTCCAGCAGAGAGCAGCATCTGCCTACATAGTGAATTAAGCAGTAGCGACCTCTATATTTAGATGAGACTCTAAAGAAGAAAGCAACCCAGATCTGGAAAGATGAAATGAGGAGAGCTTTAAAAAGTGGAATATTTTAATTCCAGAAATGCCATAATCTAAGCATCAGAATTCTAAATTTTTCTTGCTAATAAAGCAACGCACATAAGCTTCCAATTATTTTGTTTTTTAATTTTAACAGCTCACTTAGTATTTTTGGAATTATGTGCCTAAGGTGTTGAAAAACCTTCAAATGAGAGGTGTTATATAATTATAAAGATGATGTTTTTAACCCAGAAATTTTTTATAGGAGCATCTTCAACAGAATTAGAATCACCTCGATTGCCCTCCCATTTATCAGAGCATGAACGGGATACATTGCTTGTTCATCCTGAGGTAAAGTGTAAAGTCTTTAATACCATTCAGCACTATTTACAAGACATATATTATTTATATTTGTAGACATATAAATCTGACCACCAAAGTTATGTATGTGTGCTTTTTTTATATTATAGGAAGTAGTAGAAATGTCACGCATGCCAGAAGAGTTATTTAATTTGTATCTTCACCAAAACTACGTAGATTTCTTTGCGGAAGTAGATGATCTTGTGAGAGCCAGTGAACTTCTGAGTTTTGCAGATATCATCAGTGGTGACTGGAATGTAAGACCGTTTGACTTCAATGTTTTTGTGTTCGAATATTTCCTCAGAATTGAGGAAGACATTCTACTTTTCTTCTGTATTATTTGCCATGATTTTCTGTGACTTCTTAATAACTATGAGAAAATTAACACCTCCAACTCATTGTTTATAATGAAGCTTCAGCAGTTAATCTGATTTTTCTGGTGATAATATAACACTAATTTTTTCTAAAGTTTTCTGATTTATATATATATTAATATATATTCAGAAATTAATAATAAAAATTAATATATATTCAGAAATTTTGACAGCTATTGAAAAGTGGATAGAAAGAAAATAACTGCTTCTTTCTACACTTTTTGCTAGTTTTTAAATGTTTATTTTTTTACAGATTGGAAATTATTCACAATATAGATTTGTATTTTTTCTTAATATTTGAACATTTCTCTGACCCATAGAGTAGCCACTAGCCACATGTAGCTAATTAAATTAACATTCAGTTCCTTAGTCACACTAGCCACATTTCCAGTATTTGATAGTTATACGTGGCTAGTAGCTGCTATATTGAACAGCCCATTTCAATATAGCTAATTTTTCTATCATAAATAAAACATTTATATCATAGAAAGTTCCACTGGTTAACACTATTCTGATATGTAAACATTTCTCTGTTATAAATGTTGAAATAGCATTAATAATTAAAATGAGGAAAGCTACAATAAAAACATTTGATATAATATGTCATGTTTAGAGTTTCATTGTTCAGCAGTTGTATTTGCTTGAATTTTTTTCATAATTTTTAAAAAATTTACTTTTAGAGAGAGACATGATTGTGTGGGAGATACCTACATCGATTGGTTGCCTCTCACACACCCCCAACTGGGGACCTGGCCCACAACCCAGGCATGTGCCCTGACTGGGAATCAAACCAGCAACCTTTTGGTTCACAGGTGGGCGCTCAATCCACTGAGTCAGCCATACCAGCCAGGGCTGTTGGCTTGATTTTTTTATATTGCTTTTCTATTTTGAAATTTCTCAACCTATCGACAATTTGAATGAATAGTACAATAAATATCTGTATACCTTTACTTTGTTCACCAGTTTTTCATATTTTGCTACATTTGCTTAATAATGTATTTACAGAATTGTTTTGACTAAATACTTAGAAAGTAATTGCAAGCATCATGACACTTAATACTTAAGCATGCGTAATAACATTACTCTATTACAAGCCTAACAACATCACACCTAAGAAAATTAGCATACTCTGATGGCCCAGTTGTCTCAAAAGTGTATTCAAAGTTGTTTCACTCACATCCAAGATCTAATCAAAGTTTACACATAGCATTTGATTGCTATTTCTTAGTTGGATTTGCTTAAATAATCTTATAGCATATTATTTTTAGGGCTGCAGTGATGTTCAAAAAAGTGAGCATATAGTGACTAAATATGGTTAATTTTTGTGTGTGTGTGCCAGTGGTACCAATAGTACTGTGTTATCAATCTCTTATTTTCTTTATTTCACCTTTTGTCGTCTTTATTTAGACACGCTCTTTACTCAGGGAATATAGTACATCTATAGCTACAAGAGGTGTGATCCATTCCAACAGAGCCCGAGGATTTGCTCATTGCCAAGGAGGAGGATCAAGTTTTCGACCATTGCACAAACCCCAGTGGATTTTAATAAATAGAAAGGTAAAAAAAAAATTGTGCCCTTTCCATAGGTGAACTTTATGGCATGTGAATTACTTGTCAATAAAGCTGTTATTTTTTTTAAGTTAAAGAAGAAAAATGATGTTTTATTCTTAGTAAGAAATACTTGCTAGGGTCCACATTTTTCTTTAAATTATGACAAAGCATAAAAGGACAGTCTTAAGTGCTTAGTCATTTTTTAGGGAAAAAAAAACACTCAAAATTTGAAAGCTCATACCCATATTGTTAGTTAATTATTATTGAAATCAAAGTATATTTATATTTTAGTCTTAATTGAAAATAAATCCTGGCTTTGCCTCTAACCACTTGGACAAGTTATTTTACTTCACAACTAGTAAGTGTGTGCACTTAGTTTCCATAGTTATAAATGGAGAGGATTGAGCCCTGTCTGATGTGGCTCAGTGGATTGAGTGCCAGCCTGGGAATGAAAGGGTCAGTGGTTCAATTCCCAGTCTAGGGCACATGCCTGGGTTGTGGGCCAGGTCCCCAGTAGGCAACCACGAATTGATGTTTCTCTCCTTCTCGTTCTCCCTCCCATCCCCTCTCTAAAAATAAATAAAATATTTTTTTAAAAGTGTAGAGGATTGAATTAAAATAAAGGTCAAAAACAGGTGACCCACCAGTTGAATATAACAGGCACAGATATTTTTTAAAGATTTTATTTATCTGGTTTGTAGATAGGGAGGAAGAGAGGAAGAGAAACATCAGCGTGCGAGAGAGACACCGATCTCTTGCTTCTCGCACACCCCCAACCAGGGACCTGACCCAAAACCCAGACATGTGCCCAGACCAGAAACGGAACCAGGGATGCCCAGCCCACTGAGCCATACCAGTCAGGGTGTATGCGAAGGGGTTTTTTAAAGAATTTTGCCCATCTTTAAAAATTATTATAATAATTAAAATTCAGACATGGATTTCTGGCATCTCCTGGGGGGAATAAAAAGGAAAGTAAGGCAGCACTGGCTCATATTTTTTCATGACAGCAATGTGCTGAAGCCAAGAAGAATCTGCCCCTTGAAGATGGGAGTGGTAGGTACCCCTGTTCACAGCTGTTCCTCCTTCCTGGCTCCTGTAGTGTCTAAAACTGACCCTCTGGGTAAAATTGTATGACTAAATATAGTTCATAACCTAAGAAATTTCAACAGATTTCTTTGAAGAATTTTGTGACTTTTAAACAATTTATAACCCCTTATTGACTTGCTTTGCCCGTACAGAACAAATACTAATTTTGCATTATAGTTACATATGAATTATCTCTACAAGACATGCTTCTCTCCTTATCAGCCTAACACTGCACCTGTGTTAACTGAAGACAGTAAGTTCTTTCATTGAGAGACAATGTCCTCAAAAAATTTGTGACATGTCTTTGTTCATAAACCATTCTTTTGATTTTTAAGTGTTTTTTCCTTCTACCTTAGGTCTTTTTTAAAACAATTCTTACTGCTGTCATGTTAAATGTGAAATAACTGTATAGGTAAAATGCATTGTTAGATAATGCTGGGATAGTTATAAAAGACTAATTAGATAAACTCTTAAAAGTATATTTGTAGTATGTAAGCCCACACACTTTTATAATGTAATAAACTTAGCATGTTTAGGAATACGTATCTGTATTTTTCATTTATTTATTTTTTTTATTTCTTCTGTACAGTATCGGGAAAATTGCCTGGCAGCAAAAGCACTTTTTTCTGACTTCTGCTTACCAGCTTTATGCCTCCAAACTCAGCTGTTGCCGTACCTTGCTTTGTTAACCATTCCAATGAGAAATCAAGGTAATAACCTGGGTTTTTATTCTCCCTGAGAAGTAGTGTTTCATAACATTATCTTTTTATAGGTCTACTCATTGCTCAATACTAGTGAGACCAAATTTTTCCCTTTATTTGTTGATCCAGAGTTAATATGCTTTTTGATTAAAAAAGAAATAAAATAGCCCTGGCTGTTGTAGCTCAGTGGATTGAGTGTGGGCCTGCGAACCAACGAGTTGCTGGTTAGATTCCCAGTCAGTGTGCATACCTGGGTTTCGGGCCAGGGCCTCAGTAGGAGACATGCAAAAGGGAGAGAAACATCAATGTGTTTCTCTGCTGCTCTTTCTCCTTCCCTTCTCCTCTCTCTAAAAATAAGTAAATAAAATCTTAAAAAAAAAGAAAGAAAATAATACAGAATTATATCAAGTAAAAAACTGAAAGTCTCCCCTAACCACAGGTAATTCCTTTTGACAGATTGGTGTAAATTCCTCCAGACATTTTTCTGTGCATATATAAATATTAGATGTAAGCTTTAATTTGCTATGTTACCTACTATGGATAGTGTTCCATATTTTATAAGCTAGTGATAAAGCAGCTCTGGAGCCTGGGAAGTCCAATATTAAGGTGCCGGCAGAAACATTGTCTGGTAAGCACCTGTTTCCAGGTTTGCAGATGTCCATCTTTTCATATTCTCACATAGTTGAGAGGAGAGCAAGAGAGAGCTGTCTCTAGGATCCCTTTTATAAGGGCACTAATGCCATTTATGAGGGCTCTACCCTCATTACCTAATTACCTCACCTCCTAAAGCCATCACATTATGGGTCAGGATTTCAGTACATGAATTTGAGGTGACACAGACATTCAGTATGTAAAGCAGCAGTGCTAAAGTATATTCAAGTCTAACTCCTATTTTTCAAAATTTTACAATAATTTTAACCTTACTGATAGATACTTTGATTTCAATATTACAATGTCTATTAATATATTTACATTGTCTAAGTATTGAAATTATAAATAATGCTAAAAATTAGTATACTTATGGCAATGCACACTTGTACAATTTATGTCTACTGCAGTTTGCCTTTTTATAAACACCAATTTTTTCATTGTTCCTTTTTTTTACTGTGTATTTTAAGGGCCACATTTCATTAACAGTACTGGTCACAAGCCTGCGGTGTTGCTCTTCAAGGCAGAACAGAGAATTTGTGTAATATTTAAAATAGTAATCTACCACATAATTCAGAAATTTGAAAGATAGGGTTTCCTAGTGACTGATCAAAGGAAAAGATTATAGAGTAAATGTCGGCCCTCATACAATAAGAGTCTCATCTTGTGGCTTTTAAGAGTATTAATACTAAAAGATTTAAAATATTCTATTATACATTCACAGGCAGACGTGGATGACTGTTGTTGTTTAAGATTTTATTTATTTATTTATTTAGAGAAAGGGGAAGGGAAGGAGAAAGAGAGGGAGAGAAACATCAATGTGTGGTTGCCCCTCACATGTCCCTAGCTGAGGACCTGGCCTGCAATTCCCAGGCCTGTACCCTGACTGGGAACTGAACCAGCAACCCTTTGGTTTGCAGGCCTGCATTCAATCTACTGAGCTACGCCAGCAAAGGCAGAAGTGGATGACTTTTGAACAATGGATGTGATTAATCTGTGGGTCAGAATCCAGAGATTTCTCTATCCTTGCCTATTATTTTTAAGATTATAATTTCAGTTATTCCAAGAATATAATTTTAAACTTAGAGAAAAGTTACAATAAAAGTATGAAAGAGTTCTTGTATATCCTTCACCAGGATTCCTCAGTGAACAATTTTTACTGTACTTACCTTTCATTTTTTCTCTTTCTTTATACCTACGTGCCCACACATATATGAGTGTATTTTTTTTCTGAACCATGTTTGAATAAATTGCAGACATGATGCCCACTATTCTTAAACACTTCATCAGGTACTTCCTGAAAACAAACTCCTACATAACCACAGTGTACACATCAAAATCAGGAAATTAACTTTTATACACCACTACCATCTAATTTATACACGCCATTCAAATTTTGCCAGTTGTCCTAAATAATGTCCTTTGTAAAATAACAACAAAAACTTGTTCTCATTCTTGTCCAGAATCCAGTGCAAGATCACATGATGTATTTAGTTTCAATGTCTTTTTAATCTCCTTTGATCTGGAACAGTACCTTAGTTTTTCTGTGCCGATGAAGTTTTTGAAGCATATGGGACAGTTACAGTGTAGAGGCTGCTCCTCAGTTTAGGTTTGTCTCACTCTACCTCATGAGTGGATTCAGGATATGTGCTTTTGGCAGGGACACCCCAGAAGTGATGCTCTGTTCTCAGTGCATCATATCAGGAGAATATGCTGTCTATTTATACTGTTACTGGTGAAGTTAGCTTTTATTATTTGAGAAGATATCTCAGATTTTCTAATGTAAAGATTTTAAGTGTTTATGGGGAGATTATGTAAATATCCTATTTATCATTAAAATCTCACTTACTAGTTATAGCATCTGTTATTTCCTAAATGTGTGATGGTTGGCACATAGTGATTTTCTACATTATTCCTTCCACATTTGTGTTGGTGAATTGTACTGTAGGTATTGCTTTGCCTTCTCCACATTTGTTTGTTTGTTAATATTAGTATGGACTCCAATTCTTATTTCCTGTTATAGTTCCTTGCCCTCATTATTTATTTTGGTTTCAAATTGTCCAGATTTGGCCAGTGCAAGCTGCTTTAAGGTAACTTTCTGCCTTTTGATGTGTATCCATTACCCTTTGAGTACTTCCTGATACAAAATGTTCCAGTATCATTTTAGACTTTCCCTGCCCCAGTCCCAGAACCAGGAATTTCGTGGAGCCCTGGTTCCTCTTAGTGGAAATGGTGTTTAGAAATCAGGATCTGGCACTAGGCATGCTCATTGCTGCTTGGGTGTCATTGTTTCTAGACTTTCCAGGTGGAACAAAGCTAGGAAGTGTGTGTGTATGACATGAGTTCGCACTGATACCTTCACTTTCAGTCTAACACAAGGAGTTTAACCTTTCCCCTCTTAGCATCTGTACCTCCCTTATTGTGCAATGAAAAAACCTATCTCCCATTTTGCTGAATATATTCACTTATTTACTCAGTTCTCCTATTTATAGCATCTCCTAACAATGCAGGCTGTTCCTTCAGTTTCAGCCCTACTGCCACCAGCTCACATTGGTACAACTGGCCACATCCCATGTCCCCCTTCCAGCTCTGGGGTCAAGAATCTGTGTAATTAGCAAGAGCCTCTTTGGACCAGGAGCATCAGCATCACCTGGAAGCTTGAGAGAAATGTGGACTATCAGGCCTCACCCAATACTTACTGAATAAATGTGCATGTTAACAAGATTCTCCAGGCGATTCTTCATGGCAGATGTTTGAGGAGTTTGAGAAGTACGGGTTTAGATTACTTACATTGGGATCATGTGGAGAATCATTCGTTCACTACTTTAAAAAATTCAGACTCCAGGAAAACTCTTAAGTTTTCCATATCAAAAAGCTGGTTTTTAAAAATTGTTCTTGTATTGTGTAGTGGATTTTTTAAAAAGTAAAGCATCCAAGAGTCCCAGGGTGGTGGATTCACGAACTTTAAGAGGTTTAAAAAATTAAAAATGTGGCTTTTCTTTGTATTATCAAATTTTATCCCATTTCTTTCATCATATGTACTACGTCATTTCAGACATTATTTCTTTAATATTTTTTCTGCTCCTTTCTCCCTTCTCCTTTCTTGTCTTCAGTTAGTATTTGTTGGAATGCTCTAAGGTAACCCACATTCCTGATAGCTTTGTTCATTTTTCCTCATTTAATTTTCTCTCTTCAGTTGCAGTCTCTGTCAATCCGTGTTCAAATTAACTGACTCTTCTGCCAGTTGAGATCTACTGCTGAGTCCCTCTAGTGAATTTTTCATTTTTGTTACTAGACTCTTAAACTCCAGAATTTCCATTTGATTTTTTTCTGTAATTTCTGTCTCTTTATTGATATTCTCTATTTAATGAGGCATTGTCATTATAGCTGCCTGTTTTTTAAAATTTTCAAAAAAATTATATATGTATTTACTTTTTAAAAGGATTTCCTTTTTTAAAGAAGATTTTTATTTATTTATTTTTAGAGTGAGGGGAAGGGAGGGAGGAAGAGAAGGAGAGAAACATCAATGTGTGGTTGCCTCTCACATGCCTCCTACTGGAGAACTGGCCTGCAACCCAGGCGTGTCCCCTGACTGGGAGTTAAACCAGGGACCCTTTGGTTCGAAGCCTGCACTCAATCCACTGAGCCACACCAGCCAGGCACTAAATTTATATATTTTAAAATTGAGTTTATTGGGCTGACATTGGTTAATAAAATTACATAGATTTCAACTGTACAGTTCCATAACACATCATCTGTATATTATATTGTGTGTTTACCACCCAAAGTCAAGTCTCCTTCCATCACCGTTCATTCCTGACTTTACCTTCTTCTACCTCCCCTCTCCCTTTGCTCCCTTAAGCCTGGTTTCCTTTTGTTCTTTGGACATGTTTGTAATGGTTCCTTTGAAGTCTTTTTCTGTTAAATTTAAATCTGGGCTCTCTCACTTTCTGTTGCCTGCCCTTTTCCTGTGCAAGAGTCACACTTCCTTGTTTCTTTGCATAGTTTCATAATATTTTGTTAAAAATTGAATGTTTCAGGTAATACATTGTAGCAGGTCTGGATACTGATTTTCCTCCATTCTCTGGGGCTTGTTTTTTTATTGTTGCTTATGTATTTGTTTAGTGAGTTGGCTAAACCATTTTAAGGAAGTCTGTTTCCCCCTGCAGTGTGAAGCCTTTATCACTCTTCAGAGAGCTCAGCCTTGGGCATGCCCAGTCACCTTGTGTTGAAGTGGTTTGAGCAGGGCCCCCTTTGACTTTATTTTTCCTTGATTTCTTGGTTAAACTGTCTGCCTTGTTTGGCATCAAACCCACCTATTGGTGCTCCACTAATTACTAGCCAGTTAGCCTGTTGTTTTCAACAGTGCCAGGGGCATAAATTATTTCACTGTCTGAATTAAATTTGAGCAGGTGTAGACTTTGAGGCATGTCTCTGAGATTTGCTCTGACCCCAGGAGGGCTTTCTTAGCTGTTTCTCTGGGTCTTTCCAATGAAGTAACTGGCTTATGTTTGTTGCTCTTAATAGGAGGTGTTGATTTTAAGATGTATGTTAAGCTTCCCCACACTCTGTTTTAAATAAAGTAATTTCCTTTGGGTCGAACTTCAACTGGAGCCTCTGATCATCTTGGCTCGGCCTTTCCTGGTGTGGACCCTATGCCCTAAGAATGAACTGGGGTATGGGTCATTGCAATTTGAGGAGGAGGGAGTATTCTCTGCCTTCCATGCCACTGAAGTAGAGCTTCCACCTTATGGGTACAGAAAGAGAGCTCCTAACTTTTGGCTGGCCACACTTACCAGGAGAAAGCTTTATGTTCTTGTCTGCATCCAATTGAAGTGAACTCTCCCTGAAGCTGAGGAAGGGAAGGAACAGGTCATGGCTCAAATGCTGCAGTCTGTTTGATTTTTCTTGAATAAATGTTTCCTCATAACATAAAATTAAGCCATTTTAAAATAGACAGTTCAGTAGAGTTAAACATATTCACCTTGTTGTGCAGCCAGTCTTCAGAATTTGTCATCCTGCAAAACTGACTGTACACGTTATATACTAACCAACCCCCCAATCCTGCCAGTACCACCTACCTCACATAAGTGTAATCGTACAATATTGTGATTGGTTCATTTCATTTAGCATGTCATCAAAGTATTCATGGACAGCATGTGTCAGAATTTTCTTTTTAAATTCTGAATAATATTGTATGTGTATACTACATTTTGTTTATCCATTCATCTGGACACTTAAGTTGCTTCCGTATTTTGGCTATTGTGAATAGTGCTGCTGTGAACATAGGTGTATGAATAACTCTTTAAGATCCTACTTTTAGTTCTTTGATGTATACCCAAAAGTGGAATTGTGAGGTCACATAGTAATTCTGTTTTTAATTTTTTGAGAAACTGCCTTACCATTTTCCACATCACTTACACCATCATTCTGTATTACCAGCAGCAATGCAAAAGGATTCCAGTTCCTCTACATTCTTGCTGACCTTTTTGTTTTCTGGTTTTTTTAAATAATAATAGTCACCTCAAGGAGTATGAAATGGTATATCATGATTTCGATTTACATTTTCCTAATGATCAGTAATTTTGAGCATCTTTTCATGTGTTTATTGCCCGTTTATGTATCTTCTTTGGAGAAATGTTTGTTTAAAGCTTTTTTAAAATCTCTGTTTCAGCTCAGATTTCTTTTATCCAAGATATTGGAAGGCTTCCTCTGAAGCGACACTTTGGAAGGTAAGCTGATGATGGTCTAAATTTTCAAAGAGCTGTTACTGAAATGTCCACTGAGTTATGTTATCTGTTTTTCTCGATATACAGTCAGTAAATGTTATCTGTAAAATCCAAGAAATATATGTTGGGTGCATTGATTAAAGACCATATGATTGCATTGTAGACTCATTCTTTTACTACATATAAAAGCATAGTTATACCAGTTTACCATAGAATATCAGACTGAATAGTATCATGGGATCACAATGGCAAGGGGATCTTTAAAATCCTGTAGTTCAACAACTCTTACATATCTGGAAACCCCTTTCCAGCTTTCCTAGCAAGAGATTTTACTAGCCTGTATTTGAAGCCTGCAATGAAATGACTGGGAACTACCTCATAAGCACTCTCTTTTATTTTCTTAGCATAAAAAATTCAGACAACTGAGAAAATATAGATACTATAGAGAGATATCCTATACCTATACTGTACATTTTATCGCAGAATTGTTTCTGGGCTAATATCAGTGATTAACACAATAATTATATTTTATTTCTATTATGCTTATTTGTCAGATCAAAGCCCTCAGGCATTTTAAAAGGATTAAAAAGGGTTCATTGCTGTTGCTGGTTCAACTACTTGATCTGACTTGGGAGGCAGGATTTGTCAGTAATACTTACTACAATGACTAGTACTGTTCTCTTTCAGTTATGATGACCACATTTAACATTATCTTTGCTTCATATTGATAATATTAAATATGACTATTTAGCTTACATGTAATATTTTAATAGCTGCATAGTTTCCTATAATTCAACCTGTACCTTGTTTTGGTACATTTAGCTTACCTCCAACTTTTATCACAGCCTTTCTTATAGCTAAATCATCATGCACATCAAATACTATTTACATAGGATGAATTCCTAAAAAATGAAATTGCTGGATCAATGACATACATCTTTCTGAGGGCTTTGCACTATATTGCCAGATTGCTTCCAAGAGTATATTGACAATTTTATGCCCTTTTACAGTGTATCAGCATGGTCCCTTGCTACCACTGGGTTTTGTTATTTTAAAAGGTCTTTGCCAGTTCAAAAGATGACAGTAGTAGCTTATTAATTTTTAAGTAGCTTATTATTTTAATTTCCATTTTCAGATTACAAATCAGGTGGAACAATTCATTTAGTTAACATCAGTATTTTTTTTCTGTGAGTTTATGTTTTATAAAACATACATTAATCAACTCATTTGTAACGTAAGTTGTAATGGTTTATTCAGTTTGCCATTTACCTTGTACTTTTGTTTATATTGTTCAGTAAATTAAAGGGCCTGGCTAAGTAGTGAGTAGAACGAAGGCAGATGAAAGAAACCTTCAGGAGATGGCTTCATAGTTTCATGCTCATGGTATAATTTAAAGGAGCCCCCTCCTTTGGTTATTACTAATGCTTTTATTGTGAATCTGGCAGATTAAAAATGGAAGCCCTGACTGACAGGGAGCATGGAACGATGGACCCAGAAGGTGGATATGAAGCCCAGCTTAATGGAAGACAGCCCACAGAGGAAGCTCTGGATGAACCCACTCAAACCACAGAACCTGAATCCTGGTCTCTTCCTTTGAGTCAGAATAGTGGGAACGAACTGCCTGCCAGCCAGCCCCGGCCCTTTTCCACCCAGGAAGACCTGGAGGAAGAAGAGGTGGCAATAGAAGACTATGAGAGCGATGGGACATAGAAAGCAGCCCACCAGTCACATTGCTGCTTGAGAGATTCACACTGGCTTTATTCAGTGGCACTTGAACAGAGATGATAATACACTTTTCAAGTGAATTACAGTTTAAGTCTTCACTGTTGTATTTCAGCACAAGAAACTGACCTTGAAGTATGTAGAAGACTGAGCCTTCAAATAGTATCTTCGTTTTTTTCTCTAGTATTTATTTAATCTTGTGAGTGCTGTTAGGAGAGGTCAGTGTGTGTGAAGTGTGTTCGAACATTATGCCAAATATCACAAAATGTGAAGGAATAATTCAGAATACAAAAAGTTTATAGGATTGTAAATATGAATTTTAAAAGTTTATGCAATTATGAGTGTAAATAAACTTTGTGCCTTAATACACATACAGTCTCTAGCTTCTTGGATGCCTTTTAGTATGTTGTACAGTGGAATATTCTAGATACTTTTTGGAAAGTATTACATAATTTATATGAAAATTAAAATGTTGACTTTCTTTTTGTTTCTCCTATCTTTTAATATTTCCTAACATGTACTGTCTGTGGTGTATCACCGGGCATAGTACGTGAATCTCCTTCATCCGCAGTCAGACTTTTTTAAAACATGGGGAAGAGGATGGCGGCTTTGCGATGACTCTCAGGAGGGGTTAAGCACACCCTTAACTACCTCTTCCTCGTCCTCGGGGTGGGCGCGGGGCGCGCCGACTGGCTGGAGCTCCCAGCGGGAGTCCTGACAAAGCCGGGCGGGGCAAGGCTTGGCTCGGCCCCGCCCCGGGAGCCCAATCCCGGTTTCACTGCCGCGGGCTGTGTGCGCGCTCTTCCGGCGGCCGCACAGGTGAGGAGGGTCCCAGGGGTGGGGCCCACGTGACCGGGACTCGGGCGGGGAGGGGCTTGCGCTTCCCCCGCAGGTGCGCGGGCGGTGCGGGGCTTCTCGGTGCCTCGGAGCTTCCTCCTCCCGCGGCGCTCAACGCCCAGCCTGGCCACAACCTGCGGGTGGAGGCCGGTGCCCTGGGCGGTGAAGAGGAAGCGGGGCCAGGCGTCCGGAGGGCCCCGTGTCCCGGCTAGTCTCACTCGGGAGACAGGTGCGCAGGACGCGGGCCGCGCGCGCCGCTGTTTTTCCGGGCTCGGGGATCCTGGTGATTGGGAGTCAGGCCTGGCTGAGCCGGCTTAGTTCCGGCCACTTTGGGGTGGAATCTGGGAAGACCGAGAGTGGATTTTCGCTTAGAGACTCGAAGACGGAGCACGCCCGCAGGGTGGGCAGAGCACAGGGGCGAAGCGAGGTAGGTGGCACGCACGCCGAGCGGCTGACTCGGGAAACGCCTGAGCGGAGATGTTCCGTAGCCCGTGGTCACTCACTTGTGGGTGAAGTTGAAGACCTCGGGACTTTCCCAGCCCCGCTGGAGGACCCCAAACGTCCGAAATCTCCTTTCATGGGCCCGGTAAAATTTTACAGCCTGCTAAAGCAGTGGCTCTGTTGGTGTAAAGGTGACCAAACTCGATTTCTGGGACACTTTGTGGGGAGAGCCGGGGCAGAGGAGGGGGCGCTTCTCTCACCGCAGTGGCTTTCCCAGATATGTTCCCAGAGAACGCAGTGAGGGGTCGGGCCTGGACAAAACAAAGACCCACTGCACCTCTGCGTGCCGAGTGGCCCCCAGTGACACCCGTATCCACAGGTTTGCGATGTGCTAAAATAAAGCTGACCGTTCCCTTCTCACACCACATATTTTGTTCTTCCACAAATCTTCAGATTTGTGTTTTTTGCTTTTATTTAAACATTGATAGGGTGATCTAATTCAAATAAGCCACCTTTTACAGGTGCAGATATATCCATTACAATTAGAAGCACATCTTTTTTTGTATACTAGTGAGTTAAATTAAGCCATGGGGCATCCTTTAAATGTATATACTTTATAGTATAGATATTGAGAGCTGTTATGTAAAATTTGCTAAAGTTATTTGTTGTGCTTTTACTTCTACTCTTCTTAGGAAAATGTGCTTCAAAACTACAGTGGTACTTTGCATTCTGGCATGTAAACTTTTCAGATAAAGATAAGAAACAGAGACAACAATTAATTGCTATCATTTATAGAACTCCTGCTTTGCTTTGGGCACCATGCTGGGACTATCATAGTTAATTCTCTAAAACCCAAGTGCCCGGTTTAGAAGACCCCCAAATGTAAACTCCATCTCTACCCATTTCCTGCATGATTCTATCTAGCCTGTGGCAGCACGTCCCCTTCTGTATATAGACTGCCTACGTAACATCTTCACCTGGATTTCGAACTCTCTGAGGCTGCTTCTCCCCAAGGCTACACTGGAGGAGTGAAATGTCACAGGTGAAATGATCTGATGTCCGGTTTGCTTCAAAGTATTGTATTGACAGAGGGAATAAGGTAGGGGATATAGATGCAACAAGATTGGTCATAAATTGATAATCACTGAAGTTGAAGTTAATGGGTATATAGGAGTTCATAATACTGTTCTTTCCACTTTTATTGAGTTTGAAAATCTCTATTAAAAAGTTTATCTCGGCACTGGCTGGCATAGCTCAGTGGATTGAGCACGGGCTGTGAACCAAAGTGTCGCAGGTTCGATTCCCAGTCAGGGTACATGCCTGGGTTGCAGGCCATGACCCCCAGCAACTGCACATTGATGTCTCTCTCTCTCACTCTCTCCCTCCCTTCCCTCTCTAAAAATAAATAAATAAAATCTTTAAAAAATAAATCCCATTTAAAAAAAAAGTTTATCTCCATTGCTACCACCATGGCCCACTGGATTATTTCACTGGCCTCCTAGCCAGTCTCCCTGATTTCATGCTTGTCTCCTGTACTCTCAACACAGCAACTTGAGAGATACTATTAAAACATGGCCAGTGTGGCTCCGTTGGTTGGAGTGACGTGGTTGTGGGTTCAATCTCCACTCATGACACAGGTTGCGTGTTTATGGGTGCATATGGTAGGCAACTGATCAATGGTTCTCTCCCACATTGATGTCTCTCTCCCTGCACTGTCCCCCCAAAAAGTCAGATGAGTCACTTCTCTACTCAGAATCCTCCAGTGGTTCCTTATCTCACTCCCAAGTAAAAGCCAAAATCCTTTCCAGTGGTTTTCAAGGCCCTCGTGGCTCAGATGGCCTCAATTCTCCGTCTCACTCACTCTGCCGCTGCCACACTGGCCTCCGTGCCCTAATACTTCAACATGCCAGGCACTCTTTCAAGGCCTTTGCACTAGCTGCTCCATCTACCTGGAATACTTCCCCCTGGAATACCTGCCTGGCTTCCTCCTTTATCTCCTTCATTTCTATATTGAGATGTCACACTCTCTATGGAAACTTCCTTGGTCATTCTATTTAACACCCTGTTAAACAGGAACCTAGGGAATACATGTAACACCCTGCCCACAATGCACTCCTTATCCCCTTTCTTAACTTTGTTCCTTAAAGTTCCCTATACTTCACTCCCCTTATCTATCATCTGTTACTCCCCCATTGGAATATAAGCTCCATGAAGACAGAGATGTCAGTCGGCTTCATTCATTGATACACTTTCAGCATGGTGCACAGCACTGATACTCCTGGTATGTGGCAGTTGTTCAGTGAATATTGAACGATCAGTCTCCATTTTACAAAGTAAAGTAAAACAAGCCTTAGGAATTTCTAAATAGTTCAATATCATTAGGTGGAATTATCCTTTTAAATTGTGATACCACGTACACAGTGTCAAGTACAATGCCATGTGCCAGGTGAGTCTTCAGGTAAATACACACTTATAAGCAATTTGAGGGAGAAATTCATGTGCTGTAAACCCAGTAGTTACAGTAGCAAATGCTTCCCTTCTTTTTGTATTTGTGTCCACATTACTGATTTTATGAAGGAAATCGACAAGTTTAATAAAAGTGCCTTTTCTATGCTTTATTTTTTAGGTGGATTGAATACCCTCTAGAGTGACTTCCGAGTCTCCATGGCAACAGCAGTGCCTTTAGATAATTGCTCTGGAAAGAGCGGTATACCTGGTCATTGCTGCTGTTCTGTGTTGTACTTTTGGGGACTCTTCACCTTTGGTGATTTTTTTTCTCTGAGAAACCAGTTGTGTTTTGTTTTGTTTTTTTAATAAAGAGAAGGAGAGAAACATCAATATGTGGATGCCTCTCACATGACCCCAGGTGGGGACCTGGCCTGCAACCCAGGCATATGCCCCGACTGGGAATCGAACCCAAGACCCTATGGTTCACAGGCCAGCACTCAACCACTGAGACACACCAGCCAGGGCAGAGAGACCAGTTTATAAAATCTAGTATCAAGTGTTACTATTTTAGAGTGGAAGGAGCAATGCCCCTACACTGACTTTCCTGACTTAGGAAGGAAAGGGGCTCTTCACTCCCTGTGTTTAACAGGCTGCTTCTCCTGGGCCATTCATTCCAAAGCAGATTTGAGTTAATGAAAATGAGTAGTTATTTGCTGACCTATCACATTTTGGTATGCTTACACTCTTAAATATTTTGATTTAGCTGTTTGAGGAAAGGACTCTACTTGGAATGTGGTAGCATCCTACTTCGTTAAATTTAGTCTTATTTTTGTTTTTTTACATTTGGTTGTTTACAGAACTCATAAGTTAGACTTACAAATGTTTTAATTTAGAGCTAATATTTAAAATTTTGATTGCCCTTAAAATTGTATAGAATGATGACTGTATGCCTGGCTAACATTAATTGTTACATATGTTTAAGATATACATATTTATGTTATCATTTTTTTAAAGTTTTTATTTATTTATTTTTAGAGAAGGGAAGGGAGGGAGAGAAACATCAATTCATGGTTGCCTCTTAAATGCCCCCTACTGGGGACCTGGCCCGCAACACAGGCATTTGCCCTGACTGGGAATCGAACCAGCAGCCCTTTGGTTTGGAGGCCGGCACTCAATCCACTAAGCCACACCAACCAGGCCTATGTTATTATTTTATATATCATAATAGACATGGCCATATTGGTTTCCTAAATGTGATCATTCACTACTAAGTGAATTAAATCAGCCTCATTGAAATAATAAAAAACTAAGTATAAATGATGACTTTAATCTTGGCCACAGGTCTAGAAATCACAAATGTCGTCAAATGATGGAAGATCCAGGAATAGGCACTACGATGAGGTCCCAAGGGACTCGGCCTATGAAGATGGCACCATAAGAACCCTGCAGACTCTTCGTGACAGTGAGCTGGCTGTGAGCGCTGATCCTTTGCCACCACCCCCTCTCCCATTACAGCCACCATTCGGCCCTGACTTCTACTCAAGTGACACAGAGGAACCAGCCATAGCACCGGATCTCAAACCTGTAAGGCGCTTTGTCCCTGAGTCCTGGAAGAACTTCTTCAGAGGGAAGAAAAAGGACCCAGAATGGGATAAGCCGGTGTCAGACATCAGATACATTTCCGATGGAGTGGAGTGTTCACCTCCAGCGTCTCCAGGGAGAGCAAACCACCGTTCACCCCCCGACTCCTGCAAAGATCCTTACGGAGAGTCAGAAGGAACCTTTAATTCCCAGAAGGAGGCTGAAGCAATGCTTCCCCAGGATCCCTATGGATCTCTAAGCCGACACACACAAACGGCTCTCACATACAGTGAGAAGGTGGAGGCGTATAACCTGAGGTATTCCTACATGAAGTCGTGGCCTGGCCTGCTGAGAATTCTGGGTGTGGTGGAGCTCCTTCTGGGGGCCGGCGTCTTCGCTTGTGTCACAGCTTACATTCACAAGGACAGTGAGTGGTATAACATGTTTGGCTATTCCCCGCCCACTGCCATGGGAGGCATTGGTGGCCTGGGCAGTATATATGGGGGCTATTACTACAGTGGCCCCAAGACTCCTTTTGTACTTGTGGTTGCTGGATTAGCTTGGGTCACCACCATTATTATTCTGGTTCTTGGCATGTCTATGTATTATCAGACCATTCTTTTGGACTCTAACTGGTGGCCCCTAACTGAATTTGGAATTAACGTGGCCTTGTTTATTTTGTATATGGCCGCAGCCATAGTCTATGTGAATGATATCAACCGAGGTGGACTCTGCTACTATCCATTATTTAATACGCCGGTGAATGCAGTGTTCTGCCGGGTGGAGGGAGGACAGATAGCAGCGATGGTGTTTCTGTTCGTCACCATGATTGTTTACCTCATTAGTGCTTTGGTTTGCCTCAAGTTGTGGAGGCACGAGGCAGCCCGGAGACATAGGGAGTACATGGAACAACAGGAGGTAAGGAATTTCAGTCTTTCATTTGTTTTTAATGTTTTTTTTTTCTGTTATTCACTCTCTTGTTAAACCATAGACCTACTTTTGCCCCACCCCTGTATTGTTCTCAAAACAAAGATTTTTACAGAAGCCTTTTTTAAGAAGATGATGTGAAGTTCAAAAGGCCCTAGCCCAGCGTCTGACATGCTGTGACTGGGACAGCCCACTCTTGTGGGTCACTTGTGCGCAGACCTGCAGGTAGACACCAGATACGTAACATAATTTAGAGTTTGTTGACTGCATTGGTATGTCCTTCTGGTGCCTAAGGGGAAAACATAGCTACTGAATTCCTGCAAAGAAGAAGAACATATTCAGTAATAAAATGTCTTATCGTTGAAGTAAGTTTTAGAACAATCTTGATTCTTTAGCATGGTGAGACAATAAAAAACACAGTTTTGCAGTTAGAGGAGGAAAGTGCTCATTTAAATCTGTTACGATGAGTTCCACTTTCTTGCAGCAAGCTAAATAAAGTCAAGTAAGTATGTGGTGAACCATGTATGATTTTTTCTCTAAGTATTGAGAGGTTGGGTTGTGAAAAACATACTCTGAAAATTTACTCAGGCATTTTGATGTTTCGTCCTTATTTTAGGTAGATGAATGCTCCAAAATTAGAATGAGAGCCATGTACTTGATTTCAGTTCTAAGATTTAACTAATTAAATATACAAAGGAGAAAGAAGGAGGGAGAGGATTAATAATAATAAAATCTAGAGGATAAGACTACATCAAAGCCCTATTTAAAATAATTTTATTTAAACAGTAGCAAAATGTTAAGAGATGTTCTGCTAGCTTCATTATACCCTGAAATAAGTTGTTTTGCTTTCTTCTTCTAAGAAGTGTCTAGTAGAATTTCCTCACACTGATGTCAGTATTGAACTTTTTCTTAATGTTAAATTAATTATATTATGTATGTTTTCCCACTTTTCCATATATCTCCTTATACTATATAATTGCACATGGTGTACAGGGTGGGCAGAAGTAGGTTTAAAGTTGTAATACAAATAAATAATACAATAATTAATAAATAGCAATACAAGAATAAACTGTTTCATGTACTCACAACTGTAGACCTACTTTTGCCCTACCCCTGCATATTGGGCAAAACTATAGATAAAAGATGAAACCTTGTCCTTATTTACTCAATAACCTATTTATTTACTTACTGACCTATATACTTTTTTACTCTTTTACAAGAATCTTATGCATGAAGGCAACAAAAAACTTGACTAAGTTTTTAACAAGTACCTTATGATTTATGGAGAACCTCAGCATGTTTCAATGTGATCTATATTCTTTTGTCACAAAATATATTAATCTTACTAGAACTTGACATAGATTTAAGTTTTTCTAAAAGTTTGCCTTGGCATGTTAAGCATATTTCTTAAATTTACATCTGTGTATACAAAGTAAAGAACTTTAAATTCTAATCAGTGTGAAATCTAGGTAGTGAAACACACATATCCTCATAAGTTTATGTAAATTTAATAACAATAGAGTTCTTAATATCATTTCAAAATTCTACGTTATCTGTAATTGTCAACATAATACTTTCATTCTTTTCCCTTTGTCAACAAAAAACTTGTTTCTATCAGGCTTTTCATAATGGCTGATTGGACTGGAATCTCCTCTGACGCTGGAGGCTGTGCCTCTTTGTGTTGCTATATCTTCCTGAAAGTTAAACAATGTAATGGCCTGTGGCTTTTTTCTATTAATTTTATAATATAACTGTCTCAGACTCTTTAAATGTGCAAGGTAATGGGAGCCAAGAATAAAGAAAATCTAGGAGACTCAGAACAACTTACCTAATAGTCTCAACCATCTCCATGTTTGCACCTCTGCTCTTTGTTCCTGATTGACAGGAAATTACAGATACCCCATCCCCTCTGGTTCTCCATCAGCCCATCGAAACCTGGCCAAAAGAGTGGAGGAGCATCTGAAAACTAGAGAATCAACCTCTGTAGCATGGAGATTGGACTATAAATGCAGGTGGATGGCAATGATTGCAAAGTAACTTCGCATGCCTTATAAAATCATTTTAATTCTCTTTGTTCCAGATAAGTGAGCCATCATTTTCATCAAAAAGGAAAATGGTAAGAGAAGAACCTCACATTATATTTTATCTCTAGATTTGGTAAATACTTTTCTCTCTTGTCTATAAATCTGTAGAGTAGATCATCTGTCTGTGAAAGTGTATCTATTACATTGAGTTCCTAAAAGGACTTTCAGCTTTTTTCTAATACAAAAAGGATCAAATTAGATAAGGTTATTAATAACTTCTTTACATTTTGTTAGATGAGAAGTTATGTAAGTGAATGTTGGTCCTCCTTACATGTTTAAATTTTAATCATTTTTTAAGCGAAGAAAATTCTCCCAAACTTTCTGCAATCTCTTTAAAGTTCTTTCAGCTGCCAAATGTTGTGTCAGGAAAGAAATTTCTATTCCACCACTTATTAACTGTGGTGGTAAGCAGGTGTCTAACTTTCTAATGCCTTGTTTTCTTCATCAATAAAATTGGAATAATAATACTTCCTACTCACAAGATTGCTGAGATGATCAAATGAGATGCTGTTATTATAGTTATTTACATATATAAAATAATTTAATATATTTTAATCATAATTTTATCTCATTGAAAATTTCTCTCATTTCTGTAAAATCCTGACCCAAGTTATATGTTTATTGAATTTAGAGAGAGAGGTAGGGAGGGAGGTAAAGAGAGAGAGAGAAACATCAATGTGGGAAACATGAATCAGTTGCCTCCTGTGCGTGTCTCGTCTGGGGATCAAATCCACAACCTAGGTATGTGCTCTGACTGGGGATTGAACCTGCAGTCTTTTGGTGTACAGGACGATGCTCCAACCAATTGAGCCACCCAGCCAGAGCAGAAAGTTCTTCATTAAGATATGGGTATTATTTCCAAGCAAAAGTTGAGAATCCAAGTTACTGGTTTGTTTCTTTCTTTGAAATGATAGCATATTTACTTGGTTCAAAATTCAAAAGAAGCTGTAATACAAAGCCTTCTCTCACTCCTATACCTTGCCTTTCCAATTCTCCTACTTGGAGGCAGCCAGTGTTATTAGCCTCTTGTGTTTCCTTTCAGAAATGTGTTATGTATATATTCGCTCTCCTCCCCCATTTACACGAACGGTAGCATACCATACACACTGTTATGTTCCTTATTTTTTCCACAATGCATTTCTAAGACGTTTTCCTATTAGTACATAAAGACCTTCTGCTTTCTCTGTTTACAGTTGCATGGTATTGCATTATGTGGACGAATCATAGTTTATTTAACCATAAATGAACATTTAGGTTATTTCCAGTCTTTCACTATTAAAAACAATCTTGTAGTGAATAACCTTGTACATATAAGAATATGCTTGTACAAACTTCCCTTCATATATTTTGATTGTCAGATTGTCCAATAGAAATTTTACCCATTCTCACTCCTACAGCATGGCAGGCCTTCTCACCCCCGACCAACACAGTGTGTTAGGAAAGGTGTCGACATCAGTCTGATGGCTGAAACCAGTGTCTCGTGTAGTTACCATTTCATTTCTCTTGTCAGGAGTGAGGTTCAGCATTTTCTCTGTTATATTTGCATTTCCTTTTCTATTAACTGTCATATCCTGTCCAGTTCTTTTTTTTTTTGGATTGACAGTTTGTTCAAGCCCTTTGTTAAGTACATGCATTTTGAAAATACCTTTTATTGGATCTTTTTAACTTTATTCTTTATAGCACACAAATATTCTTTGAAAGTATTCTCTTAATATGATGCACTAAGAAAAACACAGCATCACTTCTGTGATGTTCCTGCCAAAAATACTTTGTGCTGAAATAGGGGATTTTATGAAGTGGGTGAATAGTTTGCCCAAAGGATCATGATTAATACATCAGTGTCATCATTAATTAATTCATTGAACAAACATGTACCAGCCTGGCTGTGGGCCAGTGATATGAATACTACAAAGAGTATCATTGTATATACATACGTACATGCATGCATACATACATGAGTGTATATATGTAATTAGGGTAAAAAAGAGTATTATCTCCATTTTTTAGGGGCTTACAAATCTAGTGAAAAAAACACAGACACAAGATTATAGAGTATGATTGTGTGTGTGTGTATGAGAAAGGGATCACAAGCATCAAGAACTATAAAATCAAACTAAATAATTTGCATAGAGATTTGTATTTCTCTGACATCTCCTAGGAAAGTCAATTTATAGATGATAATGTCAAACTTGGCATTGTTAATTGGTCATCACTGGGGATCTGTAACTAGCAACATTTTTTAAAGTCAATTGCATTATTTTTGACATATATGTAAACTCATCTGAATTGCAGCTGACAGGGTTCAACAGCTTTCCTGGATTATTTTGGATGTTCATCCATCTTTAGAAATAAGAGATAGCTGACCCATCCTGACTGAGCAGGCGCGGTGCACATGAGTTTCTCTCACAAGGCCATGTGGACCTAGTGCTGCAAACCTGCACACTTGAAACGTTGTTCAGAGAATTAGAGAGAGACCATTGTACTTTGTGTGCATGTACCTGCCTTTGCATTTACTTTTGTTTTAACTTCCTGCTTCCCCTGTGTTTTAGTTTTGTGTTCATTCATTCAACATTTATTGCTGTCAGGATATACATTTCAATTAGACTTGTCCTAGCTCAGAGCTAAATGCATGCTCACTTTTAAGCTGTCTAAAATGTACGTATCACATGTACCTGAAAGTGATTATAATAGTTCCCTTTAGGGGGGCACCTGGCTAACAGGGGCGGGGAACAGGGATAAAGGGAGACTTTTCATTATGTACCCTTTTAGACCTTTTGAACTGTTACATCATGTGTATATGTTACCTATTAAATTTTTTTAAGTTTTTTAAGAATTAGATTAATACTCATTTCAGATACTGAGATCAGCAAAAAAGGCTGATGTTTAAATATTACTAACACTGGCCCCCCCCTTTTTTTTTCCGATTTAAATGCAACTTTCCTAGCTAACCCTCTTGGCTGCCTTCCAATGTTAGTCCAGAGACATTAGAGAGTTTGACCAGCTGGGAGTCATCGTGAGGCTGGTTTTGGCAGATCATGGCCAGTACTCTCCTTCAAGACTGCCAGCATTGCCTTAACCCACTGGTAACTCCTACTGCCCCAGAGGAGACTAGGAAAGTCATAAATTCCACCCTGGCCCGGAATGTGTCACAGCCTTGTCAGAGTCCTAAAATAATGGTCACTGCATAACATGTCAAGTTCAAAGGTACTTTGGTTTAGAAGATATTCAATATTGGAAAGACTTTATGAAGGAAAGGGGGCCTAAAAACTTATATATGCAGAAATTCACTTTCTAAAAGCTGATTCTCATTAATGGGTGATGTCAAAATCTGATATCTGAGTTGGCAAATCAGAGTGTGAACATTAGGAAATGTGTTTCAGAACATCCTCAGGGGCAGAAGAGAAAAATCTGTTTGCTTTGTGGGGTTAAGGGTGACCACTCTGCAGGTGTTGACTGCTCAGCACCAGGCTGGACTGTCTCACTGAGCTGCAATATGGTGATGGTGTGGCAATGGTGGTCATTCTTGGCCAGGGCAGAATTTGTGGGCTTCCTGGTCAGTCCCTTGCAGGTAGTAGGATTTACCAATGGGATTAAGTACAGAATAGAGTAAAAGGCTTGCCTGAATTGGAGGAATGTACCCCAAATGATGGAGTGGCCAGTGTCATTGGTGAGAATGTGGCTGAAACAGGTTTCACATGTGGGACAGGATTAGAAAGCTCTGCCAAAGAGTTGAGGGTAGCTCTTCTGGGCCACCCTAGTAGGTTGATGCCCAGCATGTCCAGGGTGTGCTGTGGAGTTCCAGATCCCGACAGGTCCTGGAATACTCAGGAATAACCTTAGCAGGGATGGAACCCCCATTCCTGGGACTCCTTTTAAAGTTATATCAATCCAGTATATCCTTTTGAAGGCATCTTTTCCTGGGAGATGCATCAGTGTGACTCAGCATACGTAGGTGTATTTTATAGGCAGAAGGCAGACCTCCATGAGAGAGGACCTCATGACTTAACTGAGGAATCTCCCTTGGACTTACCAATCAGAAATCTTGTACAAGAACTTGGATCTCCAGCTTCTCATTGGCTGTGATTTTTGCCTGCTTCCTCCCTAGTCCCGAGCAGGGAAGAATTGGCAGAGTGCTCTAGGAGAGGCATGCAGTGTAATGAAGGCAAAATAAGTCTTGGGATCAGGCAAATCTGAATTTGAGTACAAGATCAGCTACTTACTAGCTCTGTGATCCTGGGTAAATTACGCACTGTGTCTCTGAACTTCGGTTTTTTGTCAGCTGTTTGGAACTGTTAGGCTTTCCCTTCTTTGGTATTTAACAAATAGAATTTATAAAAAGGAAACAAGATTACTTTTAAAAGAAATAATATGCAGACATAAAGTAAGATCAAATAGAGACAGAAATAAATTCTAATAAATCCCTAAGTGCTGAGAAGAGTTCTTTCCCAAGCAAAAAAAAAAAAAAAAGCCAAAATCTAATCCAGGTATCAAAAGTAATGGTGTCGTTTTGGGATCGGGGGCCTGTGCATCATTACATTATACACTCAGAGGGAGAAAGAATCAGAAATCGGGGAAATGGACACTTCTTTAAAAAAAGATTTTATTTATTTATTTTTAGAGAGTGGGGGAAGAGAAAGACTGATCAGCTGCCTCTTGCGTGCTGTCCAACCAGGGACCTGGCCTGCAGCCCAGGCATGTGCCCTGGCCAGGAATTGAACCAGTGACCTGACGGTTTGGGGGATGATGCTCAACCCACTGAGCCACACCAGTCAGGGCTAGCTTTCCCTATTTCTAACATAACGGGATATTCATCAGCCCCTTTTTAATTTGAAAGACTTAGTAATTATGTACAAAGCATTACTTATTCCATTGCTTAATTACTTTCTCTTGCCTCACAGTAAAGCTCCTCTGATATTTGCTGACAAAACTAGTTTTTACTAGAAGCAAAGAAAGGTGGTTTCTGGGGCTGTGTTCGTAATCAGGAATGCTGCTGGAGAGCAGTCAGGCCCAGGGCTAGAGCCCAGCGCTCCCTTCCCACGGAAGCTTAAAGTGATTTGATTCTTCCTCTCATGTCTAGTTTCGGACTTTTCCCCCCAATAGGGTTTTCTGAACTGATGATCAGTGAGGTTCACCCTAAAAGTGTGGAAGAAAAGTTAAAAGTTAAGGGCATAAAAGTTAAGGGCATAAAAGTTAAAAGTTATGCCCTAAAAGTTAAGGGCATAAAAATAAAACAAAAAGTAAAGCAGATGAAATAGTTTTGTTTGTTTTTTCTTTGGAAATATTCTGGCTTCTTAAAACTGCCTCTTTATAGTAAAGGTTATGTCTTGGAAATAGAGATGGACAAGTAAGGAAAATGAATAGTTCCTGCTTGAAAAAAACTTTAACTGGAAAAAAAACCCAAACCCCTTATGGACTGTCCCATGGACTGTTGTGCCCACTGTGAGGACCTGGGCCGAATTCGTGACTGCGGAGGAAGCCTGAGCTTGCTGCCCGGGACTGCTGTTGAGACTGCGGGGCCAGCAGGGCCAGCGGTGTTCAGGGCCGCTCCCTGGGCCAGCAGTGTGAGAAATGGGTTGTTCGACAAAACAAAAAGGAATGCCACGAAAAAGAACTCTTCTATATAAGCCAAAATATTCAACACCGTAATTCGTTTTCAAGATTAAACATATCAGCACTCATTAGGATGAAGAAATGGCATCCTCACCAGCAGAGAAAAAAGCAGACTTTCCCCCAGAGCATTCTGCTCCCACTCAAATTCGTGCTGTTTTGGGCCCACTGGCTGGGTGTGCCTTTCTGCACTGAGGCGATCTGGTTCCCCTTCACCTAGTGCCAGGTCTGGGAGCTTCTCCTTTTCATAACACACCGCCCTCCCCCCCCAGGGCTGGTGAGCACGTCTGATCCTCTAATCTGGGCTGTGCTGTTTGGTGAGTTAAGAGCTAGTGGTTTTTAGAATGAGCTCATGTTAGACCAAACCTCAGAGGCAGCCCCAGAGATAGAAAGTCAGGAAACAAGGGATTTTATAAGCTGCCTGGCAAGGTTTTAACATCTCATTTTGTATTTGTTTTTGGAGTAGGGGCTACTGTCAGTTCAGTTTGAGTTTAATTAACAAGCCTGAGGTGAGGGCCCACGGGGGCAGTGGAGGGGCGCTGATTGCTCTAAGGAGATGGCAGTGCCTGCCCCGCTCAGCACAAATTCATTTCTAGCATGCTACCAGAACTTCAGCATTGAACAGTATACAGCTAACTACACCAGTTTCCTCGTGTTACTCATTGAAAGTATCAGTGAGCCAAAAAGTTCTGGGTTTTAATCATGGCTTTTCCACTCATAGCTGTGAGACCTTGGAGGAGATACTAAACCTCTCTGAACCTGGCTCTTGTATGTGTGAAATGGAACCTCTTTCCTGACATCCAGCAGCCTTACCAACTCAACTGGTATTCTGGGCACTGCTTAGCAGGGGCCTGAACACTCTCCCCAGCCCCAAAGCTGCGTGTCCATCTTAGCCTGCCTGTTCCAGGGCAGGTTTGCTGGGCCTTGCACCCCTACTGCCTTTCTTTTGGCTGTTTTAGCTCTTAAGGTCTATAACCTGTGTTTCCTCTCTGGCCTATTTCATCTTGCGTTCTTTTCCTTTCTTTTGAATGTACCATTTTTTACTAAAAAGGCCTTTAGGAGCTCCCCAGGGTAGAAACCAGGGTGACTTAAACCACCACCTCCAGGGTCCTCATGAGCTCTTCAGGGAATCGCAGGTTGGGGACACGTGGGCACGTTAAAGACACCCACCATCTCTCCTCTGGCTTCTTCGCTTGCCTTTCAGGCAGCGAGAACCACAGCTCGTGTCCCTCTCTGACCCCCTCAGTGGCTGCTTGTCATCGCTTCATCTCGGGTTCCAGTGTCATTTGTTTCTTACTCCACTTTAGTAGATTTGTTCCACTTTTGTTCCCTGAAGTTATGTTGAATTACATTTTTATTCTTTTACAATTAGTTGGGGTATAAATCCAAAATAAATAAAGTACTTAAGACCCTGGATTCACCATTCCATCACCCATCCTTGACATATACATGATGGGGGTTGGAGGGTGTTCTGCCTGTTTTATGCTCGCCCATATCTCCATGTGAGTCCCTCCAGCTGTTCCAGAAAGACTCAGAACAACTTTGTCAGTATAAAACATGTAATTCTGAAGTGAGATGTTAGTTGCTGTTTCTACTTTGCTTCTTCTTGACCCTCCATTTTCTTCTAAGAACAAATTCCATGTTTTCTTCTGCCTCTGTTTGTAAACAAATCCTCTTTTTCTCCCAAACTGTAGTGTGACATGGCCATCAGTGGTGACAGACAGAGAGACCAAGAAGTTAATTTCAAAGAATTGAGAGCAACAAAAATGAAGCCGGAAGTACTGAGTAGACACATTCCCGCAGGCCACATCCCTAAACCCGTCGTGTTGCCTGACTATGTGGCGTGAGTATCTGTCTCAATCTTCAGGATAGGAACTGAGAGATTCCATTTGGGCTTTTCGTGTTCCTGTTTGTCTCTAAATTAATCCTCTCTGCCTAAACTCATCTATGTTTGAACAGTTGTTTGTTACCTGGGAGATAGTGTATCAAATTGAAGGTGCAACATGGTCAGTGAGGAATAAGCTGAGCTGATTTCCCATGTGGCTTGTTGTAGTGAAAAGTTACCACTTTGGTTAATTTTTACCCCCAGAAAGTACCCTGTGATTCAGACGGATGATGAACGAGAACGCTACAAAGCTGTGTTCCAAGACCAGTTTTCTGAGTACAAAGAGCTCTCTGCAGAAGTTCAAGCCGTCTTGAGGAAGTTTGATGAGCTGGATGCAGTGATGAGCAGGCTGCCACATCATTCGGGAAACCAGCAGGTCAGTGTCTACAGCTGTCTGGGAAGACTGGTAGTTAGGAAAGGAAAGATCTGACCTCTTTTAAAATGCAAACAAGCCATAACCTCATGCGTCTGCTGTCTGTCTAGGAAAGTCACTTGAGGTCTTAGTCAATGTGACTTAGTCAAGGTTACAGTTCAAATTATATAATTGAATGTCTTCAGCCTTCAATTGTTAAACAATATTTTCTTTTCTTATCTACATAAAGTATGAATTTAGCAAAGATACATACTGAGTCAATCAGGGTCCCAATGGAGACAGATGACACACGTAAACTCAGATACTTTGAGGAAGTTTTATTCACAAAGGAGTGGGTGGTGTGCCTAGGAGCCCTGAGGGGCCCTGCATTCTCCAGCAGCCAGTGATAGCTGAGCAGGAGCCACTCCAGGCCCAGAGAGCGCAGTGGGGGAGAGCACAGAGCAGGTCTGAAGCTGCAGACATGAGCTCCTGGGCACCTGAGTCAGTCTGAGGAAGGTGACCTTGGCAGAGAGGAAAGCCAGGTGAGGAGGGCAGCGCTTTCTGTAATGTTCTTTTCCTTTTCCTATAAATGCCTTCTTATTTCATATTTTATTCTTCACTTTTTTAACTGATGTACAAACTTTTATTGAAATACAATTCACATGCCATAAAATGCACCCTTTTTAACTGTATAATTAGCGATTTTAGTGTATTCACCAAGTCAAAGTCAAACAACCATCACTACTCCCTAATTCCAGAACACTTTCATCACCCCATGAACAAGTAGCCCTTACTCCCATTCCCACCTGCCTCCAGCCTTTGGCAACTGCCAGTGTGCCTTCTGTCTATGGATTTGCTTCTTTTGAACCTTTCATATACATGCAGTGATACAATGTGGCCTTTGGTGTCTGCCTTCTTTCACTTGGTATAACGTTTTCAAGGTTCATCTATATTGTGTTGTAGCAAGGATCTGTACATTGTTCTTTTTTGTAGTGGGACAATAACATTCCATTATTTGGATATATGGCTTATCAGTTGATGGACATTTGGGTTGTTTCCACTTTTTGACTATTAGAATAAATGCTGCTGTGAACATTTGCATGTACTATCCTGTCCTTTTTAAAGAGGATGTATTAATTTAATCTATTATTTGTGTAATTAAAATTTTAAGAATTCACACAGCATTTTAAAATAATTTCAAAAAGATTAATGTATGGATATATAATAGATATATGTTTTGCATTATATATACACACATATATATTCTTTTAGATCCATATAAGTTGGGCATCCTTATTTTAACCACAGACTTTTAAGTGTGCATTTAAATTGGTTATAATTATGAGCTAGCTAAGCCAAGCATGTAGAGTAGTGACATTTTCCTAGTCCTGAAGCAATGGGATAATGTTGGCTAAGTGACACTAGTACCAGGAAGCAGGAAAAACCCAGCAACTACTACAGGTCAAGGGTCAATTACTACCATTTGGAGAGCAAGCAAGGTCCACGGGTCCACAAAGGGTGACCACATTTACAGGCCCTCCAGGAACTAGCGGCCCAGGAGTCTGGATTAGCACAGGGTGGGAACCTCGAGCTGGTTGACAGACAGGATGCTGAGAAACCCAACTGAGACAGGTAGCTCTGAGCCTAGACCCAGTGGTCTCTGGTTTGAGGGCTTGGTGTGACTTGGCCAGGGCGCAGGCATGATGGTCTGCAGTTGGGGCTGAGAGACTGAGTCCTCCCCTGACATTTCCACACGGTACCTACAGTAGTCATGTCCTCTGGGTTTTAGCATGGTATGGCAAGTAAGTAGCCCAGTGACTGGGCCACACTTAGTCTCAGTATCTCCTCCAGCCCTTATCTAAAGTAGAAATATTAATTGTATCACAAATGTTCACTTCTCTTTGGCCACAGGCGGAGGTTTGCCGTGGGCAGGAGTCTGCCAGTAAGGCTCGCTCATTCCCTAGCACGTCCCCAGGGAGCCACGTCAAAGCCCAGTGGGCTCGCTTGGAGGCACAGGTTCTCCCACCAGCCTGGTTGTGGCCCTTGAAAAATGAAACAATTGGCCCTGGCTGGTATGGCTCGGTGGATTGAGTGCTGGCCTGTGAACCAAAGGGTCACCAGTTTGATTCCCAGTCAGGGCACATGCCTGGGTTACAGGCCAGGTCCCCAGTAGGGGGTGTGGGAGAGGCAACCACACATTGATGTTTCCCTCTCTCCTTCTCTTCTTCTCTCTCTAAAAATAAATAAATAAAATCTTTAAAAAAAAATGAAACAATTGCATGGCTTTTCTAAGCCCATAAAATACCAATATTGCTCAAAATCATTCCTCTGGTCCTCCCCCTCTTAAATTCAGTTTCTCACACAGACTCTAGCATAGGTTTTACCACTCAGTTCTGTGTGTGTCTCCAGCACGGCAGCCCTGGCCCCAGGCTTCTAGTTTGCTCCCAGTCCGGGACCTGTTAACATAGATGACAGCTGCATCTCCAGATTCATCTCTCTGCAGGCAGCCTGCATGGCACAAATGCTACTCATGGTTGTAGTATGTAAAAGACATTGAGGAATTAAAATGTATTGGGAGAAGCATGTGGGTAAGTGATAGAAAATGTTCTCAGGGGGCCCTGGCTGGTGGATTGAGTGCCGGCCTGTGAACCAAAGGGTCGCCGGTTTGATTCCCAGTCCCGGGCGCATGCCTGGGTTGCAGTCCAGGTCCCCAGTAGGGGGTGTGTGAGAAGCACCACTAAGTCCTTAAAAAAGACAATGCTTTTAGAACTATAAATTATAACATTTTGAGTTTTTATTTATTAGGTTTATAGTATCTAATGGTCTCTATAGCATAGGTTTCATGGATAAATGAAGGCATTGTTCTAGTCATCTGCTCCCTTTGGATAGGCCACTCAACTCCTTAACAAATTCCATGTTTACTATAAAACTTAGAATAAAGTTAGAAGGAACATTATATTAGCTATTTCCAAAAACTGAATAGTTTCAACCTCTGAATCCCAATACCAAATAACATGGAAAATAGCTTATCAACAGGGGTGAAAATTATGCCTAATAATAGGTTTATAAATAATAGGTTTATTATTATTTATAGGTCTATAGGTCTATTATTATTTATAGGCTTATAAATAATAGGCCTATAAATAATAATAAGTTAATAAATTATCCTTAATAATGTGGTCATTATGTGCCAGGCACTTTACAAGGATCATTTCAAAGTCTTCTCACAACCCTATGAGGTAGTTAGAGTTATTATTTCCATTTACCAATAAGGAGACTGAGCCTTGGGAGGAGTAAAGATCTAGGTCACGGCGCTGGCAGGCAGAGGCACTGGGACCCAGTTCTGGTTTCACGCAGGCAGGGCCTTTCTGCCCACCCCTCAGTCCTACTGTCTGGCCGATAGTAAGTCTTCGGATGTCCAGTGAATCAGATTCTTGCACATGAATACTGTCATTATAGTCTTAGGTAAAAATTGCTTTCTGTTCTAATTCCCAGTGTACTTTGAGACATTCTTGAGATTTGTGAGTAAGTGCAGGTGTTTCAATTCAAGTATACAATATGCTTTTCTTAGGAACATGAGAGAATTTCAAGAATCCTTGAAGAGTTTAAGAAAAAGAAGAAGGTGAGTGAAACCATTTTCTTCTTCAAAGTACATTCTTATCTAGGTGCAATGGAAACAACTGACAGACTTTAGATTCTTTTAGCTAAAGTACTTCTTTTTTTGAATTTCTTAAGGTGCCCCTTATTAGGGAACAGGGGTGCCTGCTGGACACCTTTTCTTCCTGTCTCTGTTCTGATTACGTTCTGCTGTGTCCTGGTCAAGCCACCTAGAGACATGAGCACTGATGCGGTACTCGCCACCCACATTTCCTTCAGAAACACGACCTTATTTTACCTGTTTCCAACTCCATCCTTAATTACACAAATCAGTAGAGGCCCAAGAGAGCTTTTATTAAACATTTCTATACTCACTTTTTTATGTATTTTAAACTACCAAAGTTAGCCTTGGCTGGTGTGGCTCAGTGGATTGAGTGCCCTTCTGTGAACCACAGGGTTGCCAGTTCGATTTCCAGTCGGGGCACATGCCTGGATTGCAGGCCAGGTCCCCAGTAGAGAGTGCGTGAGAGGCAACCACACACTGATATTTCTCTCCCTCTCTTTCTCCCTCCCCTCCCCTCTCTACAAATAAATAAATAAAATCTTTTTAAAAAAATAAACTACTAAAGTTAAAGGTGCCTTTCTCAAATTTGCTGTGAACCTAAAACTATTCTAAAAAATAAAGTCTATTAAAAACTGGCTATCTTACAAGGCAGATTTTAAATCTGCAGGAAAATCTTCTAGGAAGGGTCATTTTCTGGGTGATAATGTATGTGTTTGTGTTTGGGGGGTTTTCTTGGTGAGAAGGCAGAGGCTGATAGAACAACTGTGTTTCTTTTTTAGGATCCTACATTTCTGGAAAAAAAAGAACGCTGTGATTATCTAAAGAATAAACTTTCTCACATTAAGCAAAGAATTCAAGAATATGATAAAGTAATGAATTGGGATGTTCAAAGTTATTCTTAAACCTTATTTGAAACCACTCTTTTATATGAAACTTCATATTTATTTACTGTCTTTTTTATGTCATTTTCTGTGATAAAGAAGTAAGCTCTTCCTGAATCAGTCTCTACTTGGTTTAGCTGGAATGCAATGTTAGAACAGTATGATTTCACTCCAGCATTTCAGAAAAACAAATTTACTAAGGGCCTTTACTAAGCATGGAGGAAACTGTATTCATCTGTGTACAATTTATGTTGAAATTAAAAGTGATTTAGAGATCACATTCTCAGGCGTGGAAGCGAGTATCGGTTCTAGTGCTGAGAATGGATTGATTCCGGTGCTGTAGAGTATTAATTTTACCTTTTTGACTCAGGCGGGTTCCTAAGATTTTCTAGGACAAACTTCCCTTCCTGGCCACAGCTGTCATTATTTTCCCTTGAAAGGGGTTTGAATGCAAGATAAACATTTTCAAGCCTGATGGTCTTGGGCAAGTTGCTCAATCTCTCTGTGCCTATTTCTTCATCTGTAAAACACAGTTGATAATAGTGCCTACCTCATAGGGTGCTTAGGAGGATTAAATGAGTTAGTATTTGTGAGGTACTTAGAACAGAGTCTGGCACCTTGTTAGCAGTACGCTCTTGTTTGTGAAATCTGTAGGAAAACGTATGTGAGGTGAATAAACTACCTAGAATGTCTCAAGGAAACGTCCTTAATGAACAAGCCTGACCAGCTAACCAAAAGGCCATGTGTCTCATGACCTTCTCTCCTATGCTGTTAATAACTAAGCAGATGTTTCCCTGTGGTTTTGTGCCCACTGGGGTCCAACACAGACTTCCCGTCTTGAACCAGTGTCACTGTGCACACACGTCCACAGCCTGGCCCTTCCTGTTCACGGCACCTCACGCAGGACTGTGTGGGTGCCATTGCCTCTTCTCTCTTGTTTGGACATTTATCCTCAGGCCCCATGACGTCGCCTTAACTTAGAATCCCCTCCTTTTGTTTATTGGGATGCTTCATCTTCCCAAGAATTATCTTTGCTTTGGGGCTTTATTCAAGAGAAATGTTTTATTTTTATTAGTTTGAACAATGAACTGCCTTAAAAAGTTTTTTTTTAAAAATCATTGCTACCAGATCCTGTTCAGCAGCATCTATTTTGTAATTTCCCGGGGTTAGAAATAAATTTCTGCTTAATATAGCTGCCATTCAAACAATTCACGTTCAAAGAATTTTCTCAAGTGAAACCACAGAAAGGCATGGAAAAGCAGAGGGTTAAGAAGTGTAGGTTCCTGAATGAATCTCCTGGTTTTCCTTTGTCGGTGAAATCTGACTGTGTGTTGCTAGTGTTTTGATACCATGGTCCTCAGCGCCCTGAGAGTCTTAAGGGGTGAGACCTAGGGCAGCGCAAGGCTCCTCCTGGAAGCCCACTTCAGTTAGAACAGCTTCACTTTCTGTTGTATGCATTGGGCCCCATGCTCACATTTCACTTAAGAATACCAATGCTTAAAAAAAAAAGATAAAATAATTCCATTTTGATAGACTGTAAAGAGTTAGATTAATATCGAAATGAACTGTTAAGGAAACTTAACTCTGTAAAACTTGATTGTTATAATTGTAAGTGTTATTTTTCCAAAACCACTGTTGTAACATTGGACTTAAGTTTTTTTATGTCAGTATCTAGGCATATTAAAACATTAGTTGTTTTGCTGTCCTAGCATTCCTGTGTTGACTGGGTGTGTTCTTGCAAATATTTAACATTATCATAAAATAAACTAGAAAATCATTGAAAACCTGTGAGTCATGACATTCAGGTGGCTATTTTCCCCTCCCCCACTATTTGCAAGAATTCAAAGTCATGAATTGCTTGCTGAGTTGCTTGCCACAGGCTGCCGTCACAAAGTACCACAAGCCGAGTGGCTTAAAACCACAGCAGTGTACTGTCTCAGTTTTGCAGGCTAGAAGTCTGAATCACAGCGTCAGCAGGGCCCAGCTCCCTGGGGAGGATCCTGCCTAGCCTCCCGTGGTTTCCTGGCAATCTTTGGTGTGCCGTGGCTTCTATATGTATCACCTAAATCCTCTGTCTTCACACAGCTGTCTTCTTGTAGGGGCACCAGTCATACTGGGTTAGTGACCCACCCTCAGTAGGATGACCTCATCTTTTTTTTCAAGTCAACAGGTATTTATTCAGTTCAATATAACAAGCAAAATGGTTACAAACCATTATTATTTTTCAAATGCCTCAAATATACTGGAATTTTTTCTATTTACAAAAGTAGTACATGCAAATTGTAGGAACTTTTGGAAAAGCAGAGTATAAAGGAAAATTATAAGTACCAATAATCTCACTGCTTAAAGGTGGCTACTGTTAATATTTGATATATTTCCTTCTTCTGTCTCTACAGTTTTTTTCCCATCACCATTATCCCTCCCACACCCTCTTCTACCTCCACCCACTTTCCTCCCCTGGATGACCTCATCATAACTGATTACACCTTCAAAGACCTTGTTTCCAAATAACATCACATTCTGAGGTACCAGAGGTTAGGTATTCAGCATACCTTTTGGGGATGAGGGGACACAATTCAACCCATATAACAGCCACATTTGGCAAGGTGCAGTTCAAAAGATAATTCCCTGTACATTTTTTCCCTCCACCTGACTTGAACATATATTCTAATTTGAAACGTAGTAAGAGAATATGTCAGTAATGTCTGAAACTTGGAAAGAGGAAAGCATATATTCTTCACCTGTTCACTTGCGTTTGCTGTTTATGTGCCAGATGCTTTCATTGAACGGGTGGTATTGTAGCATTGAAGACATAGTGGTAAACAGACAGAGACCACGCAGTTACTGTCTAACAGGAGGTCTGAAGGTGAAGATGAGATGTACATATTTTTATGTACATTTCTACAGATGGTGTGCATAATAAACCTGATACTGAAATGCACCAGTGTTCAAAAGATAAACAATATAAGAAAAATCTGTAATTTTTTTCTGATTCCCATCTATCTAAAAGAAAAAATTATTGTGGAAAAAATTTTAAAGGGGAAAAAAAGAAAAATGAATATAAAAGCTTAGTAAATAAAAGTCCCGCCATATCAGTTTCACTCCCTGGTGATATATACTGTTTGGAGCACACCCTTCCAGTCTGTCTGTGGTACATACAATTACTTTAAAAGTATCTACTTTAATACTTTAAATGTGTTTTTTTTTTTCTAAAAAGAGGGCCTGGCAGCCTGCACCAGCCTGTGGTGAGGAGGCAGGGGAAAGTCACAGGTGGGAAGGATAGCCAGCCCTGTGGACCGAGAATGGAGGCTTCTGGGCTCGCTGCAACCAAGGCTCCAGCTCCTACTGAAAGAGCTTGACACGTGAACTTCTTCCAGCATCAGCTTCCTTATCTGCGGTTAAATAATATGGCCTGATGAAATTGTTGTGAAAATTAAATACAATAATGTACATAAAATACCAGGAAGATACTTGCTCAATAAGTGGTGGCTGGATATTCAAATACTGTTTTCATTGAGTTAGATAATGAGTTGACTGCTTTAAAGGTAGAATATCAGAATGACTATTTAATAACAATGACAAAAGGCTTTTTCAGAAAGTATATAGGTAATGCATTTATTATAAAAAATGAAGATGAGCTTCTAGTCTTCCAAATACACACAAATAAAGTTACCCATTATTCTACAACCCCCCACCCGTGATAGCCACTATTGATACTTTGGAACATAGCCTTCCATTCTTACCTTAGGTTTATACAGGGTGGGGCAAAATTAGGTTTACAGTTTGTATAGAAAATAATACAATAATAATATAAGAATAAACTTTTGAGTATTCACAACTATAAACATACTTTTGTCCAACCCTATATTTATATAAGCATGTTATAGGAAAAAAGTGTTGGTATTAACAAAATATGTTTTAATTATATAGTATAGTGTGTTTTGTGTTTTAAATAAGAAATAAAATAATCGTGATTTTTCTGAATTTAGAGTTTTTTATTTTATTTTAATGCAATTTAGTTACATTACTTTTGAAAAGTTATTGATGTTCCTGTCATATGGTGAAACAAGCAAAAAATAGGTGTAGGTTTAAGCCTCCCTCAGCTCCCCTGACCAGTGGGGCAGATGAGATAAAAGTATCTGAAGTCATACTGTAAGCCACAAGTCCTATTAAAATCCTTACGTTTGGTTCCACGTGCTTCATTCTAAAGTTATCAGTAGTAAGAGCTTTTCACTAGTTGAAGTACAGTTCATCATTTATAACTTGAGCTGTTAACGAGTGTGTGTTATGTCATCAGGGCTTGTCTGGGGGTCTGTATGCTCTGGTACAGCCTACTAGCTACATAATGGCATCGACACATTCCAATTACATTTCCTTCTCCATTTCAACTGATTGACTTGCGGGAGCCACAGGGTCCAGTGCTAGTGTGAAAGCAGGAAACAGAGAAGGATTGGGAACAGCATTTTCCAATTAACAGGACACAAATTTGGCACCTTACTTTCTTCTTTATTAAGGAGGGGGGAAGGTCCCCAGATATAAGGAGCTTATCGTGCATTCTACCTCCAGGTATGTAAAGATTGAATTCTGTTTGCCCTGTAAAGTGATTTAATGTTTAATGGATGCACTTGCTTTGGAGGAACTAATGTTACTTAACTTACCAAGACAGGAAGAATTGTAAGTAGCATACAAGGTTGCTCTTTTTACACAAAGGAAAACCTTTTCGTGTTACCAATTAAAACAATAAGCATTTGTAATCGTTTTGTAGGGAATTTGGGGAGGAGAGTTTAGCAGTCAGGGTTCTTAGTTATAAGCCACAGAAAGCTGAGCTGTGTGATTTAAGAATTTATTACCATCTACTGTCCAGATTGCAGAATTGCTGGGTGGGCTGGAGAACTGAGCTAGAGGCTTTGCAGCAGGAGCTGTGTCCTAAATAGCACCTGAGATCCCATCTGATGAGAACAGCTCTCCTGCCGTCCTCAGTGCACCAAATGCACCACCAGCCCTGCCATCCTGTGATGCCGATGCCCGTGACTCAGATTCAGGTGACTCAGTGAGAAGTGCAATGGCAGACCCCTAGGTCACTTGCCAGATTCATCACTTAGGGAATTCCCAGAGCATGAAGAGATTTAGATGCTGAGAGCCAGAAAGAAAACAAATAGCACCTACAGAAGAACAGTAGTTGTCCTAATTTTCAGTGTAGTCAGGGATTTATCCTATTCAGTTGTAAATAGGCCGGATATACAAATGACAGCCAAAGACAATATCTTTAACCTTAGTGCTTCTGGTGTTAAGGAAGAAGGCAGGAAGGGTCCCTGCTCATGTCCTAGACATGAGAAATGGGCTCCTGTCTCCAGGTTTGAGATTCAGAAAACATTATCACCCTAAGGCAATGCAATAGAATAATTTCCTGTACCTCTAAGTATTTATCAAAAGGCATGTCCAAGGTGGTTTCCAGCTGCTTTACTCATAATAGCCCCAAACTGGCAATAACCCAAATGACCATCAACAGTGGAGTTGTAGAAATGAGGAATTGTGGTGAAGTCATAACTACTATAGAGCATTTAAAAAAAAAAAGATGAACTGCTGTTACGAAACCTAACAGTGCTGAACAGAAGCCAGATGTGCGTGCGTACAGGCACAGTGATGGTGACTGAGAACAGTGCTACTTTGGGAGATCCGTGATTGACAAGGAAGGGGCACGAGGCAGCCTTCTTTCTGGGGTGTGGAGATGGCCTGCACGCTGTGCCGGACGGTAGTTACATGAGTATACGCATATTTCAGTATGCAATCTGCCCTTGAGATTAGTTCACTTATGCACTTAAATATGCCTGTTCTGTATCAATAGAAAAGTTAATTTCTGATGGTAGAATTCAGAGTAAAGGTTATTTCTGAGAGATGGTTATTGGCTAGGAAGGGGCACAAGGGAGGCTTTTTAGGTGATTTTCCTTGATCTGGTTCATTACCCGGGTATATTCACCAAGACAAACACTTAAAATTAGTGCCTTTTACTGTATATATGTGATATCTCAATTTTTAATAACCATAGGTATATTTTAAGAAAAGTATGTCCCCAGTTTAAAACAATGTAAATTTAGGGACACAGTCCTTTCAGAAATTGAGAACTGCCTTGTGTGCTAGTGGTCTTTGGGAAAAAATTATAAAGTTATGGCTAGGGCAACACAATAATCTTACAACTGTTGTTTTAATGGCTCATATTTGAAATCCAAGATTGTTTGTGTTTGTGACTTTGAACCAAACTCCCATCTAAGATGGCAGATTGTAACCATTTTCCTCCTAAACATAAAGTCTGTAAGAGAACAAATCTGCCGTGGCTGGTGTGGCTCAGTGGATTGAGTGCTGGCCTGCAAACTGCAAGTTCACCTGTTCGATTCCCAGTCAGGGCACATACCAGGGTTGCAGGCCAGATCTCCAGTTGGAGGTGTGCAAGAAGCAACCAATCACATTGGTGTTTCTCTCTCTCTTCTTCCCTTTCCTGCTCTCTAAAAATAAACAAATAAAATCTTAAAAAAAAAAGAACGAAGCTGAAGATTATTTATACCTGTTGAAATGCATTTACTCTAGTGTTGCATTCATGCCTATGAATTCTCTTTGTGCATAGGGCAGGAGGCTGCATGACAGATTGAGGAAAATTTTGCCAGTGTGTGAAAAACAGCAGCCCTGCCCCCTGTTTAAATCTTGGTTGTGATCTGGAAGCTGTCCAATGTTGTTAAGCGTCAAGGGTACTCCAGGGATTGTTACTGCCAAAGGGCAAACCTGA